ATCTCACTAGAAAAAAACTTTTCACTAAAGAAACCAGAAACAAATATACTTCAAGGAACCACATTATATCAAACTAACTAAACATATAAGTTTAGTTTTTTTTTAATGTGGCCTCTAATTTATTTATATAAAGAAAAAGTTAATTTGTAGCCATGGACATTTGCCATCTCTCCATGATAGGAGGCACGGCTCTAAAAAAAAGTTTAGTCGAGTTATTTACTACATATATACATATAATAACGTTTTCAACACGTATTCGTTTTCTACATTTTTGAAAAAACTACATTTACGTACACACTTTTGATTCTATATATACAATTTAGACAAAAATATATATTTTTTGGTTGTTGAAACAGTGAATATTTTTTTGTATCTATTATTAATTAGTACTAGATATTAACCCGCGGTACACCGCGGGTCTATATTTTCCCTAAATAAAAAAATGATTTTTTTAGAATGATCTATAGATATATGGTAAACCGCATGTCAATATTTTATAACTAAAAAATCAAAATTTAAGTTGTATTTGTTTTATTTAGTGTTTAAGATTGTATAATTGTATTTTGATCGCTAATTCTAGGATTTCACCCGTAATATACCATCCCGTATTAATATCGATCTAAATCCGTCCCACTATATAACCCCGTCCTGTGAAATTAAACATTATTTTTGTAATTTTTTTTATAAAGTTCAAATATTTCTAATATTTGAAACTTCATAAAAGTTTTAATACGACCCAAACTTCATAATTGTATTTTGATTGTTATATCTAGGATTTCACCCGTAGTATACCGTCTCGTATTAATATCTTTTATAAATATTTATAATGTTTAAACTACTTATAAATTCTTATAAAATTCAAATATATTTATAATATTTGAAACTTCATAAAAGTTATAATATTATAAATAATAAAAACGTTTAATAAAGTTAGACTTTTTTAAAAGTTTAAATAATTATAATATTTAATTTTTTAATAAATTTTAAATATTTGGATCCACATTTATACTATATACTATAGAAATTAGAGTTTATGAGTTTAATAAGTATACTTTAATAAGAATTATTACAGTAATAAAATTTACAATCAATTATATATGTCTTACAATTTGGATGTATGAAATTGTTGATCTCATTTGTAAGCATGAGTGGAATTCAAAACATTTGGGTTATAGTTTGTATTTTCGTTTTTTATTTTTTCTTTTAAGTTTTTTAAAAATTAATGCTATCAAACTGTAGTTATATATATATATATATATATATATATATTAAGATTATCATTAAACATGAAGATTTACCTAGAAAAATAGGGTGAATAAAAAAAACTAACCATATGAAAGAATCTGACGTAAATTTAAAGCATATGCTCTTGATAATGGCAATCATCAATGGGTTGCTCATCTTGTATAGGATTATCTGCGCAAGACATCAAATGTTTATTAAATTCATGAATCAGAAAAATGAAAGTTCATATAACAAATAAAGATTGGAATGGGTAAGAAGAGGTATTTGTTTGATGAGTCTTCTAGTCGAGTAAAAGTGTGGTATTTATAGGGTAGGTAGGCATCTAGGTTTATTGTTAAGGTAGTTTGATAATATCTTGGAGAGAAAGTAGAAAATCAAAGATATTATATACAACGAAAGTTTAGGATATGTTTAAGGAAAGATTAGGAAATCGTTATATAACAAAATTTATTTGAAAAAGATTGTAAATGATTTGGTTTTGCAGAGAATCTTAAAAAAAAGCTAAGCAACCATTTAAAAGGAATATAGCCGATTAATGTGGTAATTAGTTTAGGAAATCACATTAAACCGAATTAAAAAAATAATTTTAGTCATAACTTTGTTTCTTAAAATCAAATATTAAGAAAAATATCGAAGAGTATATAATTATGGTATCATCGTTGAGATTTTCTTGGGCGGGAATTATGGATTCAATTAGAGAAGGGAACCATATAATGGAAAGAATTTAATTAGCCATAATTATGTTTTAAAAATATTTTATTGCATAATATAAAGAGAATATAGATGATATATGGTATGTGGATGTAATTAGTTAAGATGGCATAAATATTCGAAAATCATCTCGAGATAAAGAGTAATATAGCCTATTAATATGGGAAGAAGTTAAGGAATAAGGAAACATAAATATATGTGTAATTATCTATATTAATGACGTTTTTTTGGTTAGAGATATGTAGAATTAAATGATAATTTGGTATTAATTAAATACTATCAAATATCTCGGAGATTTTATTTTAGAAACTTTAGAAACTAATCGTGGACTAAGCAGAGATTTTTGCAAGATTATTCGTAAACATTTGCAAAAATGTATAACAAAACAAAACAAAACAAATTCTCACATAATCGCCCATTTGCAAAAATAACAAATATTACTTTTTATAACAAAACAAAATATTATTCGTAAACACAATATTTATTATAAAAAATATTTTGAGAATCCTTTAGAAATTTAATATTAGATATTCAAATATATCAAAAACATAATTACGGATTATGTGAAGATTAGGATATATAATCTTCAAATAAACATATTTTATTATGATTTCCTTATGAATGTATATATTAATTGTTATTTTGATTTTAAATTTATTGCAATTTAAATGGGGAATTGCCTATATTTAATCTGTTATTGTAAAAGAAAAATGACGTAGCTTATTATTGGAGTATTTACACAAATTTATTAACATAATATATATATATAATATATATATATATACTGTTAAAAATAAATACATTTTTCATAATATATTTATTGTTAAAATCTGGACATTTATTATGAGCATAAATATGCAAAACGATTTTCCATTAAAATTGGCTATTTATTAGGGTCATTAATATGAAAGATTATTTACCATTAAAATAGGTAACTTATTTGTAATTAAAGAAACATTAAACGGAATAAGTAGATGAATTAAAGACAACATGACTTCATTTATCAGTTTGAAATTAAGACAACATCCCTAAAATTGCTTATCCAAGATCCGAATAGACTAAAACCGGGTCAAACCCGGATCCAAAAGACTTTATGCAAAAATCCCCTGTAAAAATGTATATGTAGATATCATTTAATAGTTATAAGTCTTTTTGGGTTAAATTAAGTGTAAATATAATATTAAATATTTAACAAGAATTCCATCTCTTTCTTGTCCGGTTCTTGAATAAGATTTGAAGTATTGTATCAATTGGAAATGTATTTTCATATATTAGAACAAAGATCCAGAAACATAATCGAAACCTGATAAGTTTGGAGGAAACCGTAGAAGTAGAATAGTTTCTCTCAAATTATTCAATTAGCCAATAGGCTTATTTATACAAGAATCATAACTTGATTAGCAAGTTCTTTACATATATGATAATAGGAAATCTACCTATTTAACAATAAAAATATATTATACAAATGTTAACTTTCCTTTCAAGTCGATCTTGTAATCCCCGAGATCTCCTAACAAAACCATACAAGATTGGACGCATGGTGTTTAGGTCGACAAGAGAAAATATAATTACAACTTGTGAATGTGAGCTTTTGTTTAGTTTTGTGTGCTATATTTTTTCGAAAAGTGTATTTGCTTAGATATATCAAAAGGACCATTCTTTACTCTTAGAAAATCGAATTAAACCTCCTGCCCTACTACCTAAGCACGTGTTCTTCCACTAAAGACGGCTTCGTTTATACATAATTTATTTTTTGTAAGTATATACCAATGTTTGTCTTTAAGATAATGTATGATATACAAACAAACTTTTCAAATTTGTATATCGACGTTTGCACATATAAGGTAATGCGGCTTGAACAACCATCACACATAATTGACAACACTGAGGAAAAGACTACCACACCAAAACAACAGTTACCAAGAAAACAAATCCCTGAAGCAAACTACAAGTTGAGATATATACACTATATCATATTTCATCCTTTAGTTTGGGAAGCTAAGGATATAATATTTTTTCACCTTTTAAGAGTTTTGAAATTCTATGAAAATTGAAAACCAGAGGATTAAGAGAATTTACACTTTATATCAAAAAAAAATTGAATACATATAAGATGAATAAACGGTGGAAGATTATTATCGAATGAGTTGGAAATATTCCCAAAGAATGAAAAAAATAAAAAGAAATCTTTGTTACACTTTTTTTTTCTTACACTTTCTTTTTTCTTGAGGTAAAAAATTGTGGGTTTTTAAATAGATTTCAAACTCTAAACCAATTGATAATGAGTACAATGACTTCTTTCATTTTTTATTTCTATTGAACATGTATCTAACAACTATAAATCCATATTATGACGATAATATTACAAATCATTAGACGACATATTATGGTCTTTCAGTACTTTCTAGTTTCTACCTTATTCACCTTTCTTGTATTGCGTAAACTCATGATAAGATGATGAAAGAGAGTTTGAACCTTAATCTTTCTTAGTATAGTGATAGATCCATGCCCCATCCTCGTTATGTTTGTAAGATGATAATTATTATTAACTTATCACCATGTAGACAAGTAAAAAATGGTTAAATGGACATGAGGTTATGGGTAAAAAACGTGGGAAAAGGCAAAAGGCAAAAGGCCCACCTTCTAAGCACTCTCTTTTGAATGGTAATTCGTGCCTGTCAAAGCTTAGACTCTGTCGGAAACACAACCCCAAAACCACTTACTTCATTTCTTTCTCTCCTTTTTTTTTTAAATTTATTTTAAAAACAAAAGCTAGAGAGAAAAAGAGAGATAAAGTTTGAGATTCTACAAACCCCAAGAAACCCCCTAAAAATAAGAGGAAATAAAATCAAACTGAAAATAACATTTGTAGTTTTTTGTTTGCTTGCTCTCTGTTTTCCTCTGTCTGGACATTGAGATATGATTAAACTAACTTCTCATTCTCATTCTCGTTCCACCTTCTTCTTCTACTTCTTCTTTGTTCTTGTGTGCTAAAACAAATCAAGAAAGCACAAGGAGACAAATAAACATATCCATTTCATTACCAAACAAGCCGTACATTCTCTAGTTATGGCTTCTTCTTCTTCTTCATTTTCTTCTTCAACTACTTCAACCATCACATCCAAATTTATTGGCCTTCTTCTTCTTCTCTCTCTTCAAATAGACTTGTTACTCGGATCAGCTATTCATCTTAAAAACCAAACTTCTTTCAGACCCAACAGAGATATTCAGAAGCTTAGAAGAGTGGAAGCATATCTCAACAGAATCAACAAACCTTCCATCAAAACAATCCACGTAACCAAACAAACCCTTTTATGGAATTAATCTACCTTTTGTTTTTCTTTCTTTTTTTTTTCATTTATGTGATCATTTTTGTTATTGTGAAACTGTAGAGCCCAGATGGAGATGTAATAGAATGTGTACCGTCTCATTTACAACCAGCATTTGATCATCCTCAGCTACAAGGCCAGAAGCCACTGGTAATGAATCTACCTTTCACTTTGCTTCTTTTTATAGTTTTTAGGTAAACAAAGAAGTAATTCTATTAATGGAAACATACAGGATTCACCAGACAGGTCAAGTAGAAGAAATGAAACAACAAATGAGGAAAGTTTTAATCAGTTATGGAGTATGTCCGGTGAAAGTTGTCCACTTGGGTCAATACCAATGAGAAAAACAACGAAGAATGATGTTTTGAGAGCAAATTCAGTTCGACGGTTTGGTCGGAAATTAAGAAGACCCATTAGACGAGATTCCTCCGGAGGTGGTCACGAGGTAACTTCTTCTTCACCTCTTGTATCGTACGAATCGACCATGCGAGAGAATAATAATGTTTTCTTATGCTTTACTTTAACTTTTTTTTTTGTTCAATAAAGCATCTTATTCTCCAAAAAGTATATAAAGCATAAAAAAAAATGATTCGATCGAGATAGAGAAACAAAAGAGTCTTCGTTCAACTGATTTCTTGATATTGAAGACAAAGTGTGAACTTAAGTTATTTTTAGGGTTAAAATTAATTAATGTTACTTAGCTTAATGGAGTTTAAATTTACATGCAGCATGCGGTGGTGTTTGTGAATGGAGAACAATACTATGGAGCTAAAGCAAGCATTAACGTGTGGGCGCCACGTGTTACTGATGCTTATGAGTTTAGTTTATCTCAGATTTGGCTCATCTCTGGATCCTTTGGTCATGACCTAAACACCATTGAAGCTGGTTGGCAGGTACAAATACAATTCACTTTTCACTATACAAAATTATTTGCCACTAGTTTTCGATTAAACATCCGACTTATAAGTTTAATCACTAGACTATATACATTGTTTATTTCCATATTTCGTTGCTTTTCTTTATATTAAGTGCGTATTGTTTTCATAAAAGTCTGCAATTTCATCATATTAAACACAAAAGTTTTTTTTGTTAGTACCTATTATAAACACAAACGCCACATAACAACAAAAGGATAATAGTTTTACCATATTCTTTTTGTGTTTGATGTTTACGTTTATAATTTATAAAAACACAAAGATTAGCTTTCGAATCAATCAGGAGCATAATTAGTCAACCTTCTAATTTTCTAAACAGAGAACTGGCAGACAAATCAACTAGTTATATACAGTATTAAGTTGCAAAAGATATGTGGTGGGGATATAGATAGGGTCCAATTAATAATTAGGTTGGTGATTACTGATTACATAGCATTTGATCTTTTTACAGGTTAGTCCTGAGCTATATGGAGATAATTATCCAAGATTCTTCACATATTGGACGGTAAGACCAATCTCTACTTTTTCTCAACTTTTTTCCTTAATGTATTTATTTAATATCATAAGGGAAAATAATATATTGAATTGAAAATTTGGAAAAGCAGACTGATGCATACCAAGCAACTGGGTGCTACAATTTACTCTGCTCTGGATTCGTACAAACCAACAACAAAATTGCAATTGGTGCAGCGATTTCCCCGAGGTCCTCTTATAATGGAAGACAGTTTGATATCGGTTTAATGATTTGGAAGGTCAGTCTTCTTTCCCTTCCATTTATTTCCACACTGCTAACCATATTTTTATCATATTCAATTCATAAATAAGGACAATAAATTCCTGAAACTTAAAATACTTACAATTTGTACATATTTGATGATTTTGGTCAAATCACATAAAACAAATACTCATAGCATCATTTGATGAGAATTATGGTAGAATCAAGTTATAAGTAGTACGTGTGCATGTGGTCTTTGAATTTACCAATGAACGTCGAAATTAAAATCAGTCGGAATGTGTAATCTAGCGCATTAATAGGTGTTCTGTTCTTCTTCTTTTTTTTTCTTTTTTTTTTTCTTTTTTTTTTCCTTCTATATATTAAGAAGAAGACGCTGACCCACTATAATTAAAGTTAAAAATAGTTATGTGTAATTAATGCTTAGGCTATATGATTGCTTCAAACTTAAGATTTCTTTTAGATAAGTCCTCCTACCAAGACAAAACATTGCATTTTTAAAGTACTAAGACCGACATATATAAAGTCAATAACGCACTTGATACGCTACGCAGATGTCTAATAAAGATTAAATCAACCGACACATTAAGCATGAGCTTATCCCACAAAATTGTAAATTAGAGCAAATTGTCCAACCATTCTTTCATTGTTTGTTTAATATACATTTTCAGCTACCTTTCTTAGTTTCACTTCAGAAAACTGTTTCTTTTTTTTGTGAAGATTTATATGTTTAACGATGTATATCAGTATAATATTTTTGCATATAGCTTAATTAAGATATTTGTTTGAACCATGTATATATAACTTAGCATAAAATCCAAAAAATATAGATAACATGAAAGTGCATATAATATATATGAATATAGTTATTATACGTCCTAGTAAACTATAAACATTTATTTAAATGTTATGTCTACTTAATCCATTTTCACATAAAAAATTTGAAAACCAAATCATCATGGTGAAAATTACTTATAGACATACATAACTCACGTCACAAAAAAAAAAAAAAAATATATATATATATATATATATATATATGAATATAGTTATTATACGTCCTAGTAAACTATAAACATTTATTTAAATGTTATGTCTACTTAATCCATTTTCACATAAAAAATTTGAAAACCAAATCATCATGGTGAAAATTACTTATAGACATACATAACTCACGTCACAAAAAGAACTCACGTAATCATAGTTTAACCTAATATGACTCATCAGTAAATGAATGAAAATCACCCCGAGGCTACGCTTAGTTATTACAACGTGTGCCATTGTAGGTACTTTGAATACTTATAACTCTTTGAGAAACAATAAAGAAAGCAACCAACCTCGAATTTCATAAACTGAACCAATAAAAGAAAGATGGCTTCAGCTTTTTCAAAACATTGTTAATAAATAAAAAGGTTGGATTTGGTAAGAGCATTAAATTGAGGATATGAAATTGATGACAGAAACTTCACTGCTCCTGCAGTAAAAGCAAATCTTTAATGTACATCAACTAGAAACCTGTATGCGCAAATTTAGCTGACCTCTCTTCGTATAACTAAAAATATGAAACATAAGTTTATTTGGTAACTCACATGAAGCTGGTTATAAAGAATACATAATGATGGATAGATACAATGTTTAATTAAATGTGTATCCATGCAAAGCCATATATGTTGGTTTTGATGTAATGACACAGCTTTTGTAACATTCGATTGTTTTGACTTACAGAAATTATTTCATCTATACTATACTTTTTTTTTGTCTTGAAGCTAAACGTGCTATTGCCAATATTGTGGTCAATTGAAACTTAATGTAGGATCCAAAACATGGGCACTGGTGGCTTGAACTAGGGAATGGACTTCTTGTGGGATACTGGCCAGCTTTCTTGTTCAGTCACTTGAGGAGTCATGCAAGTATGGTACAATTTGGCGGTGAGGTTGTGAACAGCCGATCAAGCGGTGCTCACACCGGAACACAAATGGGAAGCGGCCATTTCGCAGATGAAGGGTTTGAGAAAGCTGCCTACTTTAGGAACTTACAAGTTGTTGATTGGGACAACAATCTCTTGCCTCTGAAGAATCTTCATGTTTTGGCTGATCACCCGGCTTGTTATGACATCAGACAAGGCAAAAACAATGTATGGGGGACTTATTTTTACTATGGAGGGCCTGGTCGGAACCCAAGGTGTCCTTGACTCACACAAACAGAAATATAAAAATATTTTGTGTGAATTAATGTTATTTTTCTGTTACTAAGATTTTTTATTTCTTCTTAGATTGTTTTTTTTTTTTTGGTATTTGTAAGGCTGTTATGAAAAAAAAAAAAACAAGCCGTTTGTGGTCCTACTGTATTTTTTGACGTGATGAAATAGATAATTTTCTATATATAAAATTTTGTTAAATATCTATATTAATTTTATTTCGAAAGTTAAAAGTTATAATTATGACAAATATTCAGTAGTTAGAGAGCTCACAAGAAGTTATTTTTAGTTTGCTCTAATTAGGACACAAGAGGTTTCCCATTGTTATTCCGACGGTTCTAGTAAACATGAAGATTTTAAAAGAGTAAAGGTAGAAATAGACATGGGAATGTAGAAACAGAAGAAAAAGACACATGAATTGAATTATAAAGAACGGTTATAAATCGGAATCAAACCAAGGAAGTGGGACAGAGATGAAAATGACTAAGGGAGTTGGTGATTTGGAAATGTTGGTATAGACTAGGGACGACAAAGGTGGGTTTGAAACTTTGGATAAAAGTTTGGGATGGGCCGCAAGTTTTGGTTGGGTCATGGCCTCATTAAGGTCTCGTACATAAACTAAAAAGAGTCCAAGGGCTATGGGTTTCACTTTCACCTAATTTTTTTTTTCTTTCGCCAAAAGTTTCACCTAAAGTGTTCTTAGTTCAATTAGGAAAGGAAAACGAATTATAAAAGTAAAAGGGAAATTCTTAAGGATCTACATAAAGTATGCCAGTATGGTCGTATATATGGGAAGAGGAGTCAAAGCAATGAGGAACGTTTTTTAGTTTCTATATAAAAAAAAAAAAACTAATTTGAGACAGAGAGAGACGATAAAGAGAAGGAGAAATAGTAAGAGCAACTCCAAAGGAGGTTTCTCATATGATATCTAAGGAGTAAAAAAAATAAAAATATAATTCAAAATAAGAGAGAATCAGAAATGTTTCTTGTTTGAGAAACTGTGAGAAAGTGACATAATTTGACTGGTTGAAGTTTTTTTAACTAATTAAAATTTTAATAAATAATTTTTTTTTTTTGTCATCTGGAATTATATTGAAATTTTGGAGTAACCAAAAGATTACAACAGGCTACACTAAGTCAAAGACAAAGGAATTAGTTAGCCTAAACTACCACCATCTCCACAACCAACCCAGAGAGGTCTATACAAAAGAATGCTCTCACAGCCAATGGAAACACTTAAACCACAACCACGACTTTAACCAAAAATGATCTCAAACTCTGAGCATCATACCAACAAACAAAAACTCACACACAAACAGAAGACAAACCTTCCTCATCAAGAAAGACACGGTTTAACCAAACCGGATGTCCAACAGCCACAAAAGATTGGCTTCTCGAGTCCCCTGTTACACTTTGGGCAATGAGGTTTGCTCCTCTGTTTGCTGCAGCAACTTCCAGTTCCAACCTCCACTCCAAAAACGGCAACAGAGAACGATTTAAGGCAATGGCTTGAGCTTTGAAAGAAGGCCAAGCAGAAGGTCTCAATACTGCACCCACTAGGGACTTGTCTTGAAAGGCAAAGATGACTTTATCAATTTTGTGGCTTGCCATACTCTCCATAGCCCACAAAATGCACCTGAGCAAAGCATCTGATTTATTAAGGATAGAGATAAAGGATCTTGTACTATGCATTAGAGCCTTTCCTTTATCATCTCTTAATACCCAAGCCCCACCAGCAATATTATTCCTTCTAGACCATGAGGAACCAATATTACACTTGAACCAATTTGAAGGAGGCTTCTTCCAAGAAACGCCATTCTGCACCACATCCAACTGTTCCCCAAAAGCATCTAAAGCCAACGAAACCGGCTCCACAATGTCAACCCGTTGAGCTTCAAACCACTCCAAAACATCATCTCTAATCTTATTAACCGTTTCAATGGCAGAAAAAACATTTTCCTTCAAAGATTAGAGCATTTCTATTAGTCCAAATTCTCCAAAGAATCCATGGAAAACATTTTCTGAGATTGTAAGGCCATGCTTTGTTGTCTTTATTCTCCAGGTTGTGGAAAATATTGGAGTAAACAGACCCATTACCAAAACCATCTAAAGGAGAAGGAAAATCAGATAGTGCCCAGACTTGTCGAGAGAGGGAGCAAAGGAACAAGGTGTGATTGGTAGATTCACCCAATTCCCCGCAGACCTGACAAGTAGTATCCACATTCATTCCTCTACCATTCAAATTCTCAGCCACTGGCAAAACACCACTAAGAACTTTCCACAAAAAGACCTTGATTTTTGGATCAGTTTGAAGGGACCAAACCTGTTTTTTCAGCTCAAGAGTGGAAGGCTGGATATTTGCTTCAAGTCTCAAGTTCATACTTTTTTCCTGGTCAGCTAACCAGTAGGCTGATTTTACTGAAAAGTCACCACTTTTGTTGAAACGCCAAACAAAAAAATCTTCCTGCGACGCCACTGGTTTAATTGCTTTAATTCTGGCAATGTCTTGAGGAAGAAAAAGATCAAAGAGGACATCCTCATCCCAGAAGCCAGTTCTTGGATTCAAAAGAGAATTGACTTTTAAAGCAACATCAAAGATGGAATTCTTTCTATAAGGAGCCCTATAACCACCATCATCAATCCATGGATCCATCCAAACAAATAAAGAGACACCATTCCCTACCTTCTTTAGTAATCCTTTAGATAGCAGCTCTCTCCCAAACAGAATGCTTCTCCAGCCGAAAGAAGGTCGTTGACTCACTGCAGCTTCAAGAAAAATTCAATAAATAATTTATTTGTTACAAAAATATTAAATTACTATATTAAAGAAACTTTTATGGCCTCTCTCTATTGGAGATGCTCTAAGATGAGAAAGCAAAATATTATTTATATATATTAGACTTAAAAGAAATCATTATTTATATATGTATGGTTTTCTCGACAATTACACATAATGAGATCGGGCTTGTTAATAAAACACTGCTTTACAGAAATAAAATGACAAATGGTCTTTTAACAAAAAACGAAACTATTAAGATGATTTACATAAGACATACATTAAGAAGGGAATGTTTTTGAGATTCATCCAAATAATCATGGATTAAGGCACGGCTTTGGGTGCAGAGCTTGAGAGCCACAGACTCATCATTCGCCAAATCAGAACAATTGGTCTCATTGCAGTCTGCAAAATACTTTCCACTTAACCCTTTGGTTTCGTTGCTCAATGCCACATAACATGTTGTCGCTGCGCCCTAATCACATAAGCAAATATTCAAGAAAGTTAATATTATTATAAAAATCTATTCAGAGGTGTACTAATTTACTAGAGTGATTTGATTCTTAGTGGCATGTATGTATTTGAGTCTATGCATGAATATTGATGATGACAAAACTTTTATTTGGGATGCAAAAAAACAAAAAGGAATCTAGTGTCAGAAAAAGAGAATGAGCTTGTTAGGCCATAGCTGTACTATTTAGACAAAAAGGAAAGCATATACTATTATTCACACTAACCTGGCTTATAGATTTTAGCAGCTTCGAAGCTATCAAAAACAGAGAATCTGCATGCATCATCAGACCACATCATGTTTTAGATTTTTCTTTTGAAATTTTTACTTATTAGATTCCTTTTGCACTTCTATATATGTATGGTTAAAAAGTTTTACTTTACCTGTAAAAAGACCCTTGTGTGCTCTGATAATTCCAGTTTTAACAATTCCTGGATGGACCGCATTTATCGTGACATTTGCATTTCTGTCCTGTAACACGTTTAGTTGTGAATATTACAAATTATTATTTTCGTGAAAAAGTTAAGAAAAAAAAGAAAAGAAAGATGTAAATATGTAATTAGCGATTTTCGAGTGGATGTACCTTTAATTGCTTGCTCAACGCTTTGGCGTGTAAAATTGTGGCCAACTTTGAGTGAGCATAAGCCCTTGTCCCGTTATACCTACACGATTACACAACACAATTACAAAAAAAAAAATTCTTAGATTTTCACACGTAAAAAATGAAAAATGAATGTAAATTACCTAATGGGATGGAGTAATTTAGGGAAGGAGAAACAATCAGGCTTGACCCAACTATGAATCACAGATGAAAGGTTAATAATTCGTCCTTCGATTCCACTCTTCTCTGCGGTGTCTATCATTTTCTCCATCAGCATCTCTGTTAATAAGTAATGTCCTGAAAAGTTATACTAACTATCATTAATTTTCTCTCACTCTACATAGATATATTCATGTGTCTCATAATTCAACAAAATTACCTAAAAAGTTTGTAGCAAATGTCAGCTCAATCTTTTCTTCGGAGAATTCAAGATTTGGAGAGAAAACGCCTGCGTTGTTTCTGCAAAATTCATTTTAACCCTTAGAATTATACTATATTAAAGTCTTATTGTGTAACATACACATCGGTACGTGCATGGGTGCATGATGTAGCGTGTAGAGTGAATATTACGTACATGAGAATGTTGAGGGGAAGATCTTGGGAAAGAAACTGAGAGCAGAATCTGGCAACTGAAGAGAGAGAGCTGAGATCAATCTCAAACAATCTAATGTCGGCTTCTGGATTCTCTTTCACTATTCTCTCCTTTACCATTTCTGCTTTCATCATATCTCTTACTGCCATCACTACTCGCACCCCTCTTTTTGCTAAGACTCTCGCTGTTTCCGCACCGATCCCAGACGTTCCTCCTGTTAGAAAGTAGTATGAATCAAACATTTTGTACGTCATAAATACAATCTAGTATTCTATAAAATATGAACCATTTCACTTCTTATCAGTTTAGTTTTGAGATGGATGCTTTTGGACTTTTTCAGATAAAACTACTTTTAGCAAGTGTATTTAACGAAAGTGAAACTTAATTAGTTGTTTCATATGCTTTAGCAGGGATTAGAGTGTGTGTGTGTGTATGAAAAAAATACCACACTCAAATTCAAATCCGGTATAAGTAAAATCATCTATCATTAACCGGATTATTTCACTACAATTTGGAATTGGTTTTCTACAATTGATGTCTCTAAAAGCAGCCTTTTTGTTTTTCTTTGCAACTTAAAGAAAAAGAGTAAAGAGAGGCCACTTTAAAACCTATTCATTGACCCTCATTGCATAAAGTTTTAACCGACAAATTAGGGAACATAAAGATAGCATAAAGTACGTTTTGGGCAGGCTGATCGCTAAAGAAAATTAAAATAAAGTAATGTTTTGCAACGATGAGACATGTTTCAAAGGTTAAAGTCAAAAGGCAAATCAATTGTATATGGGAGATATGCTGTAACCAACCATACCTAATGTTTCAAATTTCAATGGAGACAAAATCCATATATTGTCGCCGGCATAAACAAAACCCATATCTCATATGATAATGATATTAATATACTGATCGTGTTTTTGCCTGAAAAGTTTATTTCCCATGTATTGGAAAATCACAACTTATAACAAAAGTCTACTGGATGACTCCTAGCCTAGCTACTTTGGTGTTATGGAATTATAACAATTATAACAATAATAATTTTAACAATAAGTGAAATATTAGATATAAGATATATCCTCTCTAGTTTGTGAGTATCAGAATCTTTTGATAAAAATAAATCTTCAAAACATTAGATTGAGGAAGCTTTTAGGAATTATCGACGATGTGCTTCGATCATGTAAGTTGGCAACTATTCTTTTATTTTTGTTGAGGACCTTTGAAAGTTGAAACGTTCCTTGTGTAAGGGGAAGGACACACGAATGCAGAATGTCCCTCCCGGAACATCCAATAAAATTGGAAAGATACGCGAATATCTACTCAACAAAAACACTATAAAGACTGAAATAGTAAATGGTAGCTTAAGTGATGAGGGGAGACAAACCAGTGATTATGGCAGTGAGATGTGAACAAGGAAAAAAGCTATGTTGTGTAACTTGTTCAGCTGTGGATCTTGAGCCAAACCCATTTGGCCCTGCGATTCCTGCTAAGTATCTTAGAGTTCCCTTCATTAGAGAAGAAATAAAGAGAGATAATCGAATGAGAAGATCTTTTGTAGCTGAACTCTAATATTGATCACTCATATATATAGAGGAGACCCATGCACACACGTATCTATATATACACATATACTTTAATGTGTGTTTGTTGTCATTTTTCAATAAATAAATTAAATGGAATTAAAGTAAGTAATTACTTGATTGCTCGATGGTAACACCTCACACGAGTACTCGCCCAAGTTTCTTTTACTTTTGATCACCAACCCTTTACTTTCACAGAGTTTGTATCTACTGATAAAAACAAAAGATTTTTTAAAAATATTGTTAAATAAATTTTTTTGTCTCATGGATGTTTTTTTTTAATCTAACTTTGCTTTTGACACATTACTTTTGAAATTGTTAACCTGTTAATTAAAGTCAACAGTATGTAAATTTTTAATTAAATTAATGAATTTATATCACAGTTATATCAAACATACTAGCTACTTGGTATGTGCAATCCCATTTAATTTTTTCATAAATTTAAGTTAACCTATTTTAATGAGGCTGTAAGAGTTGGAAGTCAGAATACTCAAAACATGCAATATATTATGCTTTGTAGATATGAAAGTATAAATTTATGATAGGCATAATTAAGGTTATACGTGTTAGGATTCAGATTTGATTAGTTGTTACAATTAAGGTTTTTCAGAATGTGGGGTTAAGTTAAGTATAAATATAATCTACTAGGATTTAACCCGCGGTATACCGCGGGGAAAAATTGTATTTTATGTATTTTATATAATAATTTATAATTTATCGTATTTTTAAGTTGATATTATAAAAAAATCTCATTTAATTATTTTATATTATAATTAATATAGTTGAAATATGTGTAATTAATCTTCATTTAATTATGAAGATTTGTAGATGTACAAATGATATAGTGTTAATATTTGCAAGTATTTATAATCATGGACAATTATAATAATTTGATATTATTTTATATCAAAACAATTTACCCCACGGTATATTGCGGGTCGATTTTTTAAACTAAAAATTTTAAATTTAAGTTATATTTTTTTGTTAATATTGTTTGGTTTGTTTAATATTTAATATTATTTAATTATATTTTTATTTTTAATTCTAGGTTTCATCCGTGGTATACGTTCACGTATTAATATCGACTCAAACCCGTCCCACCATATAACTCCGTTTTGTATTCAAAATCATTTTGATCCTTTTTATAGTATGACTCTGAACCATTGTCCAAACTTTTAAGCAATATGGGACATTGTACACATACTTTTTCTTCATCGATTGAGTAATATATGTCCGTTTTTAAAATTTTGAATCACATTATATGCAAAAAAATCTTTTATTTTATTAATTATTTGTATTTTATATAAATTCAAAATAAATTACTATAAGATCATAGAAAAGTGAAAGAAGAATTATATATTAATGTTTAAATTTGGTAGAGATGTATTAGGAAAATTTAGAAATAAAATCGATTTGTTACCATATTTGGAAGCCACAGTTTCTAAAAAAAATTTTTGAAAAGATTTTGTAATATTAATTAATATATAAACATTTATGACAATGACATTCTATTGTAAATACTTCTCAACTTCAGGATTTATTTGCTAAATGTACTTAAAAAATGTATATATAGATTACGCACAAATAGTGCTGCCTAAGAAATTATAATTCTATGTTTATAACGAATCAAGAATGTCTACAATTTGTTAGGGTTAAAACTATATGCGTTGGGATTAAACAAATATCAAATGCTAAGCTAGATTTTAGAGTTAAACCTTTTTTACATTAATTAATTAACTGTATATAACATAATTTTATTTTACTATTCCAATATGACAGAAGAGTTAGGGTTTAAATTAATAAAAATTATATTTTGCATGGAATATTATGTGTAGGTATCGAATTTTATGTTATGAATTAGTCCTGGGAAGTGGCTTAATCTATTTTTCGGTTTGGCGGAGAAGCTGCCGAAATAATTAAAAAAAAAAAATAGTTTAGTTTAACTTGGATCGATTTTCGAATTTTCTGATCGCGCATACATTTATCGAACTGAACCAAATTCAGGTGAGGAGCATCGATTTCTCGGTCTTGCAGCAACAAATCCGGGCATGAAGCATCAAATCGAAGATGACAGCGGCTGAAACAAAGCATTTAAGAAACACATATAAAAGGTCATTTTCAAATTGGTTGTTGGTGAGTGGTTTTTTAAGATTTTGTTTGTTCATTTTGTCATCTAAAATTTTATTAACACTTTAAAGGATTCAAAGCCGACTAGAGAAATTAATATTCATGAATACAAAGCTGGTGGAAAACTAGATTTCCCAGGAAACGAAACTCCTACAATACATGAAACTGAAATGAGTTTAAACATGACAAATGCCACTAGGAATCATAACCCGTAGTTTTGCCAAGGTTTAGGTTTTTGTTTGTGTAATCTTTTAGTGTAAAATGTTTTTTATAGTGGATTCCAAATCCTAGGGAGACTTACGCGTAGCCCTACCTGTTTCCACTTATGAAAACCCTCTTCTGTCATTTATATTTCTAGTTTGGTGAAGCTTTTCGGATACTGTTTTCTTTTCGATTTGAGTAAGCATGTGGATGTGATCTAGCTTTTTTTGTTTTCCTGAGACAACCTAATAACAAATACCAACATCAATCATGCAAAAAAAAAAACAAATGACGACTTAATCAAATATTTTCTGAAGGTAATATTTGAATTAAGTTTGTTGATTAATAGTTTTGGAAGAATGATTGTTGTAAAGTATTTATAGGGATGGTATAATTTGATTTCTTTGTTTTAAGTGTTAAAGATATATGTATAATTTTGTTTTAATGAGATATCATGAAAGTAACGAAAAATGTTAAGATGGGTGTAAATACAAATTAGTGGTTATAGAAGGAGAGAGCACTTTTCCGGTGGGGAACATTGGACCAGCTTCCTCCACACGCATGCATTCTTTGACAACGAACACCCGCCAATTTTGTCTTTTCTCTTCATTATTACTTTCTCTTTTTTTTTTTTTTACTTTGTCTCTTCTTATCCCATCTTTTATTTGGAAAATAAATACTACTAAACATAAAGTATTTATGCCATATTTTAGTTTTTCTTGACTTAAACGTAGATATGTATATTTTTTTGGTTCACCAAACGTAGAGATATTTATGCCATATATTAGTTTTCTTTTGTTTCAACAAAGTATATATTATGAGGGTTTTGAATTCGGATAATGATACTTCAATGATAATATATAACACAAATTATGAAGATAAATTTTTTGGTCACAATATAGTAGTTCTTAACTTGTTAATTGCTTAGAGTTTATTATTATCTAAAATGTAAATATAGATTGTCAAACGTCAATAGTCACCTAAACAAAAACAAATTACTTCTCAAAACTATTAAATCATACGAAGAGATTCATAATATTTTTGTTCAGAACTAGGGTGATGTGATTTTGTTGGAATTTAATACTCATTATGTCCCATTTTATTAGATGTTTTAGGAGGTTTTGTTTGTTTCAATGTATTAGATGAATGCAAGTTTCTATACAAAATTTAAATGAATTTCATGTTTTATACTTATTATATTTTACAGTATTTTCTACTATTGGTTGAACTATTTTAAATTAAAATATTAAACGATATTTTTGTAATATGTGCTCTTTTAGTCAAAACATGTAATATATTGGGATAGAGGGAGTATGATTTAGTGTATTTTATTTTGTTCGTAACTATGTAGCATAATTCCAAATTAAGATGTTATAAAAAACACAGAAAATTGATTATATATGTATATAATTAGCAGTTCATTAAATATAAGTGTTTGAATAGAAGTTATAATAAGTTTTTTTCCCAGAGTCACTAAATCTGTATTTTCTAGAATAAATTTTCGTACATTATTGATTTTTTGTAAGAAATGAATTAATAAAATAATTAGATATATAGAAAATGATGTAAAATAATGTGATTGAAATCAGATTCAAAACATTTGACAGAAACATTATTAGATCTTTCTCTCATAATCTCTCTTTTGGTGTTAGTTACTTTATTTTCTATAAATTAAAACAAGTATAAGTAATGGCGCAATATCATTTATTTGGGTGGAGGAATTGGTCACTGTCTGGTCAACTTCTGGACTTAGAAGCGAACGAGCATTCCCTTCTTGTGGTAGTGATACCGTTGTATGACAGAGTATCAAAGGTCCTACCACGCGTGCTACGGAGAGACCAACACAAAGTGGTAAAGATCTTATTTACTCTCTCTCTTCCACCAGCATGTAGTGGTTAAATCAGGATTAATACTGAAAAAATTGATATGATAAATAAAAGAAGTATTTTTCTAACAAATATAATTACTTACTAGTTACTACAGTTAAGTTTTGGTGAGTTTTCTAAATGACCATATGGAGACTTATTTGCTGGAAACAAAAACATGGTGACGAAATCGTAATCCGTGAAGTATATTTCAGGCTTGTTATAAACATACAAATAGTGCCAATATACACATAATTTAAAATTTAAAACATGTGGGTCTCCTTCTTACCAATTAGCACCATTACACAAACATCTGTTGAATTTACCAATTAAGAAAAAGCAACAACTTTCGGTGACTTTGGCTCTCTGAAGTTAATGGGATCACGATATCACATCATTCGATAAATCCCGAAAATTCATCCTTAACAATAATACAAATAAATAAAAGTAATAATAACTTCTAAAACACTATTATTTATAATTTATCTTCTATTTCCAAAAAATGTAGGTTACTCCAGCAAAATCAAAAATAGTAAATAATATAATCTGGTGCTATCACGGCCAACTTTGTAAAAAAAAATTATAAATAATATATCCAATCAAAAACTCTCATGACGAGAAGTTTAAATCTACTTTTAGAATTTTAAAAATTTAATTATATGACCGTAAATTAAAATTTTTAAAAGATACGTTTGAATGTTATATTGTGTATTATTTCTTATGACTGGTTTGTATTTTTGGAGATAGAGTAAAGTTGTAAAAAGTGAAGATTTGGAGAGTTGTTTTTCGGAGAAACTCTATTAATAATTTATTCTATATATACTAGGACTCCGGACCCCCGCGATGTCGCGGGGGAAAATATTTCAAAAATCGTTAAAAAAAAATATCAAACGAAAATTAATAATAACGACGGTAGATGATTAAATGTTATAACGATTTATAAAATAAACTTAAAGTTGCAATTTTTCGTGAAATAAACTAAATGTTGCAATGGTTCAACTAAACGGCTGCAATCATTTTATGAAAAATTACGATAAAAAGATGCAACCGTAAAAAATATTTACTCGGATTGCAACTTTCTCAAAAAACATAACGTAAAATAATTTTTTAAGTTTAAAAAGAAGTAAATGAAATGTTGCGATATATCAAAAGTTGTAGCGGTTCGTCAAGTTCGTCAAATAAACTAAAGATTAAAATGGTTTGTAAAACAAAACCAAAAATTGCAATGATTGGTCAAATAAACCAAATGTTTCAACGGTTCAATTAAACGATTACAATCTCATTTAAATGCATTTTGGTAATTAAAAATTAAAAATATTAGTTTATAAAAATTATACCGAGAGACGCGACGGTAGATAATTAGATGTTATAGCAATTTGTAAAATAAACCAAAGGTTGCAATTTTTCGTGAAATACAAAAAAATATATATAAATCAAATGTTGCAATCGTTCGTGAAATAAACTAAATATATAAATCAAAGGTTACAATTGTTTGTGATATAAACTAAAGGTTTCAATTGTTCGTGAAATAAACTAAATATTGCAATAATTCAAATAAAAGGTTGCAACTGTTTATGAAGAGGTACAATAAAAAGAAGCAACAGCAGAAGATATTCGGATTGCAATTTTCTAAAAAACATACCCGTAAAATATAAATTTTAGTTTAAAAATTAAAAATATATCCATATGTAAACTATGAAATAAACCAATTTTATATGTAGTTTATTGGTTTACGTAAAAAAAAATTCAATAAAACAACCGTACAAAAATAACTGAAAAACAACCATAAATATTTAAACGAAAGATTGCAATAAAAAGACACAACCGTTTAGATGTACAAATGGTATTTATTGGAAACGACATAGCCGTAAAAAAATAACCGATTAAACGAAAATTACAATAAAAAGACGCAACCAAAATAACCGTAAAAAAATAACCGATTTAAACGAAAAGTTACGATAAAAAGACGCAACCGTTCAGATGTGCAAATGGTATTTAGCCGTAAAAAAAAAACCGACTAAAACGAAAATTACGATAAAAAGACGCAACCAAAATAACCGTAAAAAATAACCAATTTAAACGAAAAGTTGCGATAAAAAGATGCAACCGTTCAGATGTGCAAATGGTATTTATTAGATTGCTATTATATATAGATTGTAAATTTAATTATAAGACTAAAAACGTGTTAAAAGAGAATTGTTGAGTCGAATAGAATTCGATTGAGAACTAACTTCATACTGTAAAATGATACAAAGGAGTTTGAACCAGTAGCACCGAGCTAGACAAAGGTAGTGGAGAATAAGAAGTAATCCACACGTGAAATCGAGGAAAAGGGGAAAATAATATTTACTCATAGCGATCTTGAAAATATTGGAAGAATGTCCCAATAAAAAGACAAAACGAAGGGAAAGCATGATGAGACTCGTGCATTCTTCCATTTTAACAAACAGAACCACTCATTTTGCACCATTTTAATCAACCTCAACGTTTTGCTCTTTTTTTTTCTATCTAACCACCCATTTGAGAACTTTTCTTTGCCATAATTAAAGCTTATTTCTCTGTCTTCCGCACGTTCAAGTTTCAACGATAACTCGTAAATATACCTAAAGTTTCAATATTCCTGGATTTAAAAACAAAAACGTTGGCTGGTTTGGAAGGACAAATGTAATAGACAACTATGATATAGAGTTCTTAGAATTTTTATTATATCTTATGCTAATATAGTATAAAGAATAAAAAAATAACAAAGCAATTGTAAATGTATCATAAAAAAAAAAAATCATATAAAAGATCGACTCTTGCTCAAAATTTTGAGTTACTATCCAACAAAGAGTTAAATAATTTAGCTTAAACCGATATTTGAGAAGGAATCATATCTTCCAAATATCGTTGTTCAACCAAGGAAACAAGGGTTATCCATTTTTTTAGAAGAATGTGTTAACATCTATGGAAAAAGAGTATCGTTTGCGGATTTTTTAATAAATTATTGTTTACAAAAGGTTATTTGATCTTGTTATTTAGATTTTTTTTTATCATAGACGAAAATGGAATTCTCATACGTTGATGGTTCTATCATCTCTCATCGATGTTAGACGCGATTATTCAATGTGATCAAACTTTAGAGATATCATTTACTTAAATCAACACTCATACAAAACGTTAGAAATTCTCTAAATCAAGCACAAACAAGAGTCGATGCTTTTCAAAAGTTTTTTTTTTTCTTTTGATAATTATGCTTTTTGAAAGAGTGTATGACATTGGTAATAATTAACAAGCAAATCACTAAAGTGATATGTAAATTACTGAAGTGGTTATTTGAGAGATGTTTTGCGGAAATGTTACTTTTCGTGTAAATTACGAGTTAGAATTTCAAAATTACGTGATGGATAAACAAAGGAGACAGTGAAGTTGACTCATCAACAATCAAAATGCTTTAAAATCGGCAAAAATGTAAATAAGGGACCCATTCTTTGTTCCCCATCTCCTTTGCACACTTTCATCAACATGTTTCTTACTTCTTCAAAACATTTCCCCCTCTCGTGTTTCCCCCACTTTCTACAATCTAATCCTCTCTCTCTCATATTTCTTTCTAACACCAAAAACATAAATTATTTTCTCCCATTACACGATCTATGGTTAGTAACTTTCTTTGCAATTTTTGGTTTTAGATTATAAATTTATTATATAGATGTATATACATTTGCAGACTTTCACCAATGTTTCAATGACTTAAATGAGACCAAAATTTATATGTTAGCACCGGTATGAAATTGTGGTTCTTCGGGTTATATCCGGTTTTATCCCAAATACAATTATGGGTCTCGGTTTAGAAGGGCTTATTATGCAGTTGGATTGAGATGTGGGAGAATGGGCTTCAAAAGTTGTTGAAGTAGGCCCAAGTTGATTGTGGCAGCCCAAGTGACCGTTGGAGTCAAGAAACCGAGACCAAGTGCTTTGCTTTTATATTTTTGTTTTGTTTTGTGACTGTTTCTCTTGAGAGGAGATCTTCTGTTCATTCTTGTTGGCTTGTTGCATTGTGTTCATCTTTGAGGGTTCTGAAAGGGACTGGTTCAACTGGAATATGTGTTAAAGGAAACACAAGAACATGAGTTAAGAGTGGAATCAACTCGTGCATATTTTGAAGTGGAAATTTTGATAGAAAAGGAAACTTTGTTCTCTGGAAACACAATGTTTTGTGTCAACTAGCTAGAGATACTAGGACTTGGCTTACTTATAGAAGAAGACATAACATAAACATAATATTGCATTCATTTATTTATTTATTTGTTCCGATAAAGTTGGTGCATTATTTTTGATTTGAGTTATTTAGTTTTTTAATATTTATTTCTATTGACGGTGGTTTGGTAGTGTTTGACACATCTAATTTATGTTGAATTCTAACATAAGAAATCAATAATATGTGTCACAATTCACAACGTATGAAACACATCCCCCCAACCTTAGCAAATAAAATAATAATCTAGGGCCATCCTTTAACTTTGTTCTCCACTTTTGTGAGAAAGAAATCTACCAAACAAGATTATGTCAATAAACATAACATTTAAAAATATATATGTTGCATCCTACTCATCATCCCATCACATTATTCTTTTCGTTTTCGGTCAGATTTGCTCACAATGTAAAGAGTCCAAATTGATATATATTAGAATAGTCCAAGTCTTAGAGCCAATCGTTGTTTCCACTACTTTCCCCCAAACTTCATCCTTTCTATGTACCAAACTTTTTCTCTTTATATTACCTCTCCAAGGTTTGCTCATTGGTTCAATCTTCCTTCATAAGCACCAATGATACGATTTCAAGAATCCGATGAAGAATCCGATTTTTCTCAAGAAGATCATCTAACATCTTCTTCTCAACCACTTTATCAATGTATTGCCACTCTTGTATGTCACACAGCATCCTACATTTCATCTCTAACCCTAGCAGGAAAGAGACTTTACACAGGCTCCAACGACGGAGTTGTTAGATTATGGAATGCAAACACGTTGGAAACATTAGCGGAAGTATCAAGCAACGGCGATGTAATAACAGGAGAAAGAGGAGGTGGAGGAGCAGTGAAATCTTTGGTAATATTGGCTGATAAACTCTTCACAGCACACCAAGATCATAAGATACGTGTGTGGAAGATAAACGACGTTGTTGAAGAAGACGTGGGTGGTAAAAAGTACATGCATGTAGCAACGATGCCAACTATTAGCGATCGTTTTGCAAAGTGTTTGATGCCAAAGGACCAAGTTGAAATAAGGAGGCATAAGAAAGCTTCATGGGTTCACCATGTAGACGCGGTTTCGGGTTTAGCCTTATCAAGAGATGGAACGCTACTCTATTCTGTCTCATGGGACAGGACGCTTAAAATCTGGCGTACTTCCGATTTTAAATGCCTAGAGTCATTCACAAACGCCCATGATGATGCAATAAATGCGGTTGCATTATCCGAAAACGGAGATATATATACAGGATCTTCTGACCAAAGAATCAAAGTGTGGAGGAAGAACATCAACGAGGAAAATGAGAAGAAGAAGAAGAAACATTCTTTGGTTGCAATATTGTCAGAACATAATTCAGGTATTAATGCATTGGCATTGAGCGGTACTAACGGCTCTCTTTTGCATTCGGGTGGATCTGACGGATCGATATTGGTGTGGGAAAGAGAAGAAGGTGGAGACATTGTAATTGTTGGAATGCTAAAAGGTCACACAGAGTCTGTTCTATGCCTAGCGGTTGTTTCGGATATACTTTGTAGTGGCTCAGCAGATAAGACAATAAGGCTGTGGAAATGTTCGGTGACGGATTATTCGTGTTTAGCTATGTTGGAGGGACATATAGGACCGGTTAAGTGCTTGACCGGGGCAATTCGTCATTCCGGTAAACCATCTGAGGCTTCTTATCATATTTATAGTGGAGGACTTGACTCTCAAGTTAAGGTTTGGCAGATTTTGGTGCCGACCTAATAAAAGAGTTACTTTAATCATTTAATTTGGATTGTTTCGTTTCCTATATTGATGAGTTTATGGGTTTTTGTATGAGTTCATCTTTTGGGATAATATGTGTACGAGTGTGTTATGTGTTATGTACTATGTTAGTTGGATAGAAGAAGGCGGCTTCTATCACATTATATTGATTTGACAGCGAATCTCCTGTTTTTTGGTCCAATTCGGACAATACAATTGCGGACAATTTGGTCTCAACATAATCTTTTAAAACCAATTAGGTAACATCTTTGTTAAAGAATAGTATATTATAAAGGAGCAAATAGCATATAAAATATACGCAAAGGAAGACAAGTAGTTTTGTCTAATCTTTGTATTATTTCTATCAAAAGTATTTTAAAGAATAATAATTAAGGGAAAAAGGCATCTCTTTATGGAATTTGCTTTTGACAAAAGTAGAGTTTATATATATAAAAAATCTGTTATTGTTCGTTCCTTGTGGATCATGCACCCATGACCCATATGAGGCTAAAAAGTAGAAAACTCAAGCTTTTTCGTTTGGTTAGGTTAATAAAATTAATACCCACATTGGAACTTGCGTAATAAATGTGAAGTTTTAATTCACTTTACGGTTCGTAAAATACATGATCGTACACAATTATACATGCAAATTTAGCAAAAATATAAAAACATAAATGCATGCAAAAAGACCAAAACAACGACCCTAAGTGGACGTGATCTCTATTTTCTGACATTAAATTACGGGTAAGAAACTAGATTTTGTATCGGATACCATAATCTCAATACCTGACCATATCCACTAAATTGACAAAAAGGTCTATGAAACACACGATAGACAATTGGAGGACATGCACAAGAGCAGGAAAGGAATAAGACGAAGCAGAAAAAAAAGTATATAGATTGTGGGCAAATGATGTCATACAATGTGACTAGCTATATCCTACTCTCCTTTTGTTCAACATTGTGTCTTCTTTTAATATTCTCTAAATTTAGACCTAATCAAATAAATTAGATATGGATAAGTTAGGTATCCAAGTCAATTATTTCAACATTACCATTCCCAGATTATCATTGGTAATTTGACCTCTAAATAAAACAGCCGTTCTCTTCATTTGCATACAAGCAGAGCAGTCACAAAGAGACTAGAGACTTGAATAATTTTCTGGCGGCACTAAAATTTTCCAATGCCTCAAATTCAGAACAAAATGTATTACTACAAGCCAACGACAATTATATAGGATAACGAAAGAATTATAGAGAACCAAACTTTTGCCTATTGGCTAAAATAATAAATCAAAGTTAGTAGCATGTTGATCCTAAGCTTTAGTGCATACTTTTAGCTTTATGGGTACTTATGTTACATAGGTCATGGCAATTTTGAGGGAAATAGCTTTTTTTTTTATACCTCAACAAGAAATATTTTCGATTCATACATTATGTATACCACTATGCTAATTCATACTTCAACAAAATATTAATTTAAAATGCTATCTAAATTTCTGAATTCGTGCAAAATTATACATTTGTTACCTTTTTGACATCGCAAAAATCTCTCATCTTTTTGTTTGGAATACACTCAAAGTAATATTTTAGATTTATGTTCTTTTTTTTTTTATCTCTTCGATTTTATTATTTATCTAATTCATGTCTTCCTCCTATTTCCATAATAGGAGAAGAGCGAAATGTATCCTACAAATCTTTCTAAATTTAAGTATTTTGTATTTTACGACGAAATCAAGGAGAAGAAAAAAAAAAGAAAATTTTTTATGTTGATTTGGAATTTGAGGTTCTACAATAGATTTATCAAGCCAATTAAAGATTGGTCCATCAATGCATTTAAAATTTTTAATGATCACATACGAAAAACCTTGCAAGTCACATATATGAGATCATGTAATTTTCATAATAAAACAGCTGAAGAGGAATGAAACGTGAACTTGAAACTTGCCAATACAAACCATACCAATGTGAGAATGTCCAAGGTGACTAAGTATTGGTCTAATCTTATAAAGACTTATACGTTCATATAAAGGTGCGTATATGTGGTCGCCAGTACGAGCCGTACGTACCAATGAACTTGAAACTGTTTGTCTCAAAAACTCAGATGTTGATCAGGGGAACAAGAAAATATTGTTTAGACCATGGTGTTCCGTCCTCGACAATTCAGATAATAATATCACTAGTTTTGTCACGGACAATGGCTAATTTTACCTTGATTGTCACCAATCCATCACAAGAACGATATAAAAACTTTTCACTATAAAATTTTTTCTTTTGTTGTCAACTTTCTAAGACCTATTTATAACTATACAAAAAATCTTTTAGTATATAAAATAAACCCAATGCATAATAAAATAAACTAGCATAATAAATGAGCATCTACATTCTCTCATACTTCACACATTTTCTAAATTATCTGATAATACATCCAAAAATCAAACAATGGCAACAAACACATGCAAAATGCAAAATCCTTTGGATCCGTCTCATTTGTGCCTTCGCCGTTCAAAGTATATTTTATTATATTAAAATAAACATGAACACAACACGTTCAATATAAATCTAACAGATTTTAATACGAAAACAAATTAGATATGATAAAAACAAATTTTCCAATTAGGAAAAAAGAACAATCAATAATAAACAAATCAATCTAATTCAAATTATATTACATAATACTATAATAACCAATTCACCAAGAACATCTTGTTATATAAGGCTTGCATTTAGAGTATGTCTTCTTTTTCATTCTAATTGCCCTTATTTATGTTGATGTGTAAAGGATGTTGTGCCGACTATGATTTGGTCCCTTGATGTAAACCCGTCTGTTCAGTGGTCTGCACGCACACCAATGTGTAACACTGTGCATGTAATCCTCGATATCATGTTATTTGACTACATCTCTACATCTTTTCCTGGTTTACAGGTTATGGAGGATAAGTTGGTTGTCGCCTACTTTGAACGCATCTTTCATGGTTTATTTGAACTGTGTGAAAAATCTATGGATGACTACCCTACTAAACTGCAAAATGATGGTCATAATTTATATGCCGAACTTACGTTGAGCGAGTAAACACCTCGTTAGTAGTGACATTGGTGATACGTAATTTTATTGCTGACTTTTGAATTTCATTGTTGCACGAGGACGCTATTAATGAAAGTGCAGTCACCCGAATAATTGTTTTGTGCCGTCAATGACTAACGCTTTGTATTATTGCACCTTTTAGCTGTTTGTATAGAGTCTATTTTCTTTCTTCATCAATGGACTTTTCTCCAAGTAACTCAATATTTTCATTTAAACCGTTAAGTACTTTTTTAATATATACAATACCAAATGTGTCTTTTGATTCTCATATAGTAGCCATAACAAACTGGAAAACCAGCAAACAAAAAAAAGCTTTGTGGTTATACTTATGTGTTATACACGGAAATAATTAAGCAATTTAGTATGATGCGGTTTACCAACTCATATAGAGAAAAAACTATGCATGGATTTAATACTTATTGTTGTAATATACGTTTAAAAAAAAACATTAATACGATTTGTTGTTCGTTTAGTTCTACAAAAACAATTTTTTTCATTTGCATTTTGCATTTTGGCATGAAATTTGCTATTGATATTTTAAATATTTTAATAAAAGGAGTTTTAGTGTCACAAGAGAAAATTTAAATTTTGAATCACTTAATAAAATGAAAATTAAAAAGCCATATCTTTTTGAAATGTAAAATTGATTGATCAAAAGAAACCTTTACATAACTGTTTTATGGACAAGGGCAATTAGAAAAAAAAAAAAAAATACAGAGCTAAACTAGAGAACAAGACAAATGTAGGAAGCTATCTGTTTAGTCTCGACCGGATCCATTCTTGTAGCAGTCCACTTAACTTCTTGGATTCGTGATAGCTCAGCGACGTGATACGGTTTTAAATTGATTTCTCGATGGTTATGGCAAGATGTTCGCGCCATAAAAACGAGTTTTTATTGACAAAAAGCAAATTATTACAATTAAATGAGCAAAATAATTTAGTTTAGTTAATGACAGGATTTACAAAGATTTTTATTGGCATGTGATGTAAATATCATCGAATTAATACTTATTATTGATGTATATGAATAAGATAATCTATTTGGTCATGGATTTAAACTAATATTTATTGGGGTTTTTCAAAACAATGTTATCAACATTACAACATACGACTTATTTACAGAGTCTCGATTTTATGTATACTTTCTTTCACGACCACAAAGAAGCCAAGCACATTCTTCTTTCTCAACATTGATTCTCCCAAAGTTTTCTTGTTCAAAACTTGAATCAGCTGACTGGAGAAGAGGGCGAAGTCATGAAACATCCTGGTAGTGGAGCGATACCATCTTATTGCGCACTGTTTCCTTGATAATGAGGATTTGGTGAGTCGTCAGGTGATGGATATGCTTGAGACGTCTCTTGTTCCGCTCTAGCCAAATGTGATACATCGTCATCTGGAAAGCAAGGGGAAATGAGCTTTAAAAGTGTAATGTGTGAGGCGCTGAGGAGGGTCCGGGTGAGACACGAGTAGATCCTTTCTATGTTTCTATGCACCAATTTTTTTTTCTCTTCACATTAAACTCTACAAACTTTGGTCATTGGTTTAATTCAAATTTCATTGATAAGCAACAATGATACGATGGCACGAAACCCAAGAAGAACAATCGCATTGTTCTCTTGTAGATCATCAAAAATCTTCTTCCCGCCACTATATCGATGTATCGGCACTCTTGTTTTTTTTTTCCAAAACTCACCACTCTTGTTGGTCACACATCCTCCTACATTTCATCTCTAACCCTTTCAGAATAGAGACTTTACACAGGCTCCAACGACAGAGTTGTCAGATTGTGGACTGCAAGCACGTTAGAAACACTAGCAGAAGTATCAAGCTGTGGCGACATAATAAAAGGATAAGAGGAGGAGGAGCAGAAGCAGTGAAGTCTTTGGTAATCTAGGCTGATAAGCTATTCCCAGCACCAAGATCAAAAGATACGTGTGTGGAAGATCAACGACGTCGTTGAAGAAGAAGCGGGTGGTAAAAAGTACATGCATTTAGCTATGATGCCAAAGATTAGTGACCGTTTAGCAAAGTCATTGATGCCTATAAACCAAGTCGAAACAAGGAGGCACAAGAAAGCTTCATGGGTTCACCATGTAGAAGCGGTTTCAGGTTTAGCCTTATCAAGAGATGGAACACTCCTCTATTCTGAATCATGGGACCGGACACTCAAACTCAAAATATGGCAAACCACCGATTTTAAATGCCTAGAGTCCATCACAAACACCCACGATGATGTAATCAATGCGGTTGAAGTATCCGAGAATTGATAACTGATAAGTATACATGGGATCTTCTGACCAGAGAATCAAAGTATGGAGGAAAAAAGTTAATGAGGACTTGTGACTAGATGTAAGGTTACCTATAACTTGTATTATGAAGTTGTACTCAATATTCTCCTTAATATGTCCAAAATAAACTGATGTTATCAACAGATGGCATCATCGTAATATGAAAAGAATCAATACTAATTATAGAAAAGATTCAAAGTGAACTCCAAGAAAGAGATACAATATTCTTTCAAATTTTTTACAAATCAAGGTTACAGGAAAGTGTTTGGACAAAATTTACAACGGTAATTTAGAAGGAGTACCTGCATCACGTGGATATTTTTGTGGGGTGGAATGATCTTTACGACAAACAACCGTTGTCCGCTGTCCGTATGGGCTATGTGAATCCACTGCATCATATTGTGACAATACTAAATCAAAACAAGTATATTTGCAGATTTGGTTATTGAAAAGCATAAATGAGAAATAAATCCGTTTATCCATAGTTGCGTAGTAGGTTTCCTAGTGGTACCAAAATTTTAGCACACCTCATTTCCACTAATTCAGCCCAAAGTCACTTCTATTCACCCCGAATTTCTTAGGCTAATATTATGAATAAAAGTTTATGATATTTTGGCATATGAAACAAAACATTTCCCAACTTAGCAAGAGATGTATCAGGCCTAACCAAGATAACAAGGGTTATCCTCTCCTGTAGCATTGTTATAACGTTCGCTTTCAATAAAGTTCAAAAACATATTTAAAGGCCAAAAGCAAACACACCTGGACTAATTTGTAAGATTGAACCACCCAACATGCGAACAGCATTTTCTGCATTTTGAACTTCCTCCTGTTTTTGACAAATTCATGAAACATGAAGGTTATAAAGAACGGAAGCCAGAATCCAGAAATTTGTATACACGCATTACATGAAGTAGCAAGAAACAAATCTCCCAACAGAAAACTTAATGTTTACTAACATCCTAAATTCTTCATAAACATTAATCAAAAACAAACTGCCACAAATGAGAACTCTTACCTTAGGGTCATGACCTTTAGCAGCTACAAACAATCCACCAATCCGAACCAGAGGAAGACAATATTCAGCTGAGAATTCATAACAAATAAATCAGATCAACTTTGACCACTAATAAGCAACTTTGTTTCTAGCACTACCCTACTTGAAACTTGTAAATAATACCTAAGACTCTCATCTCCGCGACAGCTCTTGCAATAGCCACATCAAACTTCTCTCTGTACATAACATCGTGCCCACAACTCTGTTCTATAACAAAAGTAGGACAATATAATTTAGAATCGCCTTACTGGCTATTATGTCACAAAAGAATTACACAAACAGGAGCACAGTTAATGGGTGAGATTTTATAACATAGTCCAGGATTAGGAAAAGTATTTTTCTCAATCATGAATCTTAGTTTCCAACAGAAACTCTACACAAAGAGAGTAGCTCGAAAAGATAACATTCATCAATAGACCAACTTCTAAAATGGTCTAATTTTAAAGTCTAATCCATAGATTTAACAGAGACATTAACGGATTATCCTCTACGGGAAGTCTCTCAGCTGTTTCAAGAGGTTGTTAGCTTGAAACAAATAAAATAAAAAAATCATTCCAGAATAGAATGTCAGAAACTGCATCTAGATTGAGTTACCAAAGATAGTAGAGAAACCAGGAGAAGCCAACTAAATAAGTGAACCTACTAATTTATATTGCAGAGACGCATCACAAAAATAAAAAAGGGTTAAAACTATACCTCTGCTCTGCCCCTAACGATTTTAACATTTGTAAGCCCGGTAACATTCACTACGTGCTCCAAGAAAACACAACGCTTATTTATAGACTCCAGTAGAGTAACTCTCCAATCTGAATACAAGAACTTGACTTTTTTAATAATCTGGAATACCATAACAAGCCTAATCTGACAAATTTGCATAACCATATTTGAAGCTAAAGAAACCTGGACATGCAATGGCTAGAACCAACCCAGGAAGACCTGCCCCGCTTCCAACATCGATTATATTGATGTGATCATACAAACCACTGGAATGCAAGTTGTAACAAGTCTTTATAGGAGGCAATATCGCAAGAGAATCTTCGATATGCCTCTCCATTACTTCGTCAGCTTCTTTAGTTGCTGTAAGATTCATTTTCTGCACATTCACAAGGCCAACTCAAACTCACATAGCACTCACAAACAAAAACATACTTTATAACCAATTGTAACAGAGACAACACCAGTGATTTCAATTGAGTAACATCACTTTGAGGTAGGAATATAAAGCAGAACAAACTATAAGATGTTAAAGTGAAGTAAGCCAGCAAAAAGAAAACAAGATTGAATTTTTTTCATTGAGCAGGTAAAAGCATTCGACTTATCATGCTTTGACTAAGACAAGGACTTATAACAAACACTTGGTGGGCAATACACTTAAACCTAAAATTGGCTTCTAAAGCTTTCAATTTGTTTAGAAATTCACGAATCTTTTCAAACAAGTAACGCTCAAGAATCAATCCTAAGAAAACCCAACTAGTTTATTCAGCAAAAGGGTCGCGAGAGAGAGAGACCTGGTTCCATTGGAGAAGTGTATCGACATAGAGATGGATTTGGTCCTGTTGGCTAGAACTGAGGCTTTTGAAACATGAAGCTGTAGTGCTTACGGCGACATTAGTGAGGGCTTTGGACTGAAACCTCCTCCGGAGAAATGTGTACGATTTAGTGCATGGAAGGTGTTTGATTAAATGCCCCAGAGAGATAACATGTGAGACGCATTGCATTTTTTTGGATGTTTTGACAAACTTGCGGACATTGGAGTTATATTAATGTTTCAACCGATCCTTTTAAGGTTGTTTTCACATACAATTTTTTTTTGGGTGACTGGGAATAAATGTTTAATTTCATATTCAAACAAATATTTTAATAACTAACCTTTACTAAAACTCTACAGTTTCAAAATTTGCTGAAAGTATTCATGTGTATAATGCATCATCAGGATGATTTGGCTAATGTAATGGGGCTTTGTATCATATTTATACAAATTATCACACTCACATAAAGAAAATTTGTAACTCCAAACTAGTTTTGGTATTTTGTAACAATTCAAAGAGTATGAAGAAAAATCATATCTTGCAGTCCTTGCTTTCACCACATGTCTCTACCTGCAAACACAATTTGGCTAATGTAATGAGGCCATCTTTAGAAGCTAGTCCGTGTAAACGTTATGACAGAAAATTGATTTACTTTGTCACTTACCTTATCTTTCTTTCTTGCTTCAAGAATAGCTTCTAAAGATGGCCTCCCTAATCAACAAAGATATGAGTTTTTGAGACGCACAAATGATCAAGTAAACTTGACAATATTTTTCAAGTCATTTTATATACCTGTGACTTGAAGTCGATATTTAGCCCATACATCATACACAGCATCCGCTAACTTCCCTATCTGCGAGCAATCATGACTTCATGAGTTATCTGTTAACGCAAAACTAGACACAACGGAACAAGAAAGTTTCTCTTGGATTCGATCTTGCAAGAGATATTAGGAGATAAAGAGAGGCTTACTGGTTCAAATTTGGTGATAGTGTAAACCCATCCAAGCCCAACTTCTTCATACAATCTCCTAAATGCCTGAAAACGTTACACCAAATCGTTAGTACGGTCAAAAACATCGAGAATAGCTTAAACAATGATACAATAAGCTTACCTCCACACCCTTAACCACGTTACCATCAGATTGAATAGCATGAATCTGCCCCATTACCTAATAAAGATCTCGATCAAATCCGAAAGCTCGAACATCAAACAGAGAAGGTAACAATTGAATAAAAAGGCAACAAATTTACTGTTTTGTAATCAAGCCCTTGATTATCTTCCGGAGAATAATCATTTGAACTTATGTCCACAAACTTTATAGTTCCATGTTTTTCATTCCTTTCCATAAGCATATTAACCTTAAATTCACCAATAACAAAACAAAAATTCAGTACCAAAAACAATTTATGAACAAGCATAAACAAAGGAACATAAGTAAATTATAGACCTCACGCATACAGAGAGGGCAATCTCCATCATAAAGCATTTTGATTTTCCAATTCTTAGATTTGAGCTCATCTCTGTTCTTCAATGGTGTAATAACAGGATCAGTACTTGTTCCTTGTATCGCTCTAACTTGATATTTAAACCCTACAATTATAAATTTTGACACAAATTCTATGTTACATATCTGTCTTAAAACAATATTGTAATGAATTTGATGTACCGGTTGGGATGATTCTGTGATTGAAATTGGGATTGAAATGGTTTGATAATGATCGAAGAGAAGGGTTTCTTCGTTGCTTCCATATTGTGGATGCAGCAGCAACAGCTCCTCTCGTTGCCATTCTCTTTTTTTTGGTTCTGTTCCAAATTTTCAAAAGCTTCTTTGATGGAATTTCGATTTAATCGAAGGCGTTAAATATATGGTGCAGAGCCGTGCACGTGGCATTATTGTCTCCTTCAATGTTTGTATTGCCAGTTTTGGAGAACCGTGGACAATGGGAACATCGAGGATCGACCGTGTCCGTGTGTGATTAGGTTAGGACGGTCGCTCATGAGTCATGAGGAATATGAGAGACCAAATTTTATGGATATTACAGATTTTAATTTAATTTAGTTTTAATTTTATCTAAATTAGAGGGTTTTTTATTACTAGTAGATGTTTGTATTGTTAAAATTATTTCTTTCCGAAAATTGTATTGTCAAAATTTACAAGCGAGATAGCAGGATTTTGATGGAGTTCGTAAGAAAATAAAAGTGGTTTTAGAACCATGGTTAGTCACTTAGAGCATCTCCAACCCATCTCTATATTTGCCTCTATAAATAGAGGTAAATATAGCAATCTCTATTTTAGAGGCAAATATGCTCCAACCCACCTCTATTTTTGCCTCTAAAATAGAGATTGCTATATTTGCCTCTATTTATAGAGGAAAAAATAGAGTTCCTCTATTTTATAGAGGAAAAAATAGAGATCTCTATTTTAGAGGTGAAAATATAGTGGGTTGGAGTAAAACTCACCTTTATTATAGAGTTCCTCTATTTTTAGAGGTAAAAATAGGGAAAACCATTGGAGATGGTCTTAGTTGGAAAACCTATCTAGGACAAAAGCAGAAAGAGAATAGTTTTGGACTGATAAATAAATTTAATTCACCAATTTTAGGTAAATAGTTTTGGAGACTAATAAACAACCTAAAGTGATTATTTGCAAAAGTGTTAAAGATCGGTAATACCGAAAATCTAAGCCGAGTGAGGAAAAAAGATTAATCATTTTTTTAAGGATGGTAGATAAAAACTCGTGCTATGTGCTATATATTGTTAAATTTTATAATAGAACGATTTTAAAAAAAAAATTCAATGTTTTTGTATTAAATCCAGAAATGTCAAAAATATAATATTTTTAATTAAAATAATGCTATATAAACACCTTACAATAACACAACTTTTTAGTCTATAAATTAAAGTACTTTTTAAAACTAAATCATATATAATAACTAAAAATGTAGTTATAAGACCTTCTCTCAAATTTAAATTTATAGTGTGAGTTGCTTTAAAAGATGTTTATTAAATTATTTGTAATTAAATGCTATTGATCATGTATTTCATTTCAAAGAGCAACAGTCTTTAGTTTTTGTTTTGTTAAAAGTACATAATTGAAAGATTGATTGCTTATTCTTCGGTCAGTTTTGTCCATACGAAAACCATGGAACAAGAAGGGTCCGTGATAGTCGTCCCTAGTCGACACCAGTCACAATGTCTGATGTGGTATTGCAGGCGAACCTCACCAACCTAAATAGTATATTTTCATCGTGAAACAATAGTATGTTTGGAAGGCTAGAAACAAAACATGTTTTCAATTATCTTTAATCAAATACCAACAGCATTTTTAGTTAGTAGAATGTGAAGTAATGGGTTAGTGATGGATTTAAAACATTGTCAATTTGCAACGATATGATATGTTATAAGCAAGGGATTGATTAGTGACAAAACTTTTAACGCCGTTCAATGTCTCTTTCCTTGTACTTTTTTTTTTTCCTTTCTCTTGTAATTTATAGATGATTTAATATACATAGGATCAATTATCTAACAAATGATCAGCTCAAGCACGCTTCGATGCTTTCGGTTACGTATGTAACGCCAACTTTTGATAATTTCTGTATTATTCTACTCAAAGAACACTTGAGTCTTCAGTCAAAAAACTGAATGATTGCTTTCAATTTTTTTCACTTTAATATCACAAACTCCAAAGGACCAGCTTTTGTCATTAGCCACTAACATGCCTTTCTATTTTCCAAACTAGATCCTTAAACTCCGAAGCTTCTCTTTAATATTCCCCAAAGTTTTAGAATTTGCTCAGCTAGACCCTCCTTCTGAAATGCTTTGTAAAGAGGGCTGCCATGATCTTGAGATTCTTGACCTTTCTTTCTCTTGCTTCTTCAGTTGCAGCTATAGACATTTTTTACCCAAGTTAAAACCAATTATCACTACTTAGTCGTTTGCTAAACTATAATTTAACATGTTTATCTTTGTAGTCACAAATTACCTGATCTGTATTGTCAAGCTTAGTAGAGTTAATTGCTTTCACCATCTCTAGCTTATCTTCCGACCCTTTACTTTCTTTCTTCAACTTCGAACATTTTTTCGCCATTAAACCCTTCATAACCTCTGAATTTCACCCCAAATAGTTTCAAAATTTGTAGATTAGAATGTATATAAATATAACTTTTATGAGAATGTTTCTTTTAATACAAGTATAAGTACGTTTTAAGTAAATTTCTAAGCGCTGAGCTACATATAGTTTGAGAAAGTCGAAAGCTAAAAAGGCGAAAATAGCTCATCCATTTCCTAGGGTTGCAACTTAAAAGATAGTAACATATTCTATATCAAAGGGAGTAAAAAAATATAGTTCAAATTCAATTACGAGATATGTAAATGGATGCAACAATATAGAGTTGCAGTAGATTTAAGCATGTTACTCTAATATATACCTTTAGTGGTAATGAGTCTATAGACGTGACCGAGAACAAGCGTATCCGTTGGACGAAGGAGCTTGATCCTCGTGAGCCTAAGAGGGCCTCCATGACCGGAAGACGCGGACGAGAGAGCGGTGGTAGAGATGAGAAGAGAAACACAGTGACCAGGATTCATCTTCATCACATAACTAGCAGAAACTGGACAACTTAACTTTTCTTCTTTCCCATTTGGGTGTTGTATCACTACTCTCGCTGTATCCACTGCTTGACAGTTTCCCATCTTCTTCTTGATTTGTATAATTGTACGTAGAGAAGGCAAAAATGGGTTTTTATTTTGAAGTGAAAGAATTAATAGAGATTTAGAAAGATTGGAAAGAAGAAAGTGTAACCGAAGCAAAACACAAGAAGAGCGTGAAAGAAAGGAACAGTTTTAAATGTGTTTGACTCGACCAACGAGAGAGAATGAGTGCGGTCTTTGTCTTTGACGGTGGAGTCAAAATAATTACTGACACCGCAGGCCAAATGAGTATTCCGGTTTACGACAATCACTCCCAATATTCTTTTGCAATGATTTATGCAAATTTACGTGCATAACCCTATATATTTCTACATATTTATAAGTTCATTTTATATTCTCAAACAAGAAAAATCCTAAGCTTTTATAATTGATGTGAGTAAATTATGAAATTCCGTAGTTATGGAGGATGATACTTGTTTCCTATGTGATATATATTTTCAAACAAAAAACCATCTCTTTTTTAGGAGGTCTGGTCCTTCACCAATTTTTATGAAATATTTGTGTTACACTATAAATTTCAAAGCCAATTTTGGAGAGATTTTTTCTTTAGCTCCAAAATTACCAAAAGAGAATCCAAAATTAGTAAAAAGTCTCATAATTAATAAAAAAAATCTCATAATTAAAAAAATCTCATAATTATCAAATAATGTCCAAAAATTAATAAAAATTAATAAATAAAAATTATGAATGTCCCATAATTAAGAAAAAAAATTTATATACTATTTTTTCTTTTTTAAAAAGATCCTAATTTTTTTCGTATTTGGCCCCGGATCGACACTGTTTCTTAAATGTGTATATAATTTTGACTTATGGAGGTGGTGTCTTTTCCAGACTGCAACAATACTTTATGGGCTTCAATACATGAGACTGGTTCCTTGCTTGGCTTAAATCTCCCTCTATTGAAACTCTTTCAGACACGTTTAGACTTATTGCAACTCAAGCAGTAGTCTATGCAATTTGGCATGAAAGAAATGCTTGAATTTTCAAAGGCATCTACACTCCGGTTGAAGGCTTTTTCCCATTACTTGATCGAGGGATCCGCAACAATTGCTCAGCTAGCAAGCACATCCTGAAGTTTCAAGACTTGTTCTAGCTATGGTTTCGAGGCGCTCCTCTCTAAGTTTTGTAAGTATGTAAGACCATGTACACTGGTGACTTTTTCTCAGTATCATTAGCCCAAAAACAATTTTATAATGGACCAAACTACTTAATTGGGCCTGATCAGTATCAGTCCACTGATACCTGTAATACTCAGTTTCGTGTGACATCAAGACATTAGGCGTCAAGAAATGGGTTAAGATGGTATTTTGCTGTCTTCTACCTTTTTTCTATATAAATCTTATGTTGACAATGGATTGCATTAGCTTTTGCAGAAAAAAGCTGAAGAGGTGAAACCATATTTAAATGGACGATCTATGTATCTTGTGGTCAGTTTCTATGTCTCATCCTTTGTTTGAATATTGTTTAGCTTCTCGTGTATCTTGGTAACTTAACAGTTTCCTAAGGAGCATGAATTGAGAAAATGGGTTGTATAGTCAATTTTAGGGAGTATAGGATTGTCTAGTCAATTTTCGAACTTGTTTCAGTTGATGTTTTGAAAAACCATTACTGGGTGTGTATGTATGTAATTTCTTGTTCTTGAACCAAATTGGGTTTTACAGTTAGATATTTCTCTGTTGCTCAAAAAGAAAACGTCAATGTCTGCAGAATCTGGCTGACAATTTGTTCAGATATAACCATTTAGGATTTGATTTAAATACTTTGTATTTGATGTTTGCTAAAATTTTGTTTTGGATTTGATTTAAATACTTTGTATTTGATTTAAATATTTTATTTTTGATTTTGCAAATAATTAATGAAACCGAAACCGCTCTCACCACTGGAAACAGATTTATTTCCAGTATCATAAAAAATCTCAAACAATAAACAAACATTAAAATTAATACTTAAAAATTGTTAATGATATTGTATGAGTACCAACTATGTGCATGCTCTAAGTTCTTTTTTTCTCTTTGTACCGGATTTATTTCTTGTCGTTGTGGCACTTCTTTATTTTTATGTAATCGTTATCAAAGTTTATAAAGCAAGAAAATTTAGTAAAAACATTTATGAAATTGTGTATGAATTATGATATAATTCGAAATATAATACATAAATAGCATATATTAAATTAAAAAGTAACAAAATTGTAGTTTCGACAATTAAAAAAAACATTATTAAAGAAAACTATCAAATTTAACAGGATGTAAGAGAAGCAACAAATATTACAGTCGTACTTTTTGTTAAATATTGTCCTGCATATTTTTATATAAATTATATATTTCTACTTACTTTGGTAATTTTATTGTTAACTACTATTGCATTTGTTGTCAACGCATATATCAATTATATAAATCATTTAATAACTTTTGAAATCGGATTGTACTGTATATCTTTTGTAAACTTCACAAAAACACTCACGTCTACTATGTTTAAGCCAATTAAACACTAAGTAAATAATTTGTTTTTGACTTGAGTGTAAGATTTATTCAAACCCAAAAAACTGTTACAATAGATGTAAACTTTAAGCTGAAATTATTCATGAGAGTTAAAAATAGAGTTAAACAGAGCCAAATCGTCGGTGAGAGACCTTAGGTGTGGGTGAGTAGCAAACGATAAGGTGAGCCTCTTGCATAAGTATATGATTTTCTGTATGGAATCTAGATATATGTGATTTTTCTAACTTCTCAAAAAATTTAGAAACTATATATTTTTTTAAACGTTATACATGCAATGTCATCTTATAAGTTTGATCATTGCATATGCTAAGAAAGAAAAGAGAATAACGGCACGTCAAGCAGAAAATGGGACCCAACCGTTCTCCACAGTTCGCTACACATGCTCGATGTGTTGTCTTATGTACCTTACTTTTCCATTTTCTATGAGCGAGTGTGTTTTTCTACTTTCTTATTGTTTTTGTTCTTTTTCCCCGAAAGGGAAAGTGTTTAAAGATGGCTTAGTTTATCACTCTTCTTTTTCTTCACGTGTTTTCTTATATGAATGAAAGTCTTTGCAAGTTTTAGAGAAGATTACAAAAATGGATTCCTCCGGTTGTACGTTGCAAGATATATAGTAGATATAGATGTATTCGAATTTAGTCTAAGTACTTATGTCAGTCAATGTTGATATGTGTTAGACACAAATAAACATATTGCTAAACCTACAAGAAAGAAAATTAAATTCGCTCTGATGAACTCTTTTTCAAATTAATTTTCACATTAGTAAGCTTTTGAAAACTTTCACATTCCTAAAAAACTTTTTGTGTTTACCCTATAATAATATTGTTCATCTTCTTCATATAAAAAGTTATTTTTCATATCAAAACCCTATATCGTAAAATCTAAGCTCCAATCCCAACATCCCAAACCCTAATTGTCGTCTTAAAACTCGTTGAGACTCATAAAACTATAATCTTAAAATCTAAACCCAACATTATATATTCAAACTCCGTTTACATTTTTTTTTAAAACCGCTAGACATCCGAACTTTTAGCCCATAATCTCTTTTGGTACCTAGTGTCTATATTAGCCTATTCTTATATAAACAAAATAAAAGAAATTTACCCAAATAATGCCTCTCCGTTTATTGAACCTGGGACACAAGAAAACCAACATCTTTGTACTATCACGCACTAGGCCACCAGCCCTTTGGCCAAACCTCCGTTTAATCCTTGTGGAAACATATATCACGGCTGAACACCCAACCTCTCTCATGAAATCAATAAGTGATCCATACGATGAAACGGTTGTTACAGTACATCATGAGCAAAAATTAACAATCAAAATGAATATTCTTCTAAGTTACGATGAACAAGAAGTGGCCACTCAACTAAACTGATGTGAAGTGATGGATACATTTTTCAAGGGGAACTTGAGGAAGAGGTTTGCATGCAAAAACCTCATGGTCATGGATTACATCAAAATGGCAAAAATCCTACTTGCGGACAATATCGTTATTTCTGGTGACGACTAAACTGGGATGACGTCAAACAATATCTTAAAAAATCGATAAGAAGTTTTTTTTTTTTTTTTTTTCCTTTTTTTTTTTTTCTAAGAATGTAAATCGATAAGAAGTTGGAACAAAAATATCACTCGAATGAAAAAGAAAAGTCAGTGAAACGAATCACAAAGAGAAGGAAACGACCAATGACCCAATAGCTACCTTACACCATCATAATTAAATCTTTATTATGATTGGCTCATCTATTTAAAAAAAAAAATGTTATCTGTTCTAGAATTTGACATTGTATTGGACGTGGAATGTACTATTTCAATTACTATCTGTTCATGATTTCTATTTTAAATTTTTCGGCTAAAAATATTCTCAAGATATTAGTAAAAGTATTGATTTAAAATTAAAGAGTGCATAATTATATATAAGTTGAGTTACGTCGTCTCGACGACCTAACGTTTTCTCTTTGACATGCATGAATCATGAATATAATTTCAAAAAAGTCGGAAAAAAGAATGATGGTCCAAGACAAGAATCATGGAAAGATTTTGTCAAGATAGCTCAAAATGTACCATGTACGTGACATGGAGCTAACCTATTGCCTACTCTTATGCTGCATATTGCCTAATTTTTGTCACTGGCCTAACTCTGCTTGTTTTTCAAGTTATTTTTTTCTTTCTTTCTTACAAATACGATTCGGATCACAATGGAGAACTATTTCGATACTAAACTTGTAGAGGAGCTTTTTTGAGTATTGTTATATATATTTAACCAATATAAAATCGTTTTGACATAATGAGATACGAAACTAAAACGTGGGAACTAAATTTGGATGATAAAGAAAGATTCTAATGTACAATGAAAAAGAGAGAGATTACTTAAGGAAAAAACAGAGTACAATATATATTGTTTAGCACTTAACAATGTATACAGACAAGAAAAATCATTTTCTTTTAGCTATGTATTTAAATGTTTTTGTAGACTGTTATTAATAAAAGTGAAATATGTATTAGGTAGAGGAAGGTCCAGAAAAATCAGAGGAACTTGGACGAGAACTTGAAGAAGGCAGAGGTTGTTCTATTGGTAAATGTTCTAGTATGTTGGTACTCTCTTCTTGTCCTCGCTCGCGGATTAACCGTTGGCCTGAACTTTGCAACAACTTTGAATAACTCCAATAATTTATCAGATCCTCTTCTGCTTTATTCGCCACTGTGTCAGCTGGTGGAGGAAGAAGAGGAGGAGGAGGAGGAGGAAGAATTCTTACATCCTCTGGGAAATTTAGCTTTGCTTTATTTCCACGGAACCTGAGTGCAGCCTCGTCGTAGGCTCTAGCCGCGGCTTCCGCTGTATCAAACGTCCCGAGCCAAACTCTAGCGGCTCTATGTGGATCGCGTATCTCAGCCGCCCATTTGCCCCATGGTCTTTGCCTTACTCCCCTGTATCTCCTTTTTCTCTCCCTTGCTTCCTCTGGCAATGTCTTGCTTGTGGACTCTTCTGTACAAAATAGTGATTATTTAGGCTTTTACGTGTGGAATGTTTCTTTAACATTTGATGAAATCATCTTTGAATATTTTTGCTAGCACAAACGTCAAAAGTGAACACAAACAGAAACAACTAACGAAAAAACTTTTGTATTTGAGATGTTAAGAGTCCATAAGCAAAGTACGCAAAATCCGAAAACAAGAACAAAAGATATAAGCTATGGACCGGTTAACAAAATAATGAAATGTAACATATAGACTCACCGATCGGACCAATTGAAGAGTCTACTCGAGCAAATGATGAGGGAATAGGAGCAGAATCCATTCCAAGCCATCCTTTCTTTTGTCCAGCCGAAGAGGAAGAAGAGTGAGCCCCTTCAGCCTCAGTCTGAGAGCGAGCAGAAACAACCTGTGTCAAGGCCGAGACCATGGCAGACATCTCCGTGCCGAACCTATTGAACTTATCAACAACAGGGTCGTCTTCAAAATTGTAGACGTCATCAACCACTGATTCGATACCCTCAGGCTCATTGGCCCTGGACTCTTCTTGTTCTCCTTGGTTTGCCACCTTGAGGAGCGACAAATAACACCAATAAACTAGTATTTTTCCGAATGTAGTAGTCTCTCTCTAGAGGCTTGACTAATTTCTATATATATAGAAATAAAGTTGTCACACAAACCAAAAGCTGTGTATATATACATCTAAATTAATTTTAAACACGGGACAAAACTCATCGTCTTTCCTAAAATGATAGTTTCATTTGGGCCCAAATAAACTAACGGCCGAAAGTATTTAGGCCTCCTTAAGAACCATTCCCCTTAAAGGCTTTTGGCAATATACTTGTCACTTAAGAAATAATTTGCTAGATCATATATAATTCTTTCAGAACTTTAGAAAAAATGTTTTAAAAAAATCAGGAAAACTAGCCTTATACTAAATAGCTTGACAAATTCATGACATTTTAGGAAGAAAGATATTGACATCTCTTTTTCTTTTCAACAAGGTAACAAATAATTTAGTTAAGGAAATTCTGACTAATGATGACATAAAATATTGGTTTGCAAAACATTCTGCTGCAATTATTAGATCATAGATTAAAATAGTTTTTAAACATATCCATATGTTTCAGTGAAAAAAAGGAAATGTATTGATCCTGTTAAAAACAAAATATTGCATATTTGCATCCCCAAGAAGGCAAGAATTAAATCACCACAATATCCGAGAAAAGTTTAACCAATAAAAAAAATCTTTAACAAAACTAAACCAAAAAATAGAAAATCTAACGACGGTACGTGTTTTCATGGTCATCTTCATCCACCAACAGCTTCGGTGGCTCCAACAGCTAGGGCAATGAGATTCTCCATCTTCAATGTCATCGTCATGACTTTCTTAGCTGCCACATCTCTATTTTTCCCTACCAAATCCTTTACTATCGTCGTGCTGTCGGTACAAACCATGACATCATAGTTTGCAGTTTCCGGCGATTCCTTGAGTTCCGAGGCAGCACTCTTGAGAGACATTGCAACGTTCACGTAGGCATCTTGACACTCCTTGAACTGCTTCTTCAAGCTAGGTCTATCCTTCGCTGCTTTTCTAATGAAACTCGCCGATTTTAGGGCGTAAGATTTGCCAAGGCGGAGCACCGCCTTAGCCGCTTGGAACTACATATTAGAATAATAAAAACATTATATGTCTATGACTGAGAATGAAACATGAACATAATTGCATTAACAACTAGTGATTTTTAGGTTTCATGACTCCATTATCCTGAATTTTTTAGGGTTTCAATACATATACTTTTTTAAAAATATCATTTCGAAATTTTATTATGAACAATGTAATTGAGAAAGTAACAAGTGATATCTCTATGTAATGGTTAAGAAAAATAAAGATGTGTATTAAAATATTAGTACCTTGCCGGTGGCAGAAACCGCCGGAGGATATGCGTTTAGAGTTTCGACGCAGAAGGTTTTATTGTTGACATGTTTGCATATGTCTTCGATGTACTTCGTGGAGGCCGAAGTAGAGCCTAAGAGAAGTTGTAGTAGAAGTGCCACAGAAACAAAGACAAAACTATAGGAAGAGGAAGCCATCCTTCGTTAGTATTCAGATTTTTGTTTAACCTTTGTTTGTTAGAGAATCGTGGTTATTTATATATCTTGCACGCATAAACCCTACCCGATCATCTTCTTCAAAATTGGAAATGTATTAAAAAGTTTATTAGATGTTATTAATTTCCGATTTACTTTCTCTATTCATTTCAGATTTACACTCTCTTAAATAGAAACTAAAATATACAGTGAATCACGATCTGTGGACAGTTAAGAGAAAAAAAAAAAGCTTTGATTTATTTTCAAAAGATTATGCTAAACTACAGTACAGTGTAGTACACCAAATATTATAGCACGCAATTTCTGCACAAATTTTGGAGTAAGATTCTACTCATAATATATAATATTCACTTGATTATTTCGTTATTTTTTTTCTTTTCAAAATTTTTCATTTTATTACAGCTAGTGAAACTGTAAAAGATTTGATTTCCTACCACAAAAAAGTGAAAAACGAAGAAAAATGGTTATTAGAAAATATTTCATAGGAAACTGAAATTGGTAGGAATTTCGTAGGAAATTTTCTACGAAATACGTTCGTAGGAACATTCGTAGGAAAAGGGAAGAGAAATTTTGACCAGTTTCCTACCAAATTTTATTATTTTCAAACAATAATTTATAAGAAAACAATTTCAAAAATATAAAAAAGTAAAATAAGTTATAAGAAAATTTGAAGATAAACTAAATTAAATTAAATTTACTTTAGATGTGGTTCGCTATGATCTAGTTGGTACGGAACGGAATTGCTCTTCACCTCCAATATATGGGCTTTTGTTCATCTAATTGTCTTCTTTGCAACTGGGCTGATTTTTTTTTTTTTTATTTTTTTTTTTTTTTGGACAACAACTGGGCTGATTAATATAGGTTCTATTAACTGAAAAGTTTGGGTCACACATAAGGCACTTTGTATTTTCTTTCTCATACATTAAATAGAAACACAAATCTAACTAATGAAAAACAAGTACTTAGATCCAACTAGTTGGAGAGATACAATTTAGTCTGATTCTTACTATTTGTATGGATTTAGTATGGAGCTTATAAGGAGTATTCATGTATAAATGTTTTACGATATATATATAAAAGATAGTTTTTAACGATATATTAAGATAAGTACGATGGTATATATTATCATCTTCGTCTTCACCCGCCAACAACTTGTGTGGATCCAATAGCGAGAGGAAGGAGCTTCTCCATTTGCATTGTCATCTCTATGAGAGTCTTCGAAGCCACGTCTCTGTTTTTACCGACCAAATTCTTCACTTGGCTTGTGTGGTCGGTACAAGTCATTACATCATAGGTTGCGACATTTGGAGAGCGCTTTAGTTCTTCAAGAGCGCTCATGAGAGAATCTCCAATACTTTCATAGGCCTCTTTGCACGTCTGGAACTGTGTCTTCAAGTTCGGCTCCTTTTTTGCTGCTTCATCTGCAAAACTCGCCGACTTCTTGGCTTGGGGTAGGACAATGCCGCGGATCACGGCTGACGCAAGTGGGAGCTGTAGATTATATATATATATTTTTCAAAATACGATGTACATATTATTTCAAAAGAAAAATTATTGCTTTAAGAATGAGTCAAAAACATATATAAAACTAAAATATATGAAATTCAAAAACTAATTTGATTGGAGATATGAGTTTAGATATTACCAAGCCAGTGGCAGAAGCCGCAGGAGGATAGGCACTCAATGTTTGCAAACAGAAGGGTTTATTGTCGACCAATGGCATCTGGCATAATTTATCGATGTATTTTGTGGAGGTTAAGGTTAATGCCGAAACAGGGGATACGAGAACTTGCAATAGAAGTGCCACTGAAACGATCAAGAAACAATGAGAAGACGAAGCCATTTCTTCGTCGGAGCGAGAACGTTTTGTTTGATCTCAATCTATAAGTTAAATTAAGATTCAACTTTTGGACGTTTGTGTTTATTGTTTATATACGTTGCAAATATATGTATATATACTAAAACTTTTCTTGTAAGTCATGAATTTATTACCATCTTTAGAAGAAAAAAATATGACTGGTATTATTCTTTCATTTTCATTCTGTGCTGAAATCTGACTGGTTTGTTGAAATTATACTTTCCTTATTTTTCATCTTAATTAGTACAATCTATACAATTTGTTGACTACGTTTCATTACTTCTTTTTTTTTTTGTTGGCCAAGTTTTTTTACTTTTTGGTAACTCTATAAGTTTTTAGTAACGTAAGATTGATAAGACTAAACTCTTCTATTTTCAGAAGCTATTAAAAGAATTATTCAAATACCTACGATTTATTAATGAGCCTTTATTAGTTCAATGATTTATAACCATATAGGATTTAGAAATCCTCATTGATTTTGAAATAAGATATATGAATTTTGAAATAACATAGTTTACCCATGGATTTTAATCCTTTTATTTTTCACTTTCAAATTCATTTAATTTTTTTTTGGATTTTGAAAATCCAACAATAAATCATTAAACTAATAACACAAGTTTTTAACTAGTATGTAGAAATCAATGAATGAATAACTTGATTTTGACAAAAAAAAAAATTAAAATCAAGGACCCAATAATACATGATTTTGCATTGATTTTCTAAATCAATTAAAATCTATGAACCAATAAACCTCCTAAAGACTATATTTTACTATTTTCAAAAGCTTTTAAAAGAAATATCCATTGTAACTGCATATATGATAAGACGAATAGGTTCAGTAGTTCTTTCGACATGTGGTAATGCTTTTTTTGTGTGTTTGGCATGTACGTATACTTACATTTGTTTTTACTTTTTGCATTTCGAATTCGAGTTCAAATTAATCATTCTACAAATAGATTTATAATGCATATGCCTTAGTGGTTCATCATCCGTTCATGTCAAATATCAAAAGACTAAACAACATAAGCAATTGGTTTTTGACATTCTGTTCTTGAAACTTAAGGAAGCTTAATGAGGAACTTTGTTTTCACCCTTGACCTTGTGTTCGGCCAAATTCACATAATTCTCATGAATTTGAGCCACATTTGTTTTCTAGTTTGTCGGCTAAACCGGCACCTTGACAATTAAATCTTTAATGGGGTGTTATTGGTTCCTAATTTACAAAGAATCTCGATGACTTTAATAAAATCATAGAAAGTAAACAAATGAAAGATTCTAAACTATTGCTAGAGAGTTTTCTATAATCTTGTTAATTAGTTTTTCATAATCTTGTAAAGTTTTCCAAACAATCTCTCTATTTTGATGATATTTTCTATGACTTTATTTTGTGAAGAAAAGTGTAGAAAATCATAAACCAATAACACAATAATTTAATTCATTAACAATAATAAATTCTTTTGTTTTAATTGAATAACACAAAATTTTTATTGCTTTTATAAAAGTATGAATTCAATAACTCCAAATTTATGAAAATTTTAGATTAATTTTTACAAATCTTAAACTAATAACACCAAATTTTAACAATTTTGAAAAAAATATTGATTGAATAACAACATATTCTACATAACATTTAAGTCACTAAAACTCTATTTAAATCACAAACCAATAACACCCTCTAAGGCTCATAGATTTTCGCTTGTGATTGAGATAAACTCTTAAAATCATTCAAAGCTAGTGGAAGTCTCTTAATGAAAAAAACCCACCTAATACCTATCAACCTTAGTCTTGTAGTTCTTTTCCAAGACAACTTAATGATATATTGATTTTCGTTGCAGAGAATTAAATCATTACAATCTTTGATGAAATGCAAACTATAAATTGAAACCTGATAGCCAGCTTTTAACAACCACGACTGTGTGTGTCATATTCACCCGCCAAGAGCTACTGTCGCTCCAATGGCGACATCAATAAGGTTCTCCATTTGCAATGTCATCTCCATGAACGTTTTCGAGGCGTAGTCTCTATTTCCCCCGACCAAATCCTTCACGTACATTGTGATGTCCGTACAACGAAAAATGTCATAGTTTGCACTCATTGGAGATTCCTTGAGCTCCCCCCTTGCCATTCTTAGATACAACTGAATACCGTCATATTCATGCTGGCATGAATTGAACTGCGCCTTCAATGTAGGCTCTCTCTTTGCTGTCTCGGCGGCATAACCCCCCGTATTGTTGGCGTAGGATATGCCGAGGTTGATCACGATGTTAGCCAGTGAAAACTATAGATTAGAAAATACAATTATTGATGGTTTACTAAACAAAATTATATAAATTTGATGTTAATTAACGAACTGAAAATTAATTATAAAGATAACTGCAATTGCAAAATAAAAAGTTTACGTTACATCTTGCAAACATTTTACCTAGCTACATGTGTCCAAGTGCACGCAGAAAAATGATAAACTTTGCAAAGGTGCATTTACAATCTTGATTTTCAATACTTTTTTATTCAAAAAGAATTCCAGAATTTTTTTTAAATGATAAATCAAATCATAAGGTTAAGATTTCAATTGAAACTTTGGCATGTCAACGTTTGGTGTGATATCAAAGAAAATAGAGAAAATATTCCAATATACTTTTTTTCGCACATTTTTCAATTATATCATGTCTACTTTTTCTTTTCAACCATTTTCATTTTACAATGTACTATTTTTCAATGGCAATTTTGAAAAGGAAATAGCTTTTTCTATAAGGCGCAAACAGAAACATGAGAGCAATGCAATAGATATGTGGCTTAAGATTAGTACCAAGTCGGTGGCAGAAACCGCGGGAGGATAGGTTCTCAACATTTGCATGCAGAAGGTACCGTTTTCAACATGTTGGCATATCGCATCAATATACTTTGTGGATATTAAGGCCGAAGGAGATATTAAGAGAATTTCGGATAGAACTGCCATGGAAACGAAAAAGAAACAAACTGAGGAAAAAGCCATTTCCTCTACCGTTGTTGTTTGTAGTTATTAATTATTTATATATCCTGAAGGCGTCATATATGCTGCTTAGAAGAAGAAAAAATCATGTAGAATTTGGTTAGTTGGGTCTCAATCTTTTACTTTCCATTTCTACTGACCTTTTAGATTGAAGGCAAAAGGTATCTCGTTCAACAAAATATGTTTCATATTATTCTTGATCAATTTACTAAGATTTGATTATGATATAAATTTCATTATTCTTTTAATTCTATAAAAATGAATTCATATATTATTATACTTCATAAAGTTTCTTACGTTAAAGTAAAGCATAGACAAAAATCTTTAGATGACATATATTTCACAAAATCTAGCAGCCTCTAAACATAAAATACATTAACTTTTAAAAATGAAAAAAATACATTTGAAAAGATTAACACAAAATATGTTATTGGATCATAATTGTCCAAAATTGAAATTTTTTGTGTTAATCTTTTAAATTCTCTTCTAAATTTAAGAATTTTGCTAACATCTTAACTTTGTTTTTCATAAGTTTCCGGTTTTGTTAAGTAATAGGAAGAAAACTATTTCAATTACAGCAACAGTAAAAGTGAATACTGATTACCAAACAATAAGAGAAAGTTAAGTACTTTGAATCTATTATTTACTACTTTCATTTTAACATACTAAGGCAAATATGCATATAAAGAAAAGTGTAAGAATAATGATCTCACTAACCTTTTGCATATATATTTCTCGATAGCTCCAATGACAAACTAAATTTATTAGTTTCAAAGTATATACAAACACAAACACAAAAACAAAATATCTACTCTTTAGTTTCAAACTCCAAAGTTTGTCTTATTAACCACAACTTTAACTATTGTATCATAAACAAAAATACACTTTTATGTGTACATTATAATATATACACTACAATGTATATATCACAAAAAAAAAACAAAATAATCTAAATTGAATTACAAGTTATTATAACAAATTTCTTAAAATATGAAACCATGCACGTACGTGAGGGTCAAAATTTAGTGGTCCTTAGATTTACAAATCAATTTAAAATTCACTAAGAAAGTTTTCATCAAATACATATGTTCCATCGAAAGAAAAAATGTATTGATCTTAAAAACTAAACATTGTATCCTAAAGAAGTAAAATAAATAATCACAACCTTTTTTACTTGGTAAAATAAATAACCACAATCTTTAACCAGGGGTAAAACAAAAAATGGAAAATCTGACGATGGTATATGTTAATGTTCTAATCGGTCTTTACCCGCCAACAGCGACAGTGGCTCCAACCGCGATAGCAAGAAGCTTCTCCATCATCAATGTCATCGTCATAACAGTCTTCGACGCATTGTCTAAATTTTTCCCTACCGAATTCTTCACCACCGCTATGCTGTCACTACAAACCATGACGTCATAGTTGGCAGTGTCTGGCGATACCTTGAGTTCCGAGGCAGCGCTCTTAACAGACTTGCTAATGGTCACAAAGGCATCTTGGCTCGCCGCAAACTGCGTCTTCAAGTTTGGATTCTCCTTTGCCGCATTTCCACTGAAACCCGCACACTTATCGGCATAAGATATGGCTAGGTTGAGCGTGGCCACAGCTGCTTGAAACTACAAATTGAAAAAAAAAAAAAAAAAAAAAAATCATCTGTTTGTAATGTTATAAAAAAAAACAAAAAAAAACCTTCGACAAACAAAAGATTTATTAATTTAACAAAAATATGTAATTGATCAAAGAAACTATAATCCTTTTTTTCTATATCTTTTGGAAAGTAACAAGTGATATATCATTTATTTTTTCCAACCACAAGTGATATATATCTCTATCTATTGGTTTTGGAAGATAGATATTATAGTACCTGGCTGGTGGCAGAAGCAGCGGCAGGGTACGCGTTCAAAGTTTTGGCACAGAAGGCTTTGTCGGTAACACGTTGACATATGGCGTCGATGTAATTTGTGGCCGAAGCAGAGATTAAGAGACATGGTAATAGAACTGCAAGAGAAAGTACTAGGCCAAAACAGTAGGAGGAAGAAGCCATTGTTAGAATTCAGATTTTGGAATTGTATTGTTCATCAATTGTGGTTAGGTTTATATAATACTTGCACGCATGTTAGATACTACCCCTTGCCCATTTCTTTCAAAATTGGTGAATCTTTAAGTTTTAATTTCCATTTACTTTCTCTTTAGAGAATTCAGATTTTCATTCTCTGTATAGAAATGAAAATAGTACTGATGGATCACAATTTGTGGTCTATCTTCTTGTTGTTATCTTTTTTTTTGGAGAATTTGGTGAATGAACCATAAAATGACCTAATTTTAGAGCAATGCCACTAATATTAGATCAATGGCATATTTAAGGCTAGCTTTTATAAATTTAAATTAAAAAATATTTAATGTGGAAATGGATAATTAATTAATTATACCCTTTAATTTCTAAAAAGAAACTTGGACAAACACAACACATGACATGGAAGATAGTGGTGGATTTATTCTTCTATTAAAAAGATTTAAAAGTTTTAACAACAAAAAAAAAGATTTAAAAGTTGTTTTATATAGAAAACAATTGTGTAAGTTTTGACAAAATTTTGGCCAAACTCATTTATGACCCCATTGAGTTTTTTTTTTTTTTTTTTTTGCTTCCCCCTATAGTTTCATGACTTCTCTCATGTCCTCTCTTTCTTTTTCCTTGCAAGATTATATTCCCTTTTCTATTTTTTGCTCATTTTCTTAAAAAAATCATGACTCTTAAAATATTAATACAATTTTTATTTTTATTTTTTTCACTAATAAAATTTTAGAATATTTTTAGATATATCATTATTTATATTTTGTAATTTTTAATTAATTCTATTCAATAAACACTCATAATATAATTATTTGTTATACTAAAGTGTTATAAATCCATAAAAGTCTTTCTCATCCCTTAATTAAACTATGTTCTTGTATTAACTCTCTAGCTTCATGATCTTAAAACCAACGTAACGTAAGGTTGTGAAATCTAAAATCTCCAGTTGAGAGCTCTCGTTATGCCAACTAACGTATTGATACGCTCGCATGTATAGCAATTAATCGCTTCGAAATTAACAATATTACAATTTGAAATTATCCTAAGATTCAATTATCAGTGACATATAAAAGTTTATATATATATGTCATTTGAATCCATTCATATTTTTTTAACAAAAGTAAACCGAAAACCGAAAAAAAAAACCCGACTTAGTTTCAAACTTCAAGCACGACGATGTAAGTTCTCATCATCGTCGTCAACAGCATCGGTGGCTCCAGCCGCGAGATCAAGAAGCTTCTCCATCTGCAATGTCATCTCCATAAGTGTCTTAGAAGCGGTATCGGTGTTTTTCTCGACCAAACTCTTCACACGCCTTATTTCATCGCCAGAAACCATGACGTCGTAGTTGGCAGTGTCTGGTGAGTCCTTGAGTTCCAATAGAGCGCTCTTTAGAGACGCCAAAATACCAACATAGGCGTCGTGGCACTCGTTGAATTGTGTCTTCAATGTTGCGTCCTTTTTGGCTGTCTCGGCTGCGAAACCGGCTGTTTTCTCGCAGTGGGATATTGCAAGGCCGACCACGGCCTCCGCCAATGGCAACTATAGATAAAAAAAAAACATAAGTAATTTTAAAGTTGTAATGACTTTTTTAAACACCTATAAAACTCCTTAAAACAAATGTTTGGTTCTTCATACTTTTTCCATTGAATTCCTTTTAAATGATGTACCATAGAAGCAGATGCAAACAAACCATCAAAACCTATATAGATGTGTTTTAGTTTAGAATTATGATTGAATATCTATGTGGTTAGATGGTTAGTACCAGGCCGGTGGCAGCAGCGGTAGGAGGATAGGTGGTCAATGTTTGGATGCAGAATTGTTTGTTTTTGACTCGTTGGCAATTGGAATCGATGAATTCTCTGTTGACCAAGGCTGAAGCTGGGGCTAAGAGAAATTGTGACAGAACTGCCAAAGTAACGACGAAGAAACAACCGGAGTAAGAAGCCATTTCGTCGCCGGAAAAAGGTTTTATTTCTCTTAACCTCTAAGTATGGGGAATAAGATTTTGGTTTTAGCTTTTGTTGGTTGAGGCAATATCACTTTGGGTCATATATATACAAATGGGCAGTCTAATTTAAGAATGTCAAATTTGGTCAATTTTTACTAAATTTAGTGTGTTCTCAGTTTAGACGATCGCTATAAATAGATCATTGTCATGGTTCCTTTAACTTTGGTCAGGAGACTCATAAATATTCAATCTTATCGCCTTTCTTTATTTAGAAAGAAAAACTGTAAAACAAAACTGTGGTTTCGTCTATTTTAAGGCAATAGAGAGAGTAACCTAAATCATTAGATATCAATCATCACGGCAAAACATTCAAAAAGTTAAATAGTTAAAACTTAATTTGACCTCTACGCTTACACTAAACTTATTCACAGATAGTGTTCACAACTCCCAAATCGAACCATACCCGTAAAATAATGAAAAATTGAAAACAATAAAACTTAGTAAGAAAGAGAAAAGCTTCAAAAGAATTACCCTCTTTACTACCATAGTTCACCAATCACCGTCCCTCCTCTGCAGCTGCATAGCTTCTACTTTCCCTTACTGAAGAACCAGCAATTACATCTTCCTCTTGTACATTACGTCTTGTTTCCCAGTTTCCGTGCCTGGCTTCTGATCGAATTGTTGGTGCTCTTTCATTAGACCCGACTCTCATTTGGTCAATATCGATCTTGTGATGCCCTGTATCGCTGCCCTCTTCAACATTTAAACGGTGCTGGAGTTTCAAAACATCTTCATCGATGTCTAGATCGTCTTCCACCTTCTGACGCCGTTCCTCCCTATTTTCTTCCTCTGCTTCTTCCGGTCGTTCCCATGTGGTAGCCAATGTAATATTCCTTGGAGATTCTTCTTTGATGAACGCTCTGAAGTCATTCCTCGAGGGTTTAACTTTTGAGCAAAATGTCTCAAGAAAATTGTCTGAACACCCACGGTTATAAACGTTGATTCTATTGTCTGATCTGTACCGGAAATTCTCATAGGTTGTCTGAAAAATCGCAATGCAAGGTATCAGATGAGACACAGTTTACACAGTACATACCCCGAACAGAACAAAACTAACCTGGTTTGTGCTAATGAGGTACAAGTGAAACCCAGTAAGCCCTCCAACAAACCAAAGGGAAATAAAGCAATATATCATCAGCATAACCGCCCAGGGTGATTCTCGCATTGCCCTCCACACAGTACCTTGATGGTTATCCATCAGAACCTTGATGTATAATGCCGACATCGAAAAAATGTAGATGCAGAGAATAGTTGCCGAAGAAACAAACATAAAGAAGTACCTATAGTTTCTCTGCCCACAACACACAAAACAAAATGTCAAGAAGGAAAATTAAGTTCACAGTTTTGTCAACAACAGATAAACCAGATCCTCAAATATGAAATCCTTTTATAGAAAAACCTGCACATTTTTCTGCCTATAAGAAGTTATGAACTGCATATCTTCCTAGTTTAATATGCTTTTGAATCAGCTTACCACTCCAATGCATTGGCCTACCCAAGGGCAATGATGATCAAAGCGCTCAACACAGTTGTTGCAAATGGAACAATGGGAGCAACGAGGAGGGCGATAAAGCATGCATGTATCACAATATTTAACTCTAACAGAAACGCCATAAACCATGACTTCCTTCGTCCTAGGAATTTGAACAGTAGGTGTTTGTCTTCCATCACTTGATACAGTTGTATCATAGCATAGTTCTTCCTCTGGCGGATGCGAATTTCTTGGAACGATTCCAGGATCCCGCGCAGAAGTGAGGAAGAGAAGGATCAGTACCTATTAAAAAGCAGTTATATGATTTTTTGAAAGCATAAATGAAGGAAGAACACTAAACCTGCCCAAAAAAACATAATCCGAAAGCCACACAACAAGTGACAAACATTCAACGTAATACCTCAAACTTTATCTCTAAGCTAGAGGAAAGAACATAACAATGAACAATGAACATAGTAAGATTGTGGTGTGATTTCACTCTTTTGATTAGATTCTTAACTTTTTGTGTTATGATTACCAGTGAATCATACTATGATGCATTTATATAATCAACATTCAAATTTTTTTTTTAAAAAGAGTTCCTATAGGTGTACAAAAATTCATGTTACCAAGACATCAAATATCAAATGGTCATTGGAGAAGACTTACAAAGACAGTAAATAGGACTCCTGCCACTAAGAACACATGTCCGGCATTGTTTGGTAAGAGCTCGCGGCGAAGATGTGTTGCAACAAATACAGAAAAGAAACAAACTGGAGTTATGATGAGCAGGAAGGTAAAAGGAATAGACCAAGCATCTGGCCCAAAAATCAATCTCCCACCAAATAAAAACTTCTGCAAAAGACCAACAAAAGAGAATCATGTTCAGTATAAAATACAGCATGGAGCAAAGCATTAAAAGCTGTATTCAAAAGTGTTAATGGGTTCCATTGAACAAAATTTGACAATAAAGTTAGCGAAAAATGCTTGGAGAGTGAACCAATGATGACTAGAAAGAAAGCTCATCAATGTCGAAAATATAGCGATCACATCAGCATGGAAACAAACAAGATATTCATGTTCATACTTGGACCTTCATCACTATCAACAGTGATAAAAGCTGAAAAAGATTCGAAATTTAAAGCCACAAAATTCGACATATCTAGTTGAATCCAATAAAGCTCACCGATTGAAAATGATGATGATACTAATTTTTAGCAAATGCTCTTCACACACAAAAGTACCCCAAAAATGTCTACATTGTACTCACAAAAGCACCCCAAAAATGTTTTTACATGCTATATAAATCAAATCCACTCAAAACTACGACATTGAAGTGATAAAAATGTCGCCTTTACGAAAACCTAAAAAAATTGTAGATTTCTTGAATGCAGATTCCAGATAAAAGGGAAATCGAGACTCAGAGGACCTTACATTACTACCCTTCCAGGCTTCGAAGACCCGTCTCGCCATTAGAATCAGCGAACGGATCAGAGACTCCTCCTCGCTACACTCTCTTAAGGATCCTAAACAAATTTCTTCACCGATTCATTTCGTTTCAGAATTGGAGTAACCAAAACCTAAGTGTTTTCTCTCTCTCTCTCTCTCTCTCTCTCTCTCTCTCTCTCTCTCTAGCAACAAAATTGAAGTTTTTGTGTGGTGTGATCTCTTCTCTCTTCTCTTCTCTCTCTCTCTCTCACAAAAGGCGTTTCGTTTCTGGATTGTGTCTCCCGAGAGAGACGAACATTACCAGTTTTGTTCCTTTTTTTTTTTAATTACGCATATAAAATTATAATTTTTCTTAATGTTTTAAAAACCGGACCGGTCTTGTAGCCGAAATTGGGTTGAGCCGGTGTCTGGTCCGGTTTTAAAACATTTTAGCTACAGGTACAAGATTTATACTGAATGGCTAGGAAAGACATGAAATGCCCAGAGATAGTCTTAATCATGAAACAAGAGGCAAAAAAATTGCTACCATATGGACAAAAGACAACCAAAATTTCCCACCAAATCACGTGTTTGTTTGGCACGAAACAAATATCACAATTTTTGATCATCTTTAAACTAACTAGATGAATGTAGCCACGCTACGCGTGACTTGTTGCATTTTTATGCTACAGTGCACAAAATTTTAACATTACTTATTACAACTCGAAATGTTTTAAATTATTTGTATATCGTAATTAAACAAAACATATATAAAGAATATTGTATTTTCCAGATAGATCTAACACCTTCTTACATTTTTTTAATTCTAAATTCTAAGATTATTCATTTAACTTGTTTAAATATCATACATTTTTCATTAAAGATTTTAATTTAAAATTGTTTAAATATCGAATAATGCTTTTGTTTAAAAAAGTATATAAAGAGAATAATCATACACCAATAGTGGAAAAGGAAGATAGATCATTTCAATTTGATTCACTTGATACACCAATATTAAAATAGTTAGCTTTTGAACTTTCATAGATTAATCGGGAAAATAAATAAATATTATAGTGAGAATTTTAAAAACTAAAGATAAAAGAATTATATTCTTATAATGCGATAGAAACAAAATAAATTTGAATACAGTATAAACTACATATGTACCATATAATCTCTAAAAATAAAATAAACAGAATAAAAATCGAATATAATATAAATTACATATCATATAATCTCTAAAACTAAATTTTACAATCAAACTCTTACCATTACAGAGACCAAAAGGCATTCTTTTATATGCAAAGGTTCCATATGGACATGTGAATGTGGTTTTTTCTTGATCATTAGGATGAATAGGTATCTGGAAAAATCCACTATAACCATCTAGAAAGCAATAGTAAGGGTGATTAGCTAACCTTTCTAGCATTTGATCAATGAATGGAAGTGGGAAATGATCTTTCCTAGATGCAGAGTTCAACTTCCTATATAGTCAATGCACATTCTATGCCCAGTTATAGTCCTAGTAGGTATGAGCTCATCTTTATCATTTTTTACAACAGTCGTACCTCCTTTCTTGGGAACACAATGAACTGGAGATACCCAAGTGCTGTCGGAAATAGGGTAAATTACACCTGCTTCCAATAGTTTAAGTATCTCCTTCTTTACAACTTCTTTCAAGTTAGGATTCAATCTCCTTTGAGGTTCAATGCTTGAATAATATTCATTTTCAAGATGAATACGATGTGTGCATAAACTAGGTGAAATGCCCTTTATATCATCAAGTGAATAACCAATGGCTCTCCTATACTTTTTCAGTTCAGTTAACAGAAGATGCACTTGTTCATTAGTTAATTCATCATTCACAATGACAGGATATGTAGAGTTATTACCTAGGAATGCATACCTGAGCCCTTTAGGAAGCGGTTTTAGTTCAACCTTTGGTGCCTTGAGTTCAGACCAGTCATCTGAAGTTAAAATGATCAGCTCCGCAGGGATGTCAACTGTTGTGGTCGAGTGCTCAGTCGAGTATGTGTTCGAGTGAGCAGGTTGAGCCTGTGTTGAACTTTCTTCATTCACTGCCATTACCTCTGTTGCTGACCCATTCAATTCCTCGAAGTATTCTGACTCTTCCACTGCTTTGTGTGAGTCTAACAGCTTCTGATAACCCAAAGTCTCCAAATGCAGAAACACATCTTCACCATTCTTGGTCAAAGCACTCTTGAGGTGGTCTTCTTCTGCAAGCTCCTCCAGTAACTCATCGGCTAACCGATCCATCTCTTCAATCCAAAAGAGTTGCCAATCTATAATAGGCTTTTTCATTGCATCCTTTATGTCAAAGGTCATTTTAAGATCTTTGCCAAGGTTCAGATCGATCTCCCCCTTCTTGACATCGATGATAGCTCCAGCAGTTGCTAAGAAAGGTCTTCCCAAAATCAAAGGATCTTTGGGTTCTTCATCCATCTCAAGCACTACAAAATCAGTAGGTATCTCCACAACTCCAATCCTGATTGGTAAGTCTTCAAGCAGCCCATGAGGGATCCTTACTGATCTGTCAGCCAGAATAAGGGATATGTTGCAAGACTTGTATTGAGTGAACCCCAATCTCTTAGCAACAAAAAGCGGCATGAGACTGACTGATGCTCCTAAATCACATAAGCATTTGTTGAAAGCTAATGGACCTAAAGAGCATGGTAGAGTAAATGAACCAGGATCACGAAGCTTCTTCGGAATGATCTTCTTCTGTATAATAACACTGCATTCATGATTCAATACTACCATTCCTTGCACCTCTTGAATTCTCTCCATGATCAGGCCTTTCAAAAACTTTTGGGAATCCGGAATAAGTGCGAGAGCATCAACAAGAGGTATCCTTAGTTCGACTTCCTGAATGTTCTTGGCAAACATAGCTCTATACTTATCTGCCAATGCTTTCTTGTGACGACCAGGAAATGGAAGTGGAGGTTTGTAGGGAGGAGGAACGAAGACCTTCTCCTTGTTCCTAGCAGCAACTGGTTTTGGAACAGTGGATGATGTTACTGGAATTGGTGGTCGAGTGACATGGTCGAGTGGAGGGTCGAGTACTTCAGTTGGCTTGTCAGCTTGATCTTCATTGAGACTGAAATCCTCCCCATTTTGCTCTTCACTGTCCTCAATGACTGCCTTAGGTCCCTCTCCGGTTGGAAGCTCTTTTTCACTGCGCAGGGTGATAGCATTAGCCTGAGCGTAGTCTTTAGGATTTTGAATTGCTTTGCCTGAAACTTGGCCAGTAGGTTTTGGAGCATAAGTAGACGCAGATTGCCCCTCCAAGTATCAGACTTTGGAATTCAATGCCTCAACTTTTACTTTCAGGTCATTGTAGCTACAGTCCAGCTTACTGTGTAATTCAGATATCTTCTTAGCAATCTCCATGGAGCCAGCTGCTTGTCCTTGGAGAAGCTGTTGTAGCATTTGTTTCATGTCAAAGTCTGGAGCAGCAGGACCTTGGTGTTGCTGAGATGCAAACCCAGGTGGTGGTTGCTGCTGGTAGTTCCCCTGAAATTGTTGCTTCTGAACAAAACCTTGGTTGTAGGGAACAAAAGGTTTATGCTGGTGCTGCTGTTGTTGTGGAGGATACACTTGATCCTGTGGATTAGCAATGTTGGTGCTGCGGTAAGAAAGGTTAGGGTTACTAATGTTGAAGTTGTTATATCCTTTGTAACCACCTTGATTATTGATGTAGCTGATTTCTTCTAACTGGTTCCCCTCCCCATCTTGGACTTGATACTGCTCGTCATCAACTAGAAAGTGTACATGTTTCTGCTGGCCAAGAAGAATCATATCCAGTTTCTCATTCAGAGCTTTGATCTCCTTCTTGTGTTTATCGTCCAAGTCAGTTGTTCCTCTGATGGTTCTGTCACAGTCCTCGTTGTAATTTCCATCTGACTGAGCTAAATTCTCAACCAATTCCCAACCTTCAGCGACATCCTTGTTTTGGAAATTCCCATTGCTCGCGGTATCTAGAAGCATTCTGATCCGTGGAAGAGTACCTATGTAAAGAGTGCTGAGCAAAGAGGCTTTACTGAAGCCGTGATGAGGGCATTGGTTGGTGTAGCTTTTGAAACGCTCCCAGGCTTCACATACGCTTTCTCCATTCTTTTGTGCAAAACTGGAGATCTCATTGCGGAGTCTAGCAGTTCTTGCGTTGGAGAAGAATTTTGCAAGAAAGACTTTCTTGCAATCGTCCAAGATGTGATGGATCCATGTGGAAGATTCTTTTCCCAGATATGTGCTTTGTCACCCAAAGAGAATGGGAACAACCGGAGCTTGAATCCATCTTCACTGACTCCGTTGATTTTTGTTAGGCTGCAGAGCCTATCGAACTCGTCAAGGTGATCGAGTGGATCCTCTATGGGGAGGCCGTGAAACTTGTTGCTCTGAACCATAGCAATGAGACCACTCTTGATCTCAAAGTTGTTGTTCTGCACTGGTGGAGGCATAATGCCATTACGCCGATTGTAGTTGCGTGGAGCGTCGCCTGCACCAATGTTGGTTGGTAGTTCTATGTTCTGGTCGTCAGCCATAGCGGCTATCAACCAGTGAAGCTGGTGATTGTCAGTACCTTAATCAAAGTAGACAAAACACAGAATTAGTAACTTCGAATAAAAAAAAAAACAAAAAAGAACTTGATCTTAAATATTCTGAAATCTCAAATATAGCAAACAAACACCCAAATGGCAACGGCGCCAAATTGATAGTAAGATTTTACGATCAATTAATCCTAAAGTACTATCATGTCGTTGTAGTATTTTAGGGTGTCAATCCATTTTAGGTGTGATGCAAACAGATGAGATGTGATCAGAAGTCACTAAGTCAAGCCAAGCAAATACATGTTTTGGGTTTGTGACAGTTCTAAGTGATTATACAGAAAACAGAAAAATTGTAGAATTACAGAAATCACTCGACCACAACTGGCTGAAGCTAGGAGCAGGATGTGGTCGAGTAACAAGCAGAAACTGCAACAAAAGCACTCTACCACACAGTCTGTTGCCAGACACTGGATGTGGTCGAGTGAAATGGTGATAACAGGTGAGAAATGCGAAAACAGGCAGTGACAACAATAAATCAATAGCAATGAAAACAGAGAAATCAAATAGACGAGAAATTCCTAAGGATGGGGTAATCGAATGGAGTGGTCTCCTTAGCCTATTCAGATGGTTAACAAAGCGCAATCAAGCTATCCCTAGACAATAGGTTCAACAACAGATTAATTCACTACCGTGACAGAAACCCTCAAGCAAAGCTAGCCCAGACTAATTCCCATTAACAGAATCTAACTATGCAGGCAATACGATTCAACCTATTACAGTCAATAAACGCTCTAAACGGCCAATCCCTTGGGATAGAGACGCATATCTCTGGAACTAGTAGATCAAGCATTCCATCGAACACCTTTTGGGTGCGGGAATGCTTAGGATCGAATTCCAATTGGCCAGAAAGAAATAAGCAGTAAACACAACTAGTCCAGAAGGGATTCAATAAATTCTAATACTTAACCATCTAAATGACTACGGATCCCACAACCATTCTATCCCATCCTTAAGAACTCTATGTCACTACTCAGACAACATGCTCAAAAACATAATCGCAAATAAACAAGAAGATTGCATAAGTAAAGAGATAAAGAGTAGAGAAACAAAGTGATAGAACCAATCAAATGCAAAATCTGAATAACTTAGAAAAATCTCCAGTTACAAGTTGTAGGAACAAAGCGGCTAAGCAATAGAGTACTAGGTTAAACAGCAATAAAAAACTCGAAGCAAAAACTAAGTAAAAACGTAGATGTCTCGGGACAAATCCTCGAAGACTTATTTATACAAAACAAAGTAAAATGATAAGAGATGGGTCGTGAATCCACTTGATCGGCCCGTAGAGTGATAATGGGCCGAAGTTGGGCCTTGTGATCGAGTGAAACTCCAGACCGCTTCCAAACACTTCTTCTTCTCCTCTTCTCTTCCTTATGCTCAGCTTGTCTGGTTGAGTGCGGATTTGAGAAGGCTCTGAAGACGTGATCGAGTGAATGGCAGAGTGATGTGGTCGAGTGGTTTTGGGGAGGGCTGGAACTGGTGTCACTCGACCAGAAGGTCGAGTGGTGTGATCGAGTGATGTGATCGAGTGATTGAGGAGGACTGGTGGTGGTGTCACTCGACCACATGGTCGAGTAAGTGTGGCTGGAAGCACTTGACCTTGTGGTCAAGTATAGTCTGCTTGACTCCGGCTCGTTTCTTCCAATTTGATCGCCAACAGCTCCAAATCACCTAAAAACAACACAAATATGCAACATGCATGCAAAACTATCCTAAACATGCAAAGTGATGACAAATGATGAGAAATGGTGTGAAACAGTGATGAAATGATGCTAAGGTGATGACAAATGAATGCTTAAAACAAGTAAAATACAGACTTATCAGTTTCTGTCCACAAGATTCAATGAGGAAAATCTGGGATGATGTTGATGAGTGGTTGTTGGCTCAAAATGTTGTTCAAAATGTGGAAGAAGAGCTGGAGAGATTCAAAGGTGCAAAGGTTAAAAAGTGGGAACCTCCACCGGATCTGTGGAGCAAGTGTAACATTTCCTTGTCTTGGTCTAACAGAAACCGTTTGGGAGGTGGTGCATGGGTGGTTAGAGATGTGGATGGGAAGGTTATAGTACATAGTAGGAAAGTTTTTTGTGGTTTAAACAACAAGAAAGAGGCTATGCTTATGTGTTTGACTTGGGCCATGGAGAGCATGTTCAGTCTGAAGATGAATAGGGTTATATTTGCGGCTGAGGCTCACGATATTTTTGGTGCTATGGCGAAACCTAAAGCATGGCCTTCTTTCAGTCATGAGGTGATGGAGATTAATCATTTTTTGGATAAGTTTAAGGATTGGAAGTTGGAGGTTGAAAGTGCTGCTTCAAATAGAGGTTCTACTCTTATTGCACAAAGTGTTATTTCTGATGGAAGATTTCAGGATTATGTGGGGGCAGACCATCCTTTTTGGCTGCATGGATTATTTGAAGAGGAGCGACTTACCTCAGTTGTTAGTTAACGTTCCTGGTCCTTTGCTTTTCACTAATTTTTTGGAGGTTTAGAGGTGTGTTACCCTTTCTCTAAGCTGTGTACATCTTGATTGTGTTCAAGATTGTGTTGTATGGGATCTTTCTAATATATTTTAACCAGACGGAAAAAAAAAAAAAAATTATCTCGTCCACACGACTCACGCATGAACAATAAAAACCACACCGATAAAATCTTATAGAAAAAGAAGAAGCAAGTAACATACTACATACATGATATAACAAACAGCTAAACGACTAAAATTAAATATTTAGCAATCCAGCTAAATCATCAACAAATATTCAATTTGCATATTAATCCGATTCCTTCTCTCACATGTCCAAAGTCCAAAACAATGTTTGGTTTATCTTCCAACGAGCACCAAGCTGATGCTTTGTAGCTTGACAAGAGTTACCATGGTCCAATATGTCTACTACTTTGTTTAGAAAACAAGTCCACATACCATTGCTAATTTCTTAGATATCATGCAAACAAAGAGTCCCATGTCCTCGATTTTTGACTTCCATCTTCAATGATTTCAGGTAATCAATGGCTCTATCGATGACTAAGATTGGGTCCGCCAGCTCCTCCCCGGGGACTATACTGCGCAAGAGGCTTACAGTCTCAAATATCTTCTCTTCTCCTATCTTCTTGCTTGACGGCTTCAAACGTTTTAAAAAACTAATCTCTGTGTTGTCATTGTCACAACTACCACAGCTCGATTCAGCGCCCCGCATAATCTCATTCGAGGTTTCAAGAAAAGGCGCTGAGCTCTCAAGTGTCTTTCTCTTTTTATCATTTAATGATTCTTGGCCCTCATGGGCTGATACTACAATGCTTTGGGAATGGTCTGAGCTTGTAACCTCATCTTCTTCAGAACAATAATCACTCTCATCCTCCGAGTAAAGCAGAGCATTTAGTTCTTCCGTATCCTCTTTCAAATCCGGTTCGCTATTTCCATGCATTCCTTGACAAACAAACAAATCTTTGTTGCTTCTTTGGATTTCTTCCTTCATATCAGGACAGACAGGCTGTTTAAGGGTCTCAAAAGATTTCCGGATATCGGAAGTAACAAGCAGAGTCGTCTGATCACCAGACTGATCAAACACTAGGAACCTCTTCTGACTACATTCGCCGCCATCAGCTTTAGATATAACACCGTCTACTTTAAGAGGTACATGCTTCATACATTTATTTAGAGGAGGCAAGAACTGCTGCTGCAAGTGGGATGGTCCATGAACCCAACCATAATAGCCATCAAAATAGGATTGAGAAGAAACTGGATAAGATCCACAAGTAGAAAACATGTCGCCGCAGGTTTTAGATACTAAGTTCAAGTCTTGCTTCCCGAGATGAGACAGAGGTAGGCAAGTCAATGAGCTTAACCGCTGACTAGGAAACCACAAACCACGATCTTGTCCCATCCAACACTAAACAAATCAACTGTCCAAAACAGAGGACATCATCATCTCAAACAAATCAGCTAACTAACTTCTAATCAAGAATGTGAGGCCAAAAGTAAAAAAATATTAAAGATTATGGAAGTGTGCAAAGTCTTGAACTTACCAACTAATGAATAGAAGAAATTAAGGCTTGAAATAAGAAGGAGAAATATCTAGCTACTCTACGTGACGGGCTTCAACAATTGACGAAAATATTCAGCCTGCAAGATACACAACATCAAAGTCAATTAGAAAATGTACATACAAATTTTTTTAAAAGTTAACTAGAACATAAACACATAAAACAAGAACAAGTAAAAAAGATGAAAGAAACCTGGCAATCTTGGAGAGGTTGAAAGCATGCAATGACTCTAACTACTATGTTTCCTGCGATACCGTGTTCGTGTTTGAGTGTTCGAAATCTTGTCTGTCCCGCTGATTGACAAACCATAACTACTTTCTCACCAACTGATTCCTTCCCAAAACAGAGTATCCAAAATAACAAACCAGAGTATCTCAAATAATTTGGCGGGCAAAGCAATGGACTGTGAAGAAAAAAGAAGACCCCATTACACACAAAAACAAAAAGCTGTGTCTGCAGCAAGATCTCAGTTTACAGAATCACACGACAGAAGGCTAGTGTACGAAAAACATAAACAGAAAGACTCAACCACCACCGCATGTTATTGATTTTCTCTTTCTTGTTTTATCTCTAGAATTTATCTCAAGAAACTCACAGAAGTGGAATGCAAGAGAACCAAATAGAGGTTCTAAGGAGGAAGTAGAGAGAGAGAGGTTAGGTTCAGTTATGGCAAAGAGAAGTGAGCGAGGAAGAAGATATATAAAAGAGAAAAAGACGAAACTGACCTTGATCATACCTCATAGTAACATACATGTGTGCGTGCGTTTAAAGCGTAGGTGTAGTGATGCCACAGTGTTTACCAAATCCAATAAGCTTTGTAGACGAACAAAAGATTAAAAAAAAAATCGAATAGGCTTTGTATCTATTTTTCTATAATTTCTTTTTTTTTTGGTAAAAATGTTGATGGCAAAATAAGCTGAATTTGATGGGTCCAAATTTTAAATATTTGTTTATCTTTTTCGATAAACTTTATTGATTATGCGGATATTAATTCGGGTTGTAACATACGATATCACTAATACTAACCACTTAGTAACATATCTTCTAGTCCTGATAGTTGTTTGTTTATATTTGAAAGATTAGCTGATTAGTGTATATACTAAACCGAAACTAATTTATTTTTGGTTGAAAGATCTACATTTGCTATTAAAATTCATTTAGTGGAAAAATATTTGTGTTGTTTTGTTGGTTCCGTTCATCGTAAGAAAGAAAAAATGGTGAAAGTATCCAATGTGAAGAAGAAGAAGAAGATCCAATCATTCCTCAAATACTCGTTTGCAATGGCTTGACCATTCAAACCCCAAATCATTTCTTCTTTTACTTTTTACTTTTAACTTATTGCACCCTCCATTTTCATCTTCTTTGGGTTTCACAATAATGTTTTGTCTTCCCATTTTGGTTTGTCTATTTTCATATGGATCTTCAAAACACTTTCGTGGAAAATGATATATCTATTGTACTTAAAACGATACATTTGTGATGAATATATCTTTGTAACAATGGAATTTCGCAACAGTTGAATTTTAAATTTATCATGAAAAAAAACAAGAAGATAATCTCGTTTATTTTCAACCTAAAACCATAAAGAACCCGTTTGAACAACCTGCATCACTAAGTTAGTCAATGGCTTAATCGTAGATTATTGATCATATAGAAGCTGATGTCAAAATTATCTAAACCTAATTAATCCTCAAAAAAGAAATAGACACGTTCTCTCTTGTCAGAAAATGGCACTGGCTAGTAATAATTATACCCAAGATATTTTTCATTGACAATAAAAAGAAATCTGAAAACTATACTATTCAATATTGATAGATGTAGAAGACCCATGATTTAGTAACCTGAACCAAATCTTTCATGTACAGATAAGAGAGATCTGGTTGCTCACAATCATACAAGCATAGTAACATTTAATATTACCACGCCAAATATTTAAATTATACAAAACCCATTAGGCTAATATAAGTAATCCATATAGTATAAAATTGGGATTAATTAAAACTGGATACACTTAACTTAATCAATCCCTTACTGGCTTTAATGGTGTCAGGGCCCCAAAACAAACCTTCCACCGTTTTTCTCTTTCTATGTGTCTCTAAGCAATCATATCATAGGTCCACCATTTTTCTTTGTCTTAGACCATCAGCAGTGGCAAATGTATTTGTGTGGGTGTAAGTATTTTTTTAGTATTATAATTTAAAGCAAAAGAGAAAAGAGAAAGAGAAAGAAAGAGAGAGATAGAGAGAAAAAGTGTTACATCCGAGTGTAAACTTACACCCGGGTGTGAAGAGAAAGACAATTTTTTCGTTTTTTTAATACCTACACCCCAAGACTCACACCTACCTGCTTGCCCCAGTGGCCATGCTCTTCTTAAGATAATACTCTTCTTACTTTGCGTGGTTTAAAAAATACACATATATAAAAGAGATTTTGATTTGCTTTATCTTTTATGTTCTTCTTCCAATTAAACAAATGTTCTAGAAATATTTTACAGAAACTGACCGAATATATATATATCAAGATCATATTTTAATGTGATCCAAAATGTTGGACCGAGACCATTTATACAGTTACATATATTCACGAAACGCTTTTTTAAAAAAATGTTTCATATCATGACTTCAAGTCTTCAAGCATGACCGTGTTTTGTAATGGTTTTCAGAAAAATATTCAAATTTAATTTCCTTCTAAGTAAAGGAAAACAGGCATGGGAGATGAGTACAAATTATTTAATTCTTAGATAAAGCAACTAAGTGGGTTTATATATTTTAAATTTTAAAGTATACCAAATTAGAGTTGTAGTTGATGAGCTTCTTATGGCCACTCCCAAATTCAAAAAGGTATTCATTTCCCATATTTTCGGCATAGAAGTTCTAGCTTTTGTTTATTTAGGACCTTTTAATATAATTTGGTTGATGTAACTACGAACATACGATATTAAAATACATAAATAAATAAATAAATAAAGAGAAAAGAAGAAGAGCACCATTAGTTGTGTGATGCTTTATTTGAGAGAATACATATTTAATATTGATTTTAAGAAGAATTGTGAAGGTTTTGGTGGGGACAATAGAGACAATGGAGCCATTTGGTACGTGGATTCTCCAACAAAATCATCCACGCTTCGTGCAATTTAAAGCAACCAATACACTTAACCATCACTTTAAGTTCCATTCCTCACTCCTCAAATCGATTTATTATCATCATATGTATCCCATACGTGTAAGTGTATGTGAAAAATATAGATATGGTTCAATTTATCAAAAGTAAAAGTATAGACATGGTTGAGAATTGCTAGTCGGCTGCTTGTTGGGAAGAGTTTGCAGTATGTTTGCTTTGAAGTCTTTAGCTTTTTTTTTTTCCTTTAGTTGTTTTCTTTGTAATCTATTTTCTAAGGTTTTTCTGTTAATTCGCCCTTTTCGGCCTTAGTCTCTGGGGGTTTCTATGTACCCGCCGGCTTTGTTTCCGAAAGGATTTCGATCTTTGTCGGCTATGTATAATTCAACCGCATTCTATCAAGTAAAGACGAAAAAAAAGACATGCATGGTTGAGAATTCACCTTTTATTTTACTCTACATGCTGACAATAGAACTACATAGTAGAGTTGGTCGAGTTATGACATGACACCTCCGATCTCTTCGTGTCAATCAAATTGACTTATTAGTCATTTCTTATTAGATTATATGTTTTCAATTCAAAATTAACTGATAAGGAGTCAACTGATTCATATTTCTTATATACTAGTTAAAATTCGTCGTCCCCTTTCAACATCGGTTAATTATTCTCAATATTTCAATCGTGTGGCTCTGCCCGACGAATACATTCATCATACTTCTAATTTTGGTCATGGTAGCACCAACTTGGTTTCACATACTATCAATATAAACTACTAAATTGATGTTATGAGGGAACTCAAATCCTTAGTTGTGTTATATGAACTCAAATCCACTAGAATCAATATAAAAAAAATGACCAATAGAAAACGTTTATGGGCCGAACTTCAAGATAAATGGGCCGAACTTTCTAACTCACTATTATCGTCAATAAAAACGGTTGGTACCAACACTTATTTTGATAGTAAGTGATGATTATTGTTTTTGGAAAATACAAAACAATTATTTATTTTGGAAAATACAAAACAAAAAGTATTTATTTATGAAAACAAAAAAGAAATGTAAAATACAGATACATTTGCGTCGAGGCAAGACCATGTGCTCACTCACATGCGGTCTTCTCTTCTCTTCTCATCTTCCCTTTTTCATTTTCCTCTGCGTTTGATTATCTGAGAGAAGACGAACTTGTTCAAAGTTCAAACCCAAAATCAAGAACAAGAACCAAACAAGAACAAAGATCTTGCTTAAGAAGAGAAGACAATGAAAGAAGGAAACGATGGTTTTGTTCGAGCAGATCAGATTGATCTAAAAAGCTTAGACGAGCAACTAGAGAGACACTTAAGCAGAGCTTTGACTTTAGAGAAGAACAAGAAGAAAGATGAAGATGACACAACCGCCGTCGCCATCGGTGGTGGCTCTGCTTCTTCTTCCCCTGTCACTCTAAACGGCGGCGGATTTGTTGGGAAGAGGAAACAGAGACTTGAGTGGGAGATCGATCCTTCTAAACTTATCATCAAGACTGTTCTTGCACGTGGCACTTTTGGTACCGTTCATCGTGGTATCTACGACGGTCAAGATGTTGCCGGTTAGTCACCTATCCGTCGTTCTAGCTTCCTTTCCCTTTTATATTTTATATTATTAGTAGTAACTGTGAAAAAATGCTAAAGTCTTCAATTTTAGAATGGATTACTACATTTGTACTTGAAATGTCGGATCCGAACAGGCTTTGTACTTTGATTAGTTTAGTTATGTGTTCGTGTTCTTCGACTATGAAACTTGTCAGATTAAAAGAAAGTTTGGATTTTTAAGATTATAGTAGCTTAATTGTTTTGGATTTGAAGAGTTTTTTCTTTAGTGGGTAGAAGCAAATCTTGTGATCTCCGTGAAGCCGACACGGGTTTTGCTATCGTAAGTGTTTCAGCTACTTGAAAGGTCTCTACTTGGATAATTATGATTCTTTGCTTTGTGGATCTTTCATGTGATTCCAGCTGTTGTTGTCTCAATCTCTCTTTTTCTCAAAAATTAATTTTAAAGGAAAAAAATAAGGAGAATAATAGATCCCTTGAATGCAGTAACTAAGGAGCTTTTTATTTTTTTTACTGTTGTTGAATTTAAAGTGAAGAATTGAGCTAATCATTGTGGTGAAAAATTGAGCAGTGAAGTTGCTTGATTGGGGTGAAGAAGGTCATAGGTCAGAAGCTGAGATTGTGTCTTTGAGAGCAGATTTTGCTCAGGAGGTTGCTGTTTGGCATAAATTGGATCATCCTAATGTTACTAAGGTTCATATTTCACTTCTGGAAATTACCTTTTTTTACCATTGTTAGAGAATTGAGGAAATAAATAAGATTTGGGTCATCCATGAATGAAATTTTGCAGTTTATAGGAGCAACAATGGGTGCATCAGGGTTACAGTTGCAAACAGAGAGTGGTCCATTAGCAATGCCAAACAATATATGTTGTGTTGTTGTTGAATATCTTCCAGGTGGTGCATTAAAATCTTACCTGATCAAGAACAGAAGAAGAAAATTAACTTTTAAAATTGTTGTTCAGCTCGCTCTTGATCTCGCTAGAGGGTATTATATTCTACCTTCTTTCGCCTTCCTGCTCGTGGTTTTAGTAGTATTTGAAGACAAAGCGTATATTGGATTGTTGTTATGTTGCTTTCAGGTTGAGTTACCTTCATTCGCAGAAGATTGTTCACCGAGATGTAAAGACTGAGAACATGTTGTTAGACAAAACCCGGACTGTCAAAATCGCGGATTTTGGAGTTGCGAGAGTTGAAGCGTCTAACCCTAATGACATGACAGGAGAGACTGGCACCCTTGGCTACATGGCTCCTGAGGTACTACTATTCAGATAATGCAGCATCAAGTTTGGAAACAAACCTCATTTTCATACAAATAAACTTTGGCTGCAGGTTCTCAATGGAAACCCGTATAATCGAAAATGCGATGTATACAGTTTCGGGATCTGCTTATGGGAGATATATTGCTGTGACATGCCTTACCCTGACCTTACTTTCTCTGAGGTCACTTCAGCCGTCGTCCGCCAGGTATAGTTATAATTGGTAATAGTGCTAAATGGCGGGATGGTGGAATTGATTAAGCAAAGAAAACTCAATTTAACTGAAATGTGCAAATTGGCGGTTTCACAATTATATTTTGTTATAAATCTTGAGGAATCACTGAAGTAAAAAATGTGATGTGGAATAGTGGAACCATTTCATCATTTCACTGAAGTAAAAAATCTATATGCACATATGCTACTTATGATCAATGCAGAACTTGAGACCCGATATACCGAGGTGTTGCCCGAGCGCACTTGCTGCAGTGATGAAGCGATGTTGGGATGCAAATCCAGACAAGAGACCGGAGATGGACGAGGTTGTACCGATGTTGGAGAGTATTGACACAACCAAGGGAGGAGGGATGATCCCTAACGACCAGCAGCAGGGTTGCCTCTGCTTCCGAAGGAAACGTGGTCCTTAGACCAATCTAAGATCATTCAAAACTCAAGATTCGTGTCCTTGTTTCTTTTCTTTTTCTTTTTATAATCCAGAAGGGGAAAAAAATGGGAAGGCTTGTTAGGGCTTTAATGGTTGCTAAAATTTACGTAAAAGTATGATTGGTTTCCATATTCTTCAACATTTCCTGTTTTGCTCTATTTGTGAGAATTTCTTATTAAATATCAATGCTCACGTATATCTTCTTCTAATCAAATAATTTACATACTCCATGGTATTGGTATTACTGTTTTTTTTCTTACGGGCAAATGGCCATTTCCGGTCTCTTATTAGAAATCGTCCACCCTCGGGCCTCAAAAGGAACATCCTTGCGATAGTAGCTCATACATCAAAGAAGAGAAGGACAAGAGTTCTTGCTGAATGGTCAAGTAAATTTGTCTTTTAGAGAGGTGAACTATGATAATTATGTCTCAAATGCTTGATCGTCGTTAGTCATTTTGATTAGATCCACCTAGGAAGTCTCAAACACAACTCAAACTGTGTTCCCCAGTGATGAACAATATCTCATTTCCCATAAATGGACCAACAATGCATAGTCGAGAAACAACTTTGAGACCCTTTCATTAATAAAAGAGACTGGTTAGACTCATTATATGACAAATTAATGTCGAGAGAGCAGAATGGTGTGAGCAAATCCAAGCAAGATAGATTTGTGCTCAAATGAGCTTATTAAGTTAGAAATCTAAAACTGAACATAAGATAGCTCATTGAAGTTTATTGAGCAAGAACACAATGACTTTAGATTGTCACCAAGAACACAATGACTTTAGATTTGATTTCATAAAAGAGGAAAGTTGCTCAAAGTGGCAACTATTAGAATGTCCCACATTGCTTGGGATTAAGATCTTTGGGTAGTATATAAAGGATGTGGCAATCCTTAACTCTTGAGCTAGCTTTTGGGTTAAGTTAGGCCACATTCCTAATATGGTATCAGAGCCCAAGGTTGGCCCAACAAGCAAATTCCCACAAAATGGTTTCCCACCTATGTGGCCCATATAAGTGGCATGTCTTGTTGTATTTCCGAGATGTTGGGCTTGAGCTGTTCCCGTTGGGCCGTTTCCCACCCACATCTCGAGAAGGCCTATTAGAATGTCCCACATTGCTTGGGATTAAGATATTTGGGTAGTATATAAAGGATGTGACAATCCTTAACTCTTGAGCTAGCTTTTGGGTTAAGTTAGGCCACATTCCTAATAGCAACTCTCTAGGTTATCCACTTTGATGTTCATTAAAAAAACTATATATATATATATATATATATATATGAATCTACTTGCTTAGACCTAATCTCATGGACTAGTGGGCTTCTCATGAGGCTAATCTTTGGACTTTATATGGATCCTCTAATAAATAGGAGCATGTATGCTATGGTGGCCTCGCATTAGGATGCTATGTTTCTGAGTCCCGGTCTGGTTCTATAACATGTCACTGAAGAATGTATGTGGTAGATTATCGTTATGATACCCTCCTACATATCGAGACTAGAAGCCTCTGCTAATAATGTTTCTTAGAAGTCTAATGTTTAGTGTCGAATTATTAGTGTCTAGTGTGTTTTAGAACACTGGTTATATTAGCAGTTGGCGACACCACAATGAAACATCTATCTATATCATTCATTGATTGCCAAACAAATAAATAAGTATTGTCTTCATTTGATTGTCAAAAAAGTAAGTATTAATAAGAAATGCGTTGGGGAACTAATCAAATGAAGTTAAGAGTAATGACAGGTAAGAGGTTGTTTTCGTGGTGACGTCAGTCGGTGCACAAGTAAGTAACGCTGATATAGCGAAACGTAGACAACTGTCCCCTCTGCTCCTTCCTCTTCAAGCCTCTTCACTGCTTCTTCTTCTTCTTGTTTCTCTCCTATTTTCTTCTGCTGCTTCTTCACAAGGTTTCTATTTCTTCTAATCTCTGTATAATCTCTCCTGTCTCTTCTTCTTTCTAAAAATAGAATCATTTATAAATTCTAGTGCTTGATTTAGCTTAAAAACGAGGTCTTTTTTTTTTTTTCTTGGGTTTTTGTTTTCTGTTTCGCCTTTTTTTCTCCATTTACAAGGTTCTTGAGCATAAATTTCGTGACTTTTGCTTCTTCTGTGATTTGGGTTTCACTCACTTTCTCGGTTTGTGAAGTTTTTGGTTTAAAGTTTTGGTTTTTATTTTTTGTTGCAACTGTGGGTTAAGCTCTGGGTTCTTGTTTTCTGCTTCTTAAGCGCAAATTTCGTAACTTTTGCTTCCTCTGTGATTTGGGTTTCAGTCACTTTTCGGGTTAGTGTGGTTTTTGGTGTAAAGTTTTGGTTTTTATTTTGTTGCAACCGTGGGTTTAGCTCAAAACGAGGTCTTTGTACATGGGTTCTTGTTTTCTGCTTCTTGAGCTCGAAATTTCGTAGCCTTTTACTTCTTCTGATTTGGGTTTAGTCACTATCACGGTTTGTGAAGTTTTTGGTTTAAAAGTTTTGATTTTTATTTGTTGCAGAGGTTGAAGATGTCAGCTCCGAAATCGGGTGGTGATCCACTGCCACATCCGCCGAAAGAACAGCTTCCAGATATCTCTTACTGCATTACAAGCCCTCCTCCATGGCGTTAGTTTCTCATCTTTGCCTTTCCCTTAACGTTTGACTTATTGATTGTTCTAGGCATATCCCTAGTTTTAGAGCCTTGTGACTGATTAGGTTCTTCCATTTTTACTTTTTTCTGATTTTGGTATCATTACTTTTTCCTTTTTGTTGCAACGTGAGGATTGGATTCTTACTTTTCTCTTTAAGAATTATTCGTTTTTACCTTGAGAATCTTCTTCTAGGTGTTTTAAGGATCATTCTCTGTTAACAAAGGAGATTAAACTTAATCACCCCTTGGTTTTGTTATATGTTCAATCTAACTGTTTTTTTTTAGTGTTACTGTATGTTTCTAATTTGGTACTTGGTTTTTGAATAATTCTTGTTTGAATATGAGGTTTTAAGCTTCTTATTTAGTAAATGTGAGTTTGTTCTTGTCTTTCAGCTGAGGCTGTTCTACTTGGGTTTCAACACTACCTTGTGATGCTTGGAACAACAGTTCTGATTCCATCGGCTCTTGTTCCACAAATGGGAGGTGGAAATGTAAGTCTCTTTTACTAGAAAATAGTTTTTCACATTATACTTTACAGTCTTTTTCTGCACTTAAGTTTATGATTTTGGCAGGAAGAGAAGGCGAAGCTGATCCAGACAATACTGTTTGTAGCTGGATTGAACACGTTGCTCCAGACAGTGTTTGGAACTAGATTACCTGCTGTCATCGGAGCATCTTATACATATGTCCCAGTTACAATCTCAATCATGCTTTCTGGAAGATTCAATGACGTTGCAGATCCAGTTGAAGTTCGTAGCTCACACTTATTCCCTATTAATAAAGAGTGGTTAGCTTGTTGATTAGTTTACTTTAAAAAACCCTTTTTGATACCTTACCAGCGATTTAAGAGGATAATTCGGGCTACCCAAGGTGCTTTAATTGTTGCTTCAACTCTTCAAATGATCCTTGGCTTCAGTGGCCTCTGGCGCAATGTTGTAAGGTCAGTCTTTGAGCTACATTAGACTCAAATCTTGTTCCACTGTGTCAGGTTAAGAATATGTTATTGAACTTCTGTTACTCCAGGTTCTTAAGTCCTCTATCTGCTGCTCCCCTGGTTGGATTAGTTGGTTATGGCCTGTACGAGCTGGGTTTTCCTGGTGTAAGTCACTTTGTTCTGTAAATGGGAACATATAAACTAAATTATATTAAACTAGTGGAATCTTGATTCTTTGTTATTTTGGCCAGGTTGCTAAGTGTATCGAGATTGGACTGCCAGGGCTTATAATTCTTATACTAATATCACAGGTAATTGTAGCTAAAGATTCATATTTGGTAGCAATTTGCAGCCAGCTCATCTGTTCTCATTGCATAAGTTATTGATCCGGATGTGTTCTTCCAGTATGTTGATTGTTCTAATCGTCTGGATCATACTTTTTGCTGGTTTTGCAGTACATGCCCCATGTTATAAAAGGAGGAAAACATGTGTTTGCTCGCTTTGCTGTCATATTTTCTGTGGCGATAGTATGGCTTTTTGCTTTCTTTCTTACACTTGGTGGTGCCTATAATGGTGTTGGGACAAATACTCAAAGAAGCTGTCGGACTGATCGTGCTGGGCTTATAAGTGCTGCTCCATGGTAAGAATTTCAGAACAAGGCTTGGACATTGGATGTCTTTCTTAGTTATATCTAGCAAGAAAGTCTTCTTATTCAATGAGCTGTCAGTGATAACAATACTCGGGTGTGGCTTACCATTTTACACTTACTCATTGTGCAGGATAAGAGTTCCATGGCCGTTCCAATGGGGCGCACCATTGTTTGATGCTGGTGAAGCCTTTGCCATGATGATGGCCTCTTTTGTTGCTCTTGTTGAGGTTTGTTTCACTCATCTTCACCTTGTGTAAATGACATTAGACAATTATTTGTGATATGCATAAATTTTCATATCCATGTATATATAAAGGCTGTCCTTTAATGAATGATTTTCATAGGTTGCATACTCATTAACTTTTAAAGTCAATGAGACTTTCTTCATTCTTTTGAATTTTCTTGCTCTTTGGTTTAATCTCATGTTACTTACTCATTACGTTGATTTTTTTGTAAACAAAAACAGTCCACAGGTGCTTTTATTGCTGTCTCAAGATATGCTAGTGCCACAATGCCGCCACCTTCTGTTATCAGCCGCGGGGTTGGTTGGCAGGTAAATACTCACTTCATACGCTTCATTTACAATTACCATCATGAGGTTTTCTCGGGGCAAGCAAGTGGTCATTTATCTAACATTGTGCCTCAACTATGTTCTCTTCTGGTTTAGGGAGTTGCAATTTTAATCTCAGGGTTGTTCGGAACTGGTATAGGGTCTTCAGTTTCTGTGTAAGACCTCCTATCCTTTTTACAAACCTAGGACATGAGTTTATTTTGAATGGTGTGGTGAGTTTGTTTTTACATGAATGCAGCGAAAATGCGGGTCTACTGGCACTAACAAAAATTGGTAGCAGGAGAGTTGTCCAAATATCTGCAGGCTTTATGATATTCTTCTCAATTCTTGGTAAGCTTGTCTCTTTCATTAAAATCCATTGAGAAATGAAGTAGAACGCATTAATTGATCGTCTTATATAAATCTAATGCAGGGAAGTTTGGGGCAGTGTTTGCATCAATACCTGCTCCTATCATTGCCGCCTTGTACTGTCTCTTCTTTGCGTATGTAGGTAAGTAATTTTCTAAGCAGAAATGAACAATATAGTAGGGTGGGGAAATCTTGTTTATGGTTTGGTTTTGATTGTAGCAATTCGGTTCGGATTGGTTTATGTGTCCTCCCCTACAATATAGGTAGAGAGTAGAGACTGGAGACTGGTTTTGCTCTAATGCATCTTTAAAAACAAAAATTGTTAATTAGGTGCTGGAGGACTGAGTTTGCTGCAATTCTGCAACCTGAATAGCTTCAGGACATTGTTCATACTGGGTTTCTCAATCTTCTTAGGCCTATCAATTCCACAATATTTCAACGAGCACACAGCCATCAAAGGCTATGGTCCAGTTCATACTGGAGCAAGATGGTTCAACGACATGGTCAATGTGCCCTTCTCGTCTAAGGCCTTTGTGGGAGGATGTGTGGCTTACTTATTGGATACGACGCTTCACAAGAAAGATGGTTCGATAAGGAAAGACCGAGGTAAACACTGGTGGGACAGATTCTGGACTTTCAAGAACGACCCAAGAACCGAAGAGTTCTATGCTCTTCCTTTCAACCTCAACAAATACTTCCCTTCTGTCTGAAAAAAAATCCTTCCAAACTTGATGGAATGCTATTTTGCTAGGTTTTATGTGCATATTCGGTGAGGAGACTAGAAAACGCTATATTATAATTTATAACCCAAAGTGTTAGTAACTTTTAAGAAACATTGCTGTGATGTTTGTTTCTATGTTTAGATGTTTTGCATTAAAGATGATACTCGTTTTGTGATTGCCATGATAAAACGAAGAAGATTCGAACCTTAAAACTCTATGATTCAATTGATTGATATATTTTGACTTAACACTTCTTTGGTTTCAATTGATTGATATATTTTGACTTAACACTTCTTTGGTTGCATAGTGTAGTAGTAGTAACAGAAAAAAAAAAAAAAAAAAAGCTAAAATAGATGGTTGACCATTATGGTAAACTAATATGTGATTTTTTTTTTTTTAATGGCAGATATAGACTATAGTTTACATTAAATAATAAGAATTGTATTACAAGGGACTGGATAGTCCGGATTTCGCATGTCTATAGGGAGGCTAACCGTCTTGCCGACGGGTTAGCAAACTATGCTTTTACTTTGCCGCTTGGCTTTCATATGTTTGAGTCAGCTCCGAGTGTTGTGAAGACTATTTTGTTGGAGGATAGTCGAGGAACTTCGATTCCGAGATCGGTCCGTTTGTAATTTTTATTTTTTGTTTTGAATAAATTTAGCGGGGAGACATTGTCTCCCCGTGGCTCACCAAAAAAAATAATAATAAGAATTGTAGACTTGATTTTTATTATTTTTTGTCACCCGCTTTTCATTGAAATTCAAAAGAGCCATTCATGAAAATTGTTGCTTACATATGTGATATGATGCAGTTCGGTACAAACTTTTCGTGCCAAATTATAGAATTGTAGACTTGATTGTTTATATTATTTCGTGAAAGCAACACATTTTGTTCCTTCATATGTTCATAAATTATTAAATTATTTGATGCATATATGAGTACACTTTTTACACTATGAATTTTCTGTAAACTATTTTCATGAAATTAAAAACTAGTAATTTTTGTAATTGTAAAAATAAAATTAGTCTGGAAATTTTGGACCTAGACCCATACATCTCTCATAACGGGAACTATAAACTATTTCGATAGCGTTAGTTTATAGTGTAAGTCATATGATCAAATGATGAATCCTAGATTTAATTTTAGATATGAATCTAATGGATGAGAATAAAACTTTATTTATATATAGTGAAATTATTAAATTTATATGTATAAAAAGTGTAGGATGTATATATATATATATATATATATATATATATATAAAATATGGTGAGATTTAAATGTGTAAGTCGTTGTGGGTTTTTAATAACTTTTTAAAAAGAATATGAATAATACGTTTTAATGGTAATTTTGGAATTTTTCTTGATGGGCTTTAAAGAACTCAAATTAAGTCTCAAGACTTAAGGAAAATATAACCTTTCTTAAGCTACCTATTGAAGACAATATAATACTCATATTTTACCGTTATATCTTATTTGAATCGCTTGAACTTCATATAAACGAAATAACATATATATAAAAAAGAAGTTAAGACACTTTTTTTTGGGTCGACATTAGTTGAGACACAATTACTTGCATCAAAAGTGATGTTATATAGATTTTACAAACTTATGTGGGACTAGAGATATGTTGGTTAGTATTGATTAAAAATTATGGCAATGTGAGGTTGATAAAGAATTATCAATTTATTTGATTTAATTGTGTATTAGTTGTGTATTAATACACAAATCAACATGGCCGACCCGGAGTATTTCTATAGCTACATAAAAAATTCTTACATTAAGTTTTTTTTTTGTTGAATACATTTTAAAAATCTTACTTTAAATTATATTTAACGATTAAGGAATATGCTTCGTTAAACTTAAGTGAGTAAATCATGATATATAAATTTGAATATGGGTGAATATTATTATTATTATTATTATTATTAAAACTTAATTTACTCGTGTTGCTAATTGTGTTTTATGTGAAAAAATCTCTACGTTATATTAGACAACTTATAGTGAAATATTAAATTATTTATCCATACAAATATGTCTCTTTTTCAGATATTGAAAAGAAAAGATGACTCCATCGGCAAAATAAATGGCTCTTACAAACATTTCGTAACTATTCATTTTTGTTTCTATAAATTTTACTTTTAAAAAAAGGTTGATGCACCCAATCAATGAAATTACTTAAATGTACAACTAAGATGATTAAATAATGAAAGGACATTAAAATTTATAAATGCACCAATAAGATGAGAGCAAAAATCAACTTTATAAATATTATGATTTAGTCAATGAATTTCAATACATATTGATATGGAAACTACATTATTATTGTCCAAATATTATATAATTAGTTAAATAATCATAGGCAACAAAATGTTTATCAAGAGATCCTTTACTCTATTAGCTTAATTAGTATACATTTTCACATTGACTCATTTGCTCTATGCAATGGAGATCTACTTGGTAATCATTCTCGTAGTAAAAACTTGGTTCAAAGAAGATATTTTAAACTAACTAACTAAATTGTGTTATAATGTTGATCAAGAAGAGTCAGACATTACTAATTGTCGAGTAGAATGTTATTCGGTTGACGTATGATGTAAACAAGATAGATTAGGAAAGAGATCTTTGCGAGTTGTAGGAAACACAATGAGCCACCTAAATTCATTTTTAGTCGTATTGAATAATTTTTATAGATCCAAAAAAACTTAATCAATCTGATTTTCATCTTAACACAGGAACTTGACTGCCAGTGGCTTAACCAAGAAGAGAAAAGACTTCATATCAAACATTATCAGTTTAAATTATTTGTAATTAAATGTTTAATGTGGATATCAAAATTAATATATAATGGACTTCATATCAAAACTTACAAATTTAAAACATCTCTAATGGATACAAAAAAAAAACACACACACATATAAGTGATAAAATTAAACTAAAATATTTTTGTTTTTTGAAACTAAAGATTTGAATTACATTCGTTTTATTCTTAAATTTAATATCTAAAGCAAGTTTTTTTTTAAAATGTAGCTAACTAAAAAAAGCGTAATATAATTTACAATTATACTTTAATGTAGTTTGCGTTTGAAACATTAAAGCATGAAAAAAGAAGCTTGAAACCAATAAATATTTAGAATTTTACATTTGATTGTTTTACACCATCTTGTCTTTCTATTTGAAGTAAAAATGATATACTATTTAATCATCATCAAAGCGTTTAATTATTTTTTTGTAGCCATTTAATTAAAAAATTTGTTGCAATCGTTATCACATGACTTTGCTGACACAATATTTTACTTTCTGTTTCTTTTTGGTTCAACAACAATTTTTATTACTCCAATATGTGATACAACTTAATACGTGATATAACTTAAGTTATTAGCTTATTCGCCTTTACAAAATGTTTTATCCAACTTGATACTATCAAATATAATTTAGTATAGTTTATTTACAAGGAAAGACATATCAAACTATATTTAAATATTTTAGTTTTTTGAACGATAAAGTGTTTTTAATGTACATGATACTATTGTAAAATGTTAAATTGTAATTTTAAAAACTACGTCATATTATAGTTTGATAAATCGAAAGCGATTTTCTAAAATATTGAGGTGTTTAGATGCTTCAACAAAAAAAAAATCAAGAATAATTTTGTGTATAACTATTATTCAGTTTAATGACCTTCTTTTTTGGGAAATAATTATCCTACAAAATTATTTGATAATGGGTGATAACATTTGTTGGTTGAGATTTTAACCTTATTTGTCGGTAAAACATATTTGTTGTGCAAACATAATTCCTTGTAAAAATGTATTTAATATATGTTGAAGTCGACTCCACTTGCATGACATATGAAGATTATAAATTAAATACTGTTGTGAATTAATTTTAGGGTTTAGAGAAAAATGCATTACCTTGAAATCTTTTTTTTCCACATACTAGTCATTGGAAAATCACATAATTCATCAAACTTTATTTGAAATGGTTCCAAAAAATTTGTTCTATCGTGATTTGGTTTACGAACCAAAAACAAACTCCCCAAACCAAAGCATTAACCAGTATGGTTTAAATCTTAAAATTGTTACTTCATCAAAAAGGGTAGCAACTAGCAAGTGTCCTACACTATAGAAATGGATAATGTTGATTTCTTTCTTCAAAAAAAAATATATAAAAAAATTGCTAAAAGCCTAAAATAGAGATCTGAAGAAAATAAGAGGACGAAACTGTTAAGTATAAAACATTGATGGAGACAAGAATGTAGAAAAGGGGGAAACGGTCTATTTCTCCACGAGAAGTATCGCATCATAACAGATAGAGCCCAAACTTTAACTCCGGTTTATATATCCATGAAAACAATGTTTTATATCTATTTCTCCCCGAAATGTAAGTTCAATAACCTAATCTCCCCGAATTAATACTTTGAGATCTATTAACCCTTATATCTGGGTTTCGTCGGTTATTGTTTACTTAACCGTTTATAACCAAAGAAAACTTGATTTTGACCAAATTTAAACACAAACCCAATCCCTTTCTTCTTCTTTCCTCTCCTTCTTCTCTTCTTCACCAGATTTCAGGATCTGGGTTTTGTTTTTGTCAAAATTGGAATTAGACTTTTCTTCTTGTGATTAAACCACCTATGAGAAACAAAATCATAATCTGATAGCTAAAGAAACACAAAATCTAAGGTACAATTACGGGTTCCTTGGAATATCGGTTTCCTATCAAGAAGCTCGGCGAAATTGCAACCAACGGATCAAACATCAATGGATGTTCCATAGTTGTCACACCAGAAAAGAAGCTCGGGAGCTCGGTACCAACTAGTCACAACATACTCAGTCATAAACTGACCCTTAGTGTTGATAATCTAGTGGAGATCTGTATCCATGAGCTCATAAACATGATACACATCGTTGAAGCTCCTCTTATGAGTTGGCATCATGACATCTTTCAAAGCAATGACATTCTCATGTCGAAGATGGGTTTCAAACCAGAGTCGCCATTTTTTATTTTCCTTCTTCATCACAATTCACAATAAAGAAATCAAATTAAAACACATAATTATCAAATTATCCCACAACTATTTATCAAAACTTCTTAATTATTCACTTTTCAAGTGATACCTCAAGAACACAAAATCTAAGGTACAATTACGGACATCCCAAAAATTAAGAATTGTTTGGTGTGAAGTTTCTGTTGATTTCTTGTGTAAACAGATTGGTCCGTTAATAGTGAAAAGGAAAAGATTAAACTATATCGATTTTGTGAAGGAACATAAACGATCAGAAATTGATGTGAAAAAGTTTACCGGAGATATGAAGCCAGTGACCAACGACGATCGCCGGAGGTTAGATTTGGCCGGGTTCGGGTTGATAACTTATAATTTCAGTTTAGTTTTGGTTAAAGTTTGTTTTAAAATGGTTAAGATTGAATTGGTGTACATTAAACCGATGAAACCCAGACATGTGGGTTAATAGATCTCAAAGTATTAATTCGGGGAGATTAGGTTATTGAACTTACATTTCGGGGAGAAATAGATATAAAACATTGTTTTCATGGACATATAAACCGGAGTTAAAGCTTGGGCTCTATCTGTTATGATGCGATACTTCTTGTGGGAAAATAGACCGTTTTCCCAGAAAAAAGAGTTACATTTTACTTTTAGTTAAAAAGACATGAATATTAATTATTTTTGTACATTAATATAAGAAGACAAAACAAAAGTAAAATAGAAAACAAATAAGCCCCAAATAATGGAGACGAAGTGGAGAGAGAAAGCTCCCACTCTCTCACACCCCAAAGCTTCTTCTTCTTCCTCTTCCTCTTCTTCTCTAATCTGAATCCAAAGCCTCTCTCTTTATGACACAAGATCGCTCAGAAATGTCTGAAGATGACGACGACCATCAATCTCCACCGTTGGATCTACCCTCTACCGCCATAGATGATCCTTACTCATCTTCCTCTTCACCAAACAAATCTCGTAACTGTATCTCCTCCTCTGGTACCTTAAAGTCTCAAACTTTCCCTGACCATGTTCTCGAAAATGTTCTTCAGTTCCTAGATTCAAGATGTGACCATAACGATGCTTCTTTAGTTTGCAAATCTTGGTGGCGTATGGAAGCTTTGACTCGATCTGAGGTTTTAATTGGTAACTATTACGCTCTTTCTCCGGAGAGGTTGACTCAAAGATTCAAGCGTGTTAGGTCACTTGTGCTTAAAGGGAAACCTAGGTTTGCTGATTTCAATCTCATGCCTCCTGATTATGGTGCTAATTTTGCTCCTTGGGTTTCTACTATGGCTAAAGCTTATCACTGGCTTGAGAAAGTTGATTTGAAGAGGATGTTTGTTACCGATGATGATTAAGCTCTTCTTGCTGATTCTTTTCTTGGGTTAAAAGAGCTTATCTTGGTTTGTTGTGAAGGTTTTGGTACTAGTGGTATTGCTATTGCTGCCAATAAGTTCATGTATGTTAAAAATGCTATCTTTGAGTAATGTTTTGATAGTTAGTGAGCTTTGTTATGAACTTATTGGATACTAATTTGTTATCAGAAAGCTGAAAGTGCTTGATTTGATTGAGTCTGAGGTCACGGATGATGCAGTGGATTGGATTTCTTGTTTCCCTGAGGATGTAACTTGTCTGGAGTCTTTAGCTTTTGACTGTGTGGAAGCTCCTATCAATTTTAAGGCGCTTGAGAGTCTTGTTGGTAGGTTACCGTTCTTGAAGAAACTTAGGCTGAACAGGTTTGTGTCCCTTGTGGAGCTACATAGTCTGTTACTTGGAGCTCCACAGCTTACTAGTCTTGGGACAGGTTCATTTAGTCATGATAAGGAACCTCAGAGTGAGCAAGAACTAGATTATGCTGCTGCATTTCATGCTTGTAAATCTGTTGTTTGCCTGTCTGGATTTAGGGAGTTGATGTCGGAGTATCTTCCAGCTATCTTTCCGGTGTGTGCTAATCTCACCTCCCTGAACTTCTGTTATGCTAACATTTCTCCTGACATGTTTAAGCCCATCATACTAAATTGCCACAAACTCCAGGTGTTCTGGGTATGTATCCTTCTTGATCTATGTCTCCATGGCTTTAAGTTATATGTGACTTATTTCTAGTCACATATTGTTTGTGTTAGATGGATTGAATGAATAGTCTTGATATCAGATGTGCAAGGAACTTGAGTAAAATGCATGACTTGAACTTTTACAATGCAGGCCCTTGATTCAATATGTGATGAAGGACTACAGCCAGTTGCTGCAACTTGCAAGGAACTCCGTGAACTCCGAATCTTCTCTTTTGATCCATGGGAAGACAGTGAAGGTCCTGTCTCTGAATTAGGCCTGCAAGCAATCTCCGAGGGTTGTAGGAAACTAGAATCTATTCTCTACTTTTGCCAGCACATGACTAATGCTGCCGAGATAGCCATGTCAGAGAACTGTCCTGAGCTTACTGTGTTTAGGCTCTGCATAATGGGTCGACATAGGCCTGGGCATGTGATAGGGAAGCCTATGGACGAGGGATTTGGTGCCATTGTTACAAATTGCAAGAAGCTAACTCGCCTTGCAGTGTCGGGGTTGCTGATAGATCAAGCTTTTAGGTATATGGGTGAGTATGGAAAATTGGTCCGTACGCTTTCAGTTGCTTTTGTAGGGGACAATGACATGGCTCTGAGACATGTACTTGAAGGTTTTCCTAGACTGCAAAAACTTGAGATAAGGGATAGTCCCTTTGGAGATGTTGCGTTACGCTCTGGTATGCATCGCTATTACAACATGAGATTTGTTTGGATGTCGGCATGTAGCTTGTCAAAGGGATGCTGCAAGGATATTGCACCCGCAATGACGAATCTTGTTGTGGAAGTAATTGGGTCAAATGATGATGATGACAATAGGGGTTATGTCGAAACTTTATACATGTATCGGTCTCTTGATGGTCCAAGGAATGATGCACCAAAGTTCGTCACGATTTTATAGAACGAGGAGCATTTCCGTGCTACCGATTTTTAAGAGGGGAGAAAGAAATGGGTAGGTGTAGGAGGCATGGATGATGATGGTGGTGGCATCAGAGGCACACTACATGATTGATGATGATGATGATGATGGTGGTGGTGGTGATGGTGATGGTTGGGAGGAAATGCAAGATTGTTGTATCATTATTTTATTTTTTATTTTTGGGTTTAAAAGATCTTATTTGATTGGTTAGGTGGATCAACGGATGTATGTTTTGGGAGCATTGGTGTTAGTTAGACAGCTGAGTTGGTTCTAATAAGCTGCACTTTTGGCTCTCTCTCTCTCTAGTTGTTGTTGTTGAGAAACTAATGAGACATCTCTCTTTTGTCTTTCCATTTTTAATTAATTTTGAGATATTTCATCTGAATCCGTTTATATTGCAGTGGTGGATGTTTCTGTTAATTCGAGTTTGGTTTTAGTTATAAGAAGACCGATGATAAATAAACCAACATATTTACCATTGAGTCATTCGTCACTTTTGCAATATAAAGAGTAGAATTGCGCTATTCTAGTGCATATCCTTTTGAAATAAAACTACAATGTAACTTTAACAAAAAACATTTTGATTTGAATCGATTTGATTATTTGGTTTCGTTCGGTTAAAATGTCTTACGCTTACCTAAAATGTAGAAGGGGGTGAGGGAAATTATGGTGATGGAGAGATATGAGCTAAGGTTCTTATCCATAGGAAGACCTCTCCTTTTGCCTTTGTTGACAAGCCATCTTTGTCCCCAAAAGACTACATTTTTTCAACTGACAAGAGACCCATCTGCCTACATGATGGTGGGCTGGTGGCTTGGCGGGCCCAGGGTGGTTGGGTGCAACTCCCTCCTCTCCATGGTTCGACTCCTCCTGCTGTTATCAACATTATTATGGGAAGCCTGGTAGTCAGAAATGCAGGCGGCCTGACTACCCCCTGACACTTAGTCGGAAGGCATTCCAAACTCGGGATAGGCAGAGTGGTAGCCCGTAAGGGCCTAACCGTTAACACGGTGGACCAGTCCACTATGTAGCACCTCCGTGCGTTCCTACCGGGGCCGACTGGATAGCCGATAGGGTTTATCAAAAAAAAAAGAAAAAAAGAAAAAAAAAAAGAAAAGAGACCCATCATTTATTTCTTAAAGGTCATACATAACCAAACTGAAATAATGATGGTGACAAAAACATATGATGGTGGTGGATTAGAGATAATTTGGAAAAAGGGGCTTATATAATAAGATTAATGTGATCATCTAACCTACTCATTAAACTACTTAACCCCAATGTTTTTTAATACTCCCATCATTTCATAATCCTTTATCACTTTGCTTCCATCCTACGGTCACCATTCATCCAAGTTTCCATCTCTATTCCCTCTCCCTCCAAATACTATTACATAAATAAATAAGATATTATCTTAAGTTGTTGGTTACATGCATTTGTCCCTTACATAGAATAATGTCTCCTTCTGTTCAACTTCAGTTGGACGGTGATATTAGCCATTAGAATTCATGATGCATCTAAATGTAGAAGATATTATTTTGGTGCAAGTGGCAAATATTTTTCCAAAAAAGAAAACCAGTAGTTCTATGAATTTTAGGGGTAATACTCATATCCGGTCAAGACACAAGTTGTGTCTTTTTATTGGTTATCAAGCACAATAGCTAAAATAAATCACATTATTAAGTGTTGAAAATGGAAAAGCACTTCTATTTTAGTGGCATTTAAGATAATAAAATCCCCTATACAGCTATACTTAAAATCTTATTCTCATCGTAATGGTTGATATGACATGAAACACAAACAGCCATCTTCTTCACAGGGAAGAAGTAGTGAGTAGAAGTCATGGGGCCAATCTATGAATTTTCCACGCAGGATTCCCGTTTACGTCTTGCAGAGAATACTGCAGCCTGTGTTCGACATTCATACGTTAGCAAAAGCATAAGCCATGGCTAATATTATGTGTTCTAAGCCTAATTAAGAGTTCATTTTCCTCTTCAGCGCTTCATTTTCAATAAATTTTGAAGAAGATAGAGCATACCTGTCATGCAAACGAGATGGTTGTCCTTGCCAAAACTCGAAAAGTTTTGGTTTGAGTCTGAATCCTCCCCAGTTTTTCGGCTTTGGTATCACACTTCTGCAAGCCAAAAACAAAGTCTTAGTCATCAATCAAGAACATCGAATCAAAACAAATGCTTCTAAGAGTTGGAAGATTTTAGAACTCACCCATCTGAATATTTTTTTGTCAGTTCTTCATACTCATCGTATAGAACATGCCTACCAGGCACAACGGAACTCTGTATAGAAACCAAAAGTTGAAGGGTAAGGGTCCAAAGCAAATTCCTAACATCATATGACAATATTTTGAATACTGTAACAGATCATAAGGCACCTGCTTGCTAACAATAGCTCCAATCTGACTTCCTCTAGGACGACTATGAAAGTAATTCTCGGATTCCGACTCAGGTATTCTCTCCACTGGTCCTTCAATTCTTACCTGATTAAGTACATTGGACATTAGTACTACTAAAAGATCTTCATCGACCACTTTACTAATTCTTGTGTATCAGTGGTTGGCCAACTGGCTTTGTAGGACAGATATTTTACTACAGTGCAACTCATAAATAGATGTGCAAAGTATTAACTAAAAGCCTAAAACACACAAGGAGGTTAAAGAAGATGGAAACACACACCTGACGGTTCAAACTTTCCCAGTAAAAAAGAAGTGCTGCACTAGGATTTTCTGATAAATCAGAACCCTTTTTACTTTCGTAGTTGGTGAACCTGCATTTTACAATTTAAGCAAGTAACATCAGGTTGCACACAGAGATTGCATACCCCAATTCTCAGCAGAAAAGGGAGAGAATGTACTAACCAGACAAATCCATTCTCATCAAATCCTTTTAGTAAAACCATTCTTGATGAGCTGTAGCATGATCAGGCTAATTAATAAAGATAATGAAAAAGGAAGTAGACAGGCAAATTCTGTTCCTGATGCGAATATGTGGATGTTCTATCTATTGATATAAGTTGTACTAAAGCATAATTGAGTTCGCCCATGATCAAGATTCGTGTATGCAGAGACACTAACATATATACTTACGACTACTTCAAAAAGAATGGAATAAGAAAAAACATGCTAGAAACTGCAAATCATGCAGCAAATTGGAAACCTCAAACGCACTTTTTTTGTATCACAGGCTGTATATCAGACAATAACTAGTTCAAAGAAATCATAGCTGGATCTATCTCATCCTATTGCAAAAAGCTCTATAAAGTTGCACTTTTATAATACAGTCATGCACTCATGCTAGATAACATCTAAGAGATATGGAATTAGAAATGCTTTTGGAACATGTTCATCAGCATATTGTTACACCGAGTAGGGTCTCCTGAAATATCAAAGTATACTTACGGTTTTTTGTCCTTGTTCGCTGTACACAAAGCCATAGCATTGGTTTCTCTCAATCCAGCAGCAACTGCCTCATCAAACCATTTACGAAACTGCAGAACAAGAAAGATCTGTATTAGCCAAACGGATGTCTTATCTCTAATTAGAAACCACAATAACTAAGCAGTGACTAGTCTAGAAGAACGAGTTATTAAAAAGCCATTAAAAATGAGCAAAAGTGAAAAGAGTATTATTATTACATCAGATAAAATATTGACTTGGGCGCATGTCTTATTTTCTGGGAGCAATATAAGTTTCTGCTCATTCGTTACCTTGTCGAAAATACAGATAAGCAAAGAAAAGAAATGAATTCATACCTGTACCGTAGGATCAGTTTCAACCTGCTCCTCGAGCAGTTCAGGAGAGACATAGTTCACTCTCATAGCAGATATGTCAACTTTGGGAGGTTTACCAATTCTAACACACATAGATGTCCCAGGGTAACTAGGGAGCTCGAGCTTATATTTTTCAGCAACAGTAGGTGGTACAAATCTCCCACCTAAAAAGTGATGAGGGCCACGGAATCTCTTTGCACATAATTTTGGGGCAGTCAAAGATACCTATAAAAAGAGTAAATCGGTTCAATTTATAAAGTAACTTGCGTTATATATGATAGTAACAAATAAGTCAAAAGGAAAAAGAGTAACACAAGCATTTCGGCTAAGGCGTACCAACATATCAGGCTTAATTCCTCCATCATCATGGTCTCCTTCTTCAACGTGCCAACCAGAGGGAATATCTACAGAGACGATGACTGGGTGTTTTTGGAGCGTCTGCTCATAGTTCTGCAAGGACACCAATCTCCGGATGAGGTCATCAAAAGGAGGCCTTGGAGCACCTACATGGCCAATACATTGATTCAAAAAAAGAAACTGAATAATGATGCAAATGAAAATAGGCGCATAACTGAATTATTCAAGATGCCGATTCCAAACTGTTCAAAAGTTCAATGAATTTACTTCTTTACAATGTTTCATGCTTTGAAGAATTCTAACAATGTGGGCAAAAGAATATAGTTACCATGAAATGAAAACCCAAACATTGCATCTACAATAACATCAAAGTCCTTTGACAAGTCTTCCGGCAGATCATCAGCTGAAACAAATGGGACAGAGAGTGACTCCAACTACAAAAAAAAAGGCAAATTTCAGCAAGAAAAATATAGAAACAGAAAAAGCTAACAGATTTCATAAATTAACCACTGGTTACAAACCTGAGTGACCAGTCCAGTATAAAGCGGTTTGGCTGTACGTTTAGGATAACAAATAAACGGTTTATAACCAAAGTGGTGCAAATGCCTCGCCGCCACCAAACCATCACCACCATTGTTTCCAGGACCACAGATTGCTAGAACCCGGCTATAGTCTCCCGGTTTATAAACCTGGAAAAACATTCTAGACTTCAAATCCAATGTACATAACAAGAAAAAATGTTTGTAATGCTAACATGCTAACATGAACTGTGATTTTAAGAAGATTTCAATTATCTTCTTTCATAGCTATCCTTCTCAACTTAGCGTAGAGAGAGCTTTAGAGGTTTATCGATGTAAAGGAAAAAGCTTTGAGCTTTGATTACCTCAGCAATTGAAGTAGCGACGCTAAGACCAGCCAATTCCTACAATAAGAAAGATGAGCAAAATCAATCACGATCAGGTAGCAAAACATGGGGTAGAAGAAGAAGAAGAAGAGAACAATGGAGGACCATGAGCTGATCAACGGAGAAGCCAAGAGGACCCATCAAGGTTTCATCAATCTCAGCGGCTTCTCGCTGAGTAAGATAAGAGAGTGGTGGTGATCCTGAATCCTCCATGTTTGGTACGATGGATTTGGTACACAAAGTCCGCACCGAAGCAGAGCGTAGACGAGAGCCCTGGCTTGGAGTGAGGAATCGGTGGGTGGGTAGAGGAAGAGAGTAGAGAGAGAATTGAGGAGGAGAAGGAGAAATTGGGAGTGGTGGTGATTGGAGGAGGAAGGTGAATGTCATTGTTCTGACTCTACGCATCACATTCCTCATTTAGCCCAATACTCACTCCCACAACAAAATTAATTTGGAGTCCCTTATTAGGAACAAATTCTCAGGGGCTCCTCAAGCTCCAAATTTAGTCTCAAATACTCTTCAATGGTAGAAAGACAAAATTACCCTTAATGAGGGTTGATTTTGGGTGATAAGGGTTAAATACAATTAAATCGGTAAGTGTTCAACAAAAACACAATAGCTCAGTGGTTGCGAGCTCCGTGCGCACGCGCGCGCCCCCAGGGTTCGAATCCTTTTATACGGGTTGTAACTGGTACAACTAGGGAATATTCGGGTACAACTATGTTGTGGTACAACTAGGTGGTACAACTAAGGTCTGGTACAACTAAGTTGTGGTACAACTAGGAGGTGGTACAACTAGGTGGTACAATACTCTCAAATTATAAGCCAACTTTGTTTGGTTTATAATCCATTTAGGGCCTATGGTATATGTTATGTTTACCTATAGAGATAACCAAATCAATTTCATAAAAAGATTCACAAGTTTTGTTATTGCAAATTCTTTTGTGGAGTTTTAAAGGAAGTTGGTGAAGTTTTACATTGGAAAGGCTAATATGATAAAATGTGTTCCAAAGGATGTAGAGGGAGTTGGTTTTCGTTGTAATTGTTATTTTTTCAATCAAGGTTTACTAGCAAATAAATTATGGAAACTATTTAAATAAATTAAAAGAGCTAAAAACTAATTTTATGATTATTTATAAAATAATAATTTCCAACTTCAATGCAAATTAGTTTTTATTTTTTATTAATTCACATATCATTTTATCTTCAAATTTTATGATTTTATGTATTAAAAATTTAAAAGAGAATAGAAATCGATCTTTTTTTTTTTTTTTCGTCTGAAAGATTCCATTATATTATACGAGGGTAGAATACGGTTTTGAAATACAAGACCGACAAGAGTCGAAACTCTTTCGGAAACTAAGCCGGCGGAAGACATAAATATCCCCGGGAAACTAAGCCCAAAAGAGGGAAGCAAACTATAAACAAAAAGGTACAAGAAGGTAAACTCAAAAGGAACCAAAGAACTAAATCTGAGACTCGAAACCATCATAACCTGCAAACAATCCCAGAGAAACGGTTGGCGTCGGAGTTGAAACCAAGAAACATGAGCCTCAAGAAGAAACAACCAAACAGGCAAACTCCAATAGACCGGAGATCCCGAAGAAGAACGAATCTGAAGGCTCAACCAGCAACAATCCGACAGAACAGAGAGCGAGATCAATCCGAAAAATGAGCACAGCAACAAACACCATCATGCCATCTCCACCATGGAAATGAGCTCGAGCGAAACCAGGCACAAAGAACCTTTGAAAAACGGCTGGGGATAAGTCAAAGAGGAGCACCAACTCTTACACGCGGACAAAGCGAACCAATCAAAGCCACCTACACACCTGAACCGGTCACGACCTCGCAAGAGAAGAACTAGTGAACGAAACCACTGCTGCGCTTAGAACCCAACAACGAAAACCGAAGACGGCTTCATAAAAGACCTAGTAGATGCACCTGCAACGATGTACCATCCGAGAGACAAACCCCAAACACGAACCTAGCCCACCAGAACCCACACACAAACGAGAGGAAGCAAACAGCGAAGAAGAACTTGGAACCCAAAGCAGAGAGTTAAAGCAAGCAAAGCACTAATCCGGAAAGCACAGCAAAGCCGTACAATAAGCCGTAGAGTTAGAACCCAAAAGCAAAACTTAATCTCTGCCCAAGCCTAAAGCACCAACTAAACCTTCAACACAAACTACAAGATCTAAACCAAACACAACCAACGAAGAGCCAAAGAAAAAAGAAGCATGAGAGACAAGAGGAGAATTGGGTCACCGAGAAAACAGAGCCGTTGTTCAGATCGGAAGAAGCCATAGATGCTCCAAACACAATGAAGCAAGTGGTCAGGGACAAGAAGAGGCACCACACATAGATGCGATAGTGAGAACGACGACTCCATCATCACCATCGATCAAAAGCCCTTTCGATTCCAATCTCCTAGAACCAAACTCCATCAGATCTGAGATTCAACAATAACCCAAACCAACTCGCCAAAACTACCACGCTTCCAAGGCCGAAGAAATCAAAGACAATACATGAAAGAGAGGACCGACGCCGACGCTGTGGGAGCCGTCACGCGCCGGTCAGATCGTGGCCAAGACGATGAAGAAGAAGAACGGCGATTAGGTTAGAGAGAGAAGGAAGAGTCGGGGGATCTGCATCACCAAAGCAAAAGGATACAACTTTCACGAATAGAAATCGATCTAAAGTAGACAATTTTCAAAAGAAAATAATAAATTTTTAATAGAAGGAAGAAACTTCCTAAATTGGGGTATCAAAAAGTTTTCTCCCTCCATTTACTTTTTTGCATTAATTTATTCAAAAACTGTAACAAAAGAGAGAAAGAGCTAAAACAGTGGACTGAAGAAGAAGCTCTCTCTCTCAGATCTCTCTCTTCCATGGCCAATTTCAATTACTGTGACTGATCTCTCTGTTTTTTCACCCGATGCCGAATCATAGCCCTAGAAGAAGCTCTCTGTTCCAAAGATCCAAAACTTTACCAACGAACTCATATCGGAGATTCACCTCTCCTGTGATTCCCACTTTCAGATATGATGACGGAGACGGTGTCAGCTACGACGGTGATTCAAGTAACTTCGCGGCGATGCTTACTTCCGAGGAAAAACCTGTACCGGTGCCGAGTCAATCCCCGAGTCAGAGAATAACTCGGTTGTGGACTCATTTCTCTCTCACTCATTGCGTATGTTATATTATGAATTCAATTAAATTTATTAGTTAAATAGTGAATTTGTTATCAGTAGCTTTAAATTTTAGTGTTTTCTATTTTTTTATTTTTTTTGCAGCTCAAATTCAGTTGTTCATGTTCTTTTACTTATGTGATGTTTCTTCGGTCTAAAGTTTCAAGATTAGAGGTATGTTTTATATTTTTCTGATTACAAGATCAAGAACCACTAGTGTAATAAATATATTTAGTAGTTTTTTTTTTTCGTTTCTCTATCAAATTTCTGTTTTCTTGTTACAGGCAGAGAATTTAATCCTTGTAACAAGATGTAACAGTAACAGAGTTCCAGGCAGTGACAACAATGAGATGGAAGAAACTAATTCTAGAGCTGTTGTTTTCTTCAGTGTGATTATTACCTTTGTGTTGCCATTTTTGTTGTATATGTATCTTGACGATCTCTCTCATATCAAGAATCTATTGAGACGAACAAATCAGAAGAAAGAAGAAGTTCCTTTGAAGAAAAGAATAGCTTATTCATTGGATGTGTGTTTTTCAGTGTATCCATATGCTAAGCTGCTTGCTCTTCTGTTGGCAACTGTAGTTCTTATAGTTTATGGTGGCTTAGCATTGTATGCAGTTAGTGACTGTGGGGTTGATGAAGCCCTTTGGTTATCGTGGACTTTTGTAGCGGATTCGGGAAGCCATGCTGATAGAGTTGGTGTTGGAGCAAGAATTGTTTCAGTTGCTATAAGTGCAGGAGGTATGTTGATATTTGCTACAATGCTTGGACTTATTTCTGATGCTATATCAAAGATGGTAGATTCTCTACGGAAAGGGAAAAGCGAAGTTCTTGAAAGTAATCATATACTAATTCTTGGATGGAGTGATAAATTGGTACGCCTTTGTATGTTACTAATTTTTGCTTTACGTGTTGTATTGGCTATAAATAGATTAGAGACAGAGAAAAATTGTGTGTGTAGGGGTCACTTTTGAAGCAGCTGGCGATAGCAAATAAAAGCATTGGTGGAGGTGTTGTGGTGGTGCTAGCAGAACGAGACAAGGAAGAGATGGAGACTGATATTGCCAAATTTGAATTTGATTTAATGGGAACATCAGTTATATGTAGAAGTGGCAGTCCACTTATACTAGCTGATCTGAAGAAGGTCAAGTTTCTAAAGCTTAAAATTGCATAACTCTTGGCTGGTGGTGAAGCTTCTGACAGTGAAGTGAAACCTTTGATCTACTGACAGGTTTCAGTCTCAAATGCGCGTGCTATCATTGTACTAGGATCTGATGAAAACGCGGATCAGGTAGTTCTTATTTCCATGACTTCCTACTCTTTGGTGTTACTGTTTCTTGTGATGTATTAATCACTTTCGGGTACTGAAAACAGAGCGATGCACGTGCCTTAAGGGTTGTGCTCAGTCTTACAGGAGTAAAGGAGGGTTGGAAGGGGCATGTTGTGGTTGAAATGTGTGATCTGGACAACGAGCCATTAGTGAAGCTTGTTGGTGGAGAACGCATTGAAACAGTTGTCGCTCATGATGTGATTGGACGCCTTATGATACAATGCGCTCTTCAACCTGGCCTTGCGCAGGTTAGTCTGTTCAGCTAACCTGAAGAACACTTGAAGAGGGAAGTCTACATGTATTCTTATGATTTTAACTGTTTCTTTTACTATTGTCAGATATGGGAGGATATTTTAGGCTTTGAGAACGCAGAATTTTACATAAAGAAGTGGCCTCAGCTTGATGGTTACCGTTTTGAAGATGTCCTCATTTCATTTCCTAATGCGATACCCTGCGGAGTTAAGGTTGCAGCAGATGGGAAGATAGTTTTGAATCCTAGTGACGACTATGTTCTGAAAGAAGGTGATGAAATACTTGTTATAGCCGAGGATGATGACACTTACGCTCCTGGTTCACTTCCGGAGGTATGCATACATTAATTGTTTTTAGTACAATGCTTGGACACCTTGAATCTACTTACTATATCACGCCTTGTGTAGTAGGTACCATGTCATGCTAACCATATTCATATTGTAGGTACGGATGTGTCATTTTCCAAAAATGCAGGATCCTCCAAAATATCCAGAGAAAATACTATTTTGTGGATGGCGCCGTGACATTGATGATATGATCAAGGTACATGGTACATCAAAAGAGAAAGGAGAACTATAACATAGATAAATAGTAAACATTATTCCACCCATTATGAGATTTTTCTAACCTTATAGGTGCTAGAAGCTCTGCTTGCGCCGGGATCGGAGTTATGGATGTTTAATGAGGTTCCAGATCAAGAAAGAGAGAAAAAGTTGACAGATGCAGGACTAAATATATCCAAATTGGTGAATATAAAACTTGTGCATAGGCAGGGAAATGCAGTGATCAGGCGTCATTTAGAGAGTCTCCCTCTAGAAACTTTTGATTCAGTAAGTTGTTTTGCATATCTTCCTTTTTTCTGGTTGATGTAGCATGAGAATAGATATGTCACTTGCCACCATCTTCATGATTACCAAATCAAATTGCAGATCTTAATTCTTGCAGAACAGTCACTAGAGAACTCTATTGTTCATTCAGACTCTCGATCTCTTGCCACACTTCTCCTTATTCGGGATATACAGGTACATGTCATATGTCTTTTCTAATGGAAACATATATGTTGATAGTATATGATTCAGTTGTGTTAGTATAATCTTTATGCATGCATGTCTCTTGAGCTCATAACAGATATATGACTACTAATGGAAGCTGCTTTTTTCTGTTTTCATCAACAGTCGAAACGGCTTCCCTACAAAGATGCAAAGTCAAGCGCCTTACGGATATCTGGATTCCCCAATTGCTGTTGGATCCGTAAAATGCAGCAAGCATCAGATAAATCGATTGTGATAAGTGAAATTCTTGATTCAAGAACAAAGAACCTTGTATCTGTGTCAAGAATCAGTGATTACGTACTATCGAATGAGTTAGTTAGTATGGCTCTTGCGATGGTCGCAGAGGATAAACAAATAAACCGTGTTTTAAAAGAGCTTTTCGCGGAAAAGGTACATAAGAAAGGAACTTGCTCTGCTTCTGTAGAATGGAGGAGCTATCTCAATTTGTTATAGTCATTTTTTTTTTGCAGGGTAATGAATTGTGCATAAGACCTGCAGAGTTCTACATATATGACCAAGAAGAGGTTTGCTTTTACGATATAATGAGAAGGGCTCGACAAAGACAGGAAGTCATAATCGGTTATCGCCTTGCGGGAATGGAGCAAGCTGTGATTAATCCTACAGAGAAATCCAAGCTTACAAAATGGTCCCTTGATGATGTTTTTGTAGTCATCGCCTCTAGTCAGTAAGTTACAAAAACCGTAGATGATCTCTGACCATTTTCTTAGAAGAAGCAAGAATCATTCAAGACCCCAATTTTTTCCACATCTTGTTTATTTAGTCACTACGAAACAGAGACAATTATTTGTATAATAAATAACCAAACACTCTTAAATAAAATTATGTATCTTGTTTTAGTTCTACACATTCAAGCCTGTCGCGCCTGTGATTCATCAGACAGTTGCAGCAAGAGCATACTCCAATTTAGATGAATTAGGGACCGTAAGCACTGATAGTAGGATTTTACTCTAACAAGTATCAATCCCTAATACACATGCCATTGTAGTATATTAGGTTATCAATCCAATCTCAGTGTGACTGCAAGCACTCAAGATATGAAACAGAAAGCGAATAAGTCAAGCCAATTGTGAAAAGGTTTTGTGTGTTTCTATTCAACCTAATCAACCAATTAACATGCAAGTACCAAATTCAAAAGCATAAGAAAGAAAACTAAGCAGTAAGAAATGAACTACAGACCAGAAACTATCATGCATAAGCTTTGGAAAAGAAACTAACAACCTAGCAATGCAGAGAAGCGCTCTAGGCCTAACAGGTCGAGTAGAACACAAAAGCTAACAGAAACAATCAATAGAGATAAAGGGTCCTGAGGAATGGGATAATTGATTATAGCAGTCTCCTTAGTCTATCTAGGTGGTTAACAAACTCAATCAAGCTATCCCTAGACAATAGATTCGAATACAAATCAATCCACTCTCGTGACAGAGATTCTCAAGCTAAATCACTTTCATACTCAATTCTCATTGAAGAAATATAACCTAGCAGGCATTATGATTCAATCTAATATAGTCAATAAGCATTCTAAACATCCAATCTCTTGGGCTAGAGTATGCAAATCTCTGGAAAAGTTTGTTCAGACATTTCATCAAACACCTTGTGAGTGTGGAAATGTCTGAGATCTATTTCCAATTGATCAGAGAAGAAATAGCATTAAGATCTACTAAACCAGAAGGGAAATCAAGCAATTCTACACTTAACCACCTAAATATACTAAGGATTCCACACCTAATCTAACCCATCCTCAAGAACCCTAATCCACTACTCAAGAACACTGAAGAACATCATGCATAAAAACCCAGAAAATTGCATAAACCCAGAAATCATTAAAAAGCAAGTATGTTATAGATAAGAGAGAGATCTACAACTTTGATGAAGAAAAGAAATGCAAAAACTCAAAGGATCAACAGGAAAAACGATTACAAAATCTAGGGTTTTTGAGAGAACAGTGGAATATCTGCTGAGTAAAAGAATATCCGCTGGATAATAGGGTGAACCCCTATTTATAGGAAATACTAGGTTGCCCTAATTAGCTACAGGACAAAATAGAGAGTCGGCGGAGACCAACTCGACGTGACGTCGAGCCTGCCACGTCGAGCATGTCCTTCTTCAAAGATGGCGCCTGGATGACCAACTCGACGTGTCGTCGAGTCCAGCACCTCGAGTCTGCTCCTCCTCAGCTTCTTCACGTCCTACTCGACCTCACGTCGAGCTTGCTGGTCGAGTCCAACCCTTGGTGGTTTCTGAGCGCCTGCTCGACCTCCTGTCGAGTCCAACCAGTTTTTCTGCATATGTCTCCATTAAAACCACCATAATTCTTGCATCAAAGCTCTGATTTGCTTGAAATCACCTCCGTTGGAAAGGTAACTCAATTTCCTATAACTTGTATGAAGAGCTCTGAAGCTAAATCGCAATGAAAGACTTCCATCTGAGTCGATCTTTGAGGGACTTCGGACTGGTTCTGAATCATCAATTCTCTTCTTTGCATCCATTATGTCCCAAATAAGCTCCAAATACCTGAAACACATCCAATATGCAATATGCTATGCCATGCAATGCAAATCGTACTAAGTGATGAAAATGATATGAAAAGGACTCTGGATGCAATGAAAGAGTGATAAAACTTAGCTAAATGTATGAGAAAAGTAAGATTAAAAGTGGTAAAATACAGAGATATCAACTCCCCCAAACTTAGCTCTTGCTTGCCCTCAAGCAAACAAATAGAACTAAGCTGGAGAAGAGGTTTGAAGGTGGAGACTCAGAACCAAAACATGCATATAGAGTAAGTGAATTCAATGTCCAGGTTGCTAATTCTAGAATGCAAGGTTGACTGATCTCTACTTAAAAACATTAGCCATCTCCTTCACATCTCAACCTAACTTCTGCCTTAATCAATTCAAGCATTCAAATCAGCACATTCCCTTTAACATTGATTAAGTAGGAACCGTGAATCATACTATGCATTGGATATGAACACATTTGGCTTAAGGGTAGAGGTCTAGAGACAAAGATGGTCCCTTAAAGATCTGGTTTAAAGTCGCTACAGGGGATCTCTCAAGAATGATTGAGCTTTAGTAGAATGCTAAAGGTGAGTATCAAGTTATGCATACAAGGATAAGACCCCATCTACCCAGAATGTAACCAATATCAACCAAATGGAGGTCCTATTTCTAATCCCAGAACATGAACTTAACTCTACCCTTTTGCATTCAAAGCATTTACAGACCTTTACTCACACCATTCCTTTCTTTTCTTTGCTTTTCTATCCTAGGAGAAGCTTTCTTACTTTGCTCTGTCTAGCGGATTAGGATTCTTTAACAACTAGGGTTCCCTTTTCTTTCTTCTCATAAACACAAGGCTTTTGCCCATTCTCTTTAAGCTATTTACAGAACCCTTTTTTTTCTTTACTTTAGCACACCCAAATCCTTTACTAGACTTCTCTTACTTTAGCTACTTCTCCTTAGGACTCTTTTCCCTTTTCTTTTCTTTCAATGATGAACACGACCTTTTCTTTCTTTTAAACACAACCCAAACCCAGAATTAAGCACCCACCTAGTCCTATCTGGTCCAGATAACGTGAACCAGAACTACATGAGATACTATCCTTGTCGTTACAGACCTAACACTTTCTACCAAGCTCAATCGAAATAAGGCCTCACATTCACACACAAATGATAAATGGCTTGAAAGAAGGTTAAGGTTTAGGGTAGGGAATAACTGCTCCAAAGATGGGAGTCAGCTACTTGGACTAGCAAGAGTGATCAAAAGGTAAAAGAAAGTCCAAGTATTTTAAGGTATCCATGAGTTCATAGCACAATGCACAGCATGATAATTATAAGTCAAAATTCAAGTTCAAATTGATAGGGAAAGGACATCAGATCAAAGCGAGATTCGACTAAGAACAAGAAAATCAAGCGTTGAATTCAAAAGATGGTGCGGTCTTACTTCAAGTTCAGTCGATTATGCATTAGAGAACTAACAACCAGGGCACTGAGTTCTACTTAGTGAATATGCATATTTACAAGGTTATAATCATCATAATCTCCAATGCAAATGCATGATGCAACAGTCCTAAATGAAAGCATACTAAAACAGTCCTAAAATGACAATGCAAGCTATATGAACACTCTGTTTTTGTGAAATCATTTTCGAAAATTTTCAAATTTTTATGGTTTTTCTATGCCTTATATGCAATGATGCAAAATTTGAGATAAGAAAACAAAACACAAAGTCAAATACTCCCTGAGCCCTCCCCCAAACTTAAATTACACAGTCCTCTGTGTAACAAGCATTTGGAAGAGAGTACTCAGGGCAAACCAACAGAGAAACAAAATGAAATGTGGTATATACAATGGTGAATTGGAGTTGTTACCTCATGGATGGGTGAAGAAGGAGGTGATTGACCTGCTACTGGTGGGCTCGATGAGTGGGCTCGACGTTGGGTCGAGCTAGTAACGTCGAGTAGGGCTTCGGTTTTGGTTTGGAGTGACACCAAGGGGCAAGCTCGACTTCACGTCGAGGAGGGCAGGTCGAGTCAAGGCCACTCATTCTGTTTTGCGCCTTGGCTTCCTTAAACGCTTTATCCTGAGACATTTAAGGCAAAAACATCAAAAATAACAAGGAATATAACTAATATTTACAAGGATAGACATGGGACTTCCTCCAAGTGAGCTTGTTTAAAGTCTTTAGCTTGACTTCTCACACTGAATGAGCTTAGGGTGGATTGTAGAGATCAAATGAGATCTCCTCTGTCTGCAGGTGGATGAATCATCAAACTTAGCATGCTCTCTTGACAAATCTGCAGTTGAGTACTCAATGGCCCTTTTCTCATAGTAAGCTTCTTGTTGAATCAACTGGATAGTCTTCTGCTATAGACCATGCTGAAGTGAATTCACTCCCCTTTTTGCTGACCAGAGTAGATGCTTCATCAGTTGGGACGTCCTTGATTGGGAGTGGTACTTGGTTGGCTATCCCATGGAGCTTCTTGATTTGATCCTTCAGCTCTCTCACAGTGTCTGTTAGCTCCCTTATGGCTTTATCCTGCCATTTGGACCTCTCCTTGAGTTCTAACCAGCCATCTGGAGCAGAATTGCTAGACTCTAGCAGCTTATCACGATGTTTGGTCGAGCTAGAGTTCTCCAGACGAGTTGTAGGCTTGCTCAAATGTATACTCGAGTCAGTTGGTTGAGCATGTGTTGAGCTTGCTTCATATGCCACCTTAACCTCTGTTTCTGGCTCAATCAAGCCTTTTAAGACCTCTGACCCTGCTACTTCCTTGTGTGAATCTAGTGACTTACCACAGCTCAAGGTTTCAGTGAGAAGATATCCTGCTTCACCACTCTTAGTCAAAGAAGTTTTTTGGTGATCTTCCTCAGCAACCTCCTCTAGCTGTTCATCAGCTAGGCAATCCATTACCTTAACTACGAAGGTCTGTCCTTCAATTGTTGGCTTCCTCGTGGCATCATTGATGTCAAACTTCATTTTGAAATCATTTCCCAGATTAAGATCAATCTTCCCATTCTTAACATCAATGACAGCTCCAGCAGTGGCTAAGAAGGGCCTTCCTAAGATTAAAGGATCTTTTGGTTCATCCATTTCTAGCACTATGAAGTCTGTAGGGATTTCAGCATTTCCAATCTTAATAGGCAAATCTTCTAATAACCCATGAGGAAATCTGATAGACTCATCAGCCAGGATCAAGGAGATGTTGCAAGGTTTATACTTGCTGAAACCCAGTCTCTTGGCCACGGAGAGAGGCATGAGACTTTTAAAAGCACCTAGATCGCAGAGGCAGTTACTGAAGGCCAAAGTGCCTAGAGAGCAAGGTAAAGTAAACGAACCAGGATCTCCCAATTTCTTGGGAATAATCTTCGTTTGGATGATTTCACTGCACTCATGACTCTCCATAGCCATCCCTTGCACTTCCTTAATTCTCTCCATTACCATGTCTTTGAAGAACTTGTGAGAGTCTGGTATCAGCTTATAAGCATCGATGAGAGGCATCCTGGCTTCTAACTCTTTGATGTGCTTAGCAAACATTGCTCTGTACTTCTCAATTATGTCCTGTTTGAACCTTCCAGGGAATGGTATTTTGGGCTTGTAGGGTGGTGGGATAAAAGCTTTCTTCTTACTCTTATCAACAACTGGTTCTTTGATCTGGGGGCTCTTAGCTTGATCACTAGGTATAGCAGCTTGGTCAAGCTTAGTGGTGTCATTGACTTGAGTTTCATGCTGAATGAAATCCTCCCCCTCTTGAATCTCACTGTCCTCAGTGACAGGAGCTATGCTAGGTCGAGTTAGCAGCTCTCGACCACTGCGAAGGTGAATAGCATTAACATGACCTTTCTGATGCTGAATAGCTTTCCCTGGCAGTTGCCCTGGATTCTGAGGCGCAGAAGTAGAGGTAACTTGGCTCTCCATGTACTGAATCCTGGAGTTCAAAGCTTCAAACTTGATATTGAGATCATTGAAGGTGCAGTCTACTTTGTTGTGAATCTCAGCCAATTTCTTATCAAGAGCTATAGCACCCGCTGCTTGACCTTGGAGAAGCTGCTGAAGCATTTGCTTCATGTCTTGATCTTGTACAGGTTGAACTTGATGTGGTTGTTGGGCAAAACCAAGTGGTGGATTCTGATGGTGGAAACCTCCACTGAATTGCTGCTTTGGTGCAAACCCTTGATTGTATGGTAGGAAAGGCTTGGACTGATTCTGTTGTTGTTGAGGGTAAACCTGATCCTGAGGGTTTGCAACATTCGTGCTGCGGTAGGATAGATTTGGATGAGCATGCTGGTAGTGGTTGTAGCCTTTGTTGTAACCACCTTGGTTCTGTAGGTAGCTGACTTCCTCAGCTTGAGTACTCTCCCTTTCTTGGATTTGATAGTGCTCTTCTTCAGTGATATAGTGGACTTGCTTCTGTTGACTAAGCAGAAATTTATCCAGCTTATCGTTGAGAGCCTGAATCATCTCCTTACTATGCTTCGCATCCGGATCTCCAATACCTCTGTTGGAGCGATCAAAATCCTCGTTATAGTTACCATCGGATAGAGCTAAGTTCTCTATCAATTCCCAGCCTTCCTCAACATCCTTATTCAAGAAATTCCCATTAGAGGCAGTGTCTAGCAACATTCTGATCTTGGGCAAAACTCCCCTGTAGAGTGTGCTGAGTAGTGAAGCCTTCTTGAAACCATGGTGTGGACACTGTATAGTGTAGCCTTTGAATCTCTCCCAGGCCTCACAAATGGATTCAGACTGCTTTTGGGTGAAACTGGAGATTTCATTCCTTAGACGTGCAGTTCTTGAATTTGAGAAGAACTTAGTTAAGAAGGCCTTCTTGCAATCGCCCCAAGATGTGATGGAGCCAGCAGGTAGTGTCTTCTCCCAGTGGTGTGCTTTGTCTCCCAGCGAGAAGGGAAACAGACGCAGCTTGAAACTGTCTTCACTAACACCATTTATCTTGGTGAGGCTGCAGAGCCTATCAAAATTATCCAAGTGATCCAAGGGATCTTCCAGAGGCAACCCATGAAACTTGTTACCTTGTATCATTGAGATCAATCCACTCTTGATCTCGAAATTGTTGTTCTGGACAGGAGGTGGAACGATGCCCTGTCTCTGTTGATGGTTGCTGTGGTGCATCACCATCACCAATGTTCCGTGGTATACCAACTCCTTGATTGTCTTGTTCTTGTGGTTCCATGGCTACTGGATTGTGCAGTTCACAACCGTCTCTGGCTCTACGTTCTTTCAACTCACGGGCTAACTGGTTGATGTTGTCTTTGTAGCTGATGAGGTTGCTGGAGCCTTGAGAACGAGTTTGCATGCAAAGTGGCTAGTCTCGACGTGTAGACTCGACTTGAGGTCGAGTTGGTACCTGGAGCACAAAAACAAGCAGCTGAAGAGAGTAGTTAGTAACCAAAGTTAAGAAAGAACTTGATCTTAAACGTTTCTGAAATCTTAAATGGAACAATGCAACACAAGACTGGCAACGGCGCCAAATTGATAGTAGGATTTTACTCTAACAAGTATCAATCCCTAATACACATGCCATTGTAGTATATTAGGTTATCAATCCAATCTCAGTGTGACTGCAAGCACTCAAGATATGAAACAGAAAGCGAATAAGTCAAGCCAATTGTGAAAAGGTTTTGTGTGTTTCTATTCAACCTAATCAACCAATTAACATGCAAGTACCAAATTCAAAAGCATAAGAAAGAAAACTAAGCAGTAAGAAATGAACTACAGACCAGAAACTATCATGCATAAGCTTTGGAAAAGAAACTAACAACCTAGCAATGCAGAGAAGCGCTCTAGGCCTAACAGGTCGAGTAGAACACAAAAGCTAACAGAAACAATCAATAGAGATAAAGGGTCCTGAGGAATGGGATAATTGATTATAGCAGTCTCCTTAGTCTATCTAGGTGGTTAACAAACTCAATCAAGCTATCCCTAGACAATAGATTCGAATACAAATCAATCCACTCTCGTGACAGAGATTCTCAAGCTAAATCACTTTCATACTCAATTCTCATTGAAGAAATATAACCTAGCAGGCATTATGATTCAATCTAATCTAGTCAATAAGCATTCTAAACATCCAATCTCTTGGGCTAGAGTATGCAAATCTCTGGAAAAGTTTGTTCAGACATTTCATCAAACACCTTGTGGGTGTGGAAATGTCTGAGATCTATTTCCAATTGATCAGAGAAGAAATAGCATTAAGATCTACTAAACCAGAAGGGAAATCAAGCAATTCTACACTTAACCACCTAAATATACTAAGGATTCCACACCTAATCTAACCCATCCTCAAGAACCCTAATCCACTACTCAAGAACACTGAAGAACATCATGCATAAAAACCCAGAAAATTGCATAAACCCAGAAATCATTAAAAAGCAAGTATGTTATAGATAGAGAAGGAGATCTACAACTTTGATGAAGAAAAGAAATTCAAAAACTCAAAGGATCAACAGGAAAAACGATTACAAAATCTAGGGTTTTTGAGAGAACAGCTGAATATCTGCTGAGGTAAAAGGAATATCCGCTGGATAATAGGGTGAACCCCTATTTATAGGAAATACTAGGTTGCCCTAATTAGCTACAGGACAAAATAGAGAGTCGGCGGAGACCAACTCGACGTGACGTCGAGCCTGCCACGTCGAGCCTGTCCTTCTTCAAAGATGGCGCCTGGATGACCAACTCGACGTGTCGTCGAGTCCAGCACCTCGAGTCTGCTCCTCCTCAGCTTCTTCACGTCCTACTCGACCTCACGTCGAGCTTGCTGGTCGAGTCCAACCCTTGGTGGTTTCTGAGCGCCTGCTCGACCTCCTGTCGAGTCCAACCAGTTTTTCTGCATATGTCTCCATTAAAACCACCATAATTCTTGCATCAAAGCTCTGATTTGCTTGAAATCACCTCCGTTGGAAAGGTAACGCAATTTCCTATAACTTGTATGAAGAGCTCTGAAGCTAAATCGCAATGAAAGACTTCCATCTGAGTCGATCTTTGAGGGACTTCGGACTGGTTCTGAATCATCAATTCTCTTCTTTGCATCCATTATGTCCCAAATAAGCTCCAAATACCTGAAACACATCCAATATGCAATATGCTATGCCATGCAATGCAAATCGTACTAAGTGATGAAAATGATATGAAAAGGACTCTGGATGCAATGAAAGAGTGATAAAACTTAGCTAAATGTATGAGAAAAGTAAGCTTAAAAGTGGTAAAATACAGAGATATCAAGCACCACGTCACACCACTCGACATTCCCCCAAATCTCTTCACCGTTACGCTTCTCAAGCGTAATTACCGCACACCAAATCATCTCGTTCTTACAGCCATTGGTAAGCACAAGCTCAGACCATAAAACCGCCATCTTTCCACCATAATCCGCCAACTGAACACAACCATAACTTTCAAACTTGGGCAATCCTGTCAAACCCTTCAACTCTATCCAACATCCTCCGTTGGTGTCATGCCATTTGAACACTCCAGAACGGTAATGGTACAATACATTTTCAATCACGCAAAAAGAAAACCATCCCCAACTCCGTTTGAGGTCCGTTTACCGTCTTGAAAACATACTTATTTTATTTTTATAATACTAAGCTCGTACGATTGCAGACAAAAATTTGTGTATACTAGTTAAAAATCGGTTCAATCTATAAATAATGTAGTCCGTCTCATTATCTAGTGCAACCATTCAAAGGCTTAATAAAAATGGGTTAGATGATAAGAAAATAACAAACTCATATCTCAGAATACCAATCAAACCCTATATTAGATTAAAGGAATAATACCACAATGAGGCACTTTTCTGAACTTATTTCCGTCTTGAGGCACTTTGAAAATGTAAGGCACTTTGGATAAGTTATTTGACTCATTTGCCCTTTAACTACATCTCGCTTTAGTTACAATTTCTTTGTCTCTCTCATTCTCATATCCCTTCTCTCTCTCTCCAAAGAACAATGGCGGTGCCTCTTCTTCTTCTTCCTCTAAATAACCTCCGACCATCTCTGCTGCGACTCTCAAGGCTCTCTTTAAGCCTTCTGTAAACAACGGAGGAGGCGGTGGAAACAACAACGGAAACGGCCGGGTTAAACCCGGATTCTTCCCGGAGCTCCGTCGTACGAAATCCCTCCCGGCGTCGAGAGCACCGACAAGCTCCCTTCCATGTCACTTTTCGTCCCCTTCACACGCGCCACGAAGCTTCTACAACCTTTCTTCGAAGAAACACTCAAGAATCTTCCACAAGTTTCGTTTATGGTCTCCGATGGATTCCTCTGGTGGACATCGGAATCTGCAGCTAAGTTCAAGATCCCTAGGTTGGTCTTCTACGACATGAACTCTTACTCCGCCGCTGTCTCCATCTCTGTTTTCAAACTCTTTACCGAACCGGAAACTAAATCTGATACCGAACCGGTCACTGTACCAGACTTTCCATGGATCCGGGTTAACAAGAGTGATTTCGACCATGGTACTACTGATCCGAAAGAATCAGGTGCAGCCTTCGAACTGTCTATGGACCAAATCATGTCGAGCAATACAAGTCATGGGTTTTTAGTCAATAGCTTCTACGAGCTCGAATCAACATTTGTTGATTACAACAAACCAAAGTCGTGGTGTGTTGGGCCACTGTGTTTAACAGATCCTCCTAAAACTTTAGGTGGAAACAACAACGGAAACGGCCGGGTTAAACCCGGATTCTTCCCGGAGCTCCGTCGTACGAAATCCCTCCCGGCGTCTAAGAACAGCGAAGGATTCTCCGGCGTGTTTGAGCCACAACGTAGGTCTTGGGATCTCTAATTGTAATTGAACTTATCATGATTCAATTAGCTAGCTATTCAGAGGTTGTGAACAGATAGGAGATTTTGTGTTTCCTCTGTTGAACTTCACTTAATAGTTAATAGCCACATTGCTTCAAGACTGTGTGTAAATGTTGTCCTTTAAGTTTCCTTTGGTTCATGAAAGGTAACAGACTGTGTTTGTAGGTGTTGGTGGGTACTCTTATCTTTACGAGCCTCTTTGGTGGTCTTAATAAGTTGCTATTGGGGACAAAGAAGCTGAGGCTTTGCAAAAGTCTAAGATCTCTTCAAGTGATCTTATCAGTATTGACTCCACCAAAATTGATAACAAGAAAGAGAAGCCAACAAGTGGTTTTGATAAATCCATCAAAAAGAGAGGCGATGATAAGCATTCCTCCAGATCCAACAAGAAGAGAAGAGCCTGATGTGGAGTTCATGTCAACAATTGTTTTTTGTAACAGTGACCAGAAATTTTTGATCATTGGTCTTTTTATGAATTTTTGTAACCAGGTTGAATAATTTATTAAAATCTGGGTTTGTTCATCACAAATGAAGACGACCATGTATAAATTTGTGTATTGATATAAAACGACCATGTTCGTTACCTAGATGACCATGTGGACTTGACTGGTTGGACACTCATTAATGGATAATTGTGTATTTGATTTGCTGTGAATGTGTTTTATCTCTTGGTAAAATTATCAATCTGTAAAATTATCATTTTCTTATGGTTATAATATATTTTATAGTTTTGAATTTTTGTTTACGGTTTAAAATCTAAAGTTTGGTTGAACACATGTACAAAGCAAAGTCGTCCATCTCAATTGGAACATCTACATCAATTGGTAGGGTTTAGTTTTCTATATTTTAAAGAAGTTAAATATCGGTTTGGGTTTAGTAGGTATGGATATGGTCTAGTTTTCTATATTTTAAAGAAGTCAAATATCGCTTAGACAAACATCAATGGGCAACGCTGTCTTTGTTTATTGTTAATGTGTTTTATAGCTGGATAAACATATTTTACGAATAGGATATGGATCCATTTTATAATGATGGCAGTGTCCATACACAAGTGAATATTGGTTAAAGAAAAATGGACGGTGTTCTTTTAATTGACGATTATCGTTCATATATAAATTTGTGTATTGATATGAAAGGACTATGTGAGCTACTAGATGACCATGTGGACATGACTGCTTGGGCACTCATCAGTGGACAGTTATGTCTTTAATTTTATGAGAATGTGTTTTATCGTTTGGTAAAATTATCACTTTTTTAATAGTTACGATATATATATGGTTTTGAGTATTGGTTTACGGTTTAAAATCTAGTTTATGTTTAAAAATTATGATTTTAGGATATAAGGCTGTGTGTATTAATTATGGTTTTGAGTATTGATTTTAGGTGTTAGATGTTTAGGGGGTTTAGATTTAAACAATCGGAGTTTAAATATTCAAGTCGATATAGCCAAAGTATATGCCGTTATGGATAAGCTTTTAAATTTCAATTGAAAAAAACAACTATTATAAACAATATAAACGGGAAGGATTGTATTACTGAACAATACGTACCTTTCATTAATAGATATTCTTAATTACAATCGCCTTATTGAAAGGTTAACAATATTGAAATGGTTTATTGAAAGATAAAGGGTATTAGTTACCTATATTGAAACATGCTGAAAATAAGTTTTGGTTTTCAATATAGGAAACATGATAAAAATAAGTTTTGTCCAACGCATACTGTCCACGAGCAACTGGGATATAGAGTCACCTTTAAATGTGATGTATTATTTAGTTACGGTTTAGGGTATAGGGTTAAGATTTTGTTGCTTGGGTTAACAAAGTATGGTCTAGAATATACTTATCTATATTGAAACATGAATTAAGATAAAGTTGGGAAATAGGGTATAGGGTTAAGATTTTGTTGCTTGGGTTTACTAGGTATTATCTAGGGTATAGTTATCTACATTGAAAAAAGAATTAAAACAAAGTACAGTTTTATTAGTTAACTAGTAGTTATGGTTATTGCTTGGGTTTACTAGGTATTATCTAGGGTATAGTTATCTACATTGAAAAAAGAATTAAAACAAAGTACAGTTTTATTAGTTAACTAGTAGTTATGGTTATTGCTTGGGTTTACTAAGTATTATCTAGGGTATAGTTATCTACATTGAAAAAAGAATTAAAACAAAGTACAGTTTTATTAGTTAAGTAGTAGTTATGGTTATTGCTTGGGTTTACTAAGTATTATCTAGGGTATAGTTATCTACATTGAAAAAAGAATTAAAACAAAGTACAGTTTTATTAGTTAAGTAGTAGTTATGGTTATTGATTGGGTTTACTAAGTATTATCTAGGGTATAGTTATCTACATTGAAAAATGAATTAAAACAAAGTACAGTTTTATTAGTTAAGTAGTAGTTATAGTTATTGCTTGGGTTTACTAAGTATTATCTAGGGTATAGTTATCTACATTGAAAAAAGAATTAAAACAAAGTACAGTTTTATTAGTTAAGTAGTAGTTATGGTTATTGCTTGGGTTTACTAAGTATTATCTAGGGTATAGTTATCTACATTGAAAAAAGAATTAAATCAAAGTACAGTTTTATTAGTTAAGTAGTAGTTATGGTTATTGCTTGGGTTTACTAAGTATTATCTAGTGTATAGTTATCTACATTGAAAAAAGAATTAAAACAAAGTACAATTTTATTAGTTAAGTAGTATCCATGTACAAGTGAACCAATGGTCAAAAGACAAATGGACACCCTAAACATCTAGAGTTTAGTGTTATATATTTAAAAGGAGTTAAATATCGGTTTGGGTTTATATTGTTAACGAAGTTAGATATCCGTTTGGTTTACTAGGTAGGGATAGGATTTAGTGTTATATATTTAAAAGAAGATTAATGAACTTTTCATGCTTCTATCGAGTTTCTTCTTTGTCTTTCATGCATGTATTAGAACAAAACCTCAAGATGTTTAACCATACATATCCCTCATGCTTGACTAAATGTTATATAATGATTGGAGTGTCTATATACAAATGAACAAATGGTCAGCAAAAAATGGACGCTTTTCGTGAAATTGTTGGTTTTCATTTATGAATAAATTTCTGTGTTAGTATGAAACGACGACCATGTGACTCCCAACGCATGGAGTGACACAAATAAATTTGAAAAAACGGTTCCATGTCTTGCACCAATATAGAACCACTAATTAATAAATTGGCTTCTTTGTTCAGTAAAAAAAACAAACAACAACAGAGAAAAACAGTTTTAAAAATGATCACACTAGCTAAAAATAATCCTCTTGTGGACCAATCAGATCTTTGAAATTTACTACACTAGGAAGCCACTGGTGTGAGGAAGAATACCATACTTGTGAATGAGGACAATGATCCGTTTATGACTTGAACGATCTTGTAGTTTTTTCGCATCTCTCGTGTTTATACCTTGATCACAGGCACAAGAAACCAGATCAAGTCATTGTAATACACTAGAATTTCACAATCAGTATAAGAAATAGATGTTTAGGTGTCCATTTGTCTTTAACCATTGGTTCACTTGTACATGGATACACCCATCTATCATTATTACAACATAGAAATGCTACATAACGATCATAAAATTGGAAAAAGGAGCATATGACGGATGATTTGGTGTTCAATTAATCTACATTGGACCACACACCAGAAATGATGATTCATTTGATATCAATACTTTGGCATTAACGTGACGTTAGATACTCAAAAAAGTCAGCCCGTATCAACTATATCTTTGCCTTCCTCAAATCCATTCTTAAGCTGTGTTAGCAAAGCTTCATCAGTTGGAAGCTTCAGATCATCCGTAGTGCTACCATTGTCAGTAAGAAGACTAACATGTAGATGTAATCAAAGAACAAAACCCTCTAATTCAACCATAGGGCAAAGACAAAACACAAAGCTGAAATAATGGAAAAGAAGATCACATACAAAGCCATCTTCAGAGATATCAATCAACTGGTAATCAACACGATTCACATGTGGAACCTGCCAATAAAATAAAAAGACTTTGTGAGTCAAAATTAAAGAGTTTGCAAATGTCTATTATATCCATTCACAAGACTCACGTCACAATTGTGGGAAGAAGGAACGATATCTTTAAGCTTCTTAGAAGTGAAGATATCAATGGCAACGAAATGACATTTGGTGTGACCATGCTTCCCAGTCTTTGAAGTTGATACCTCAACCACCTATCATAAACCCCAACAACGCACCAATTCAATTAAGCGGGAGATTAAGGGAAGAGGGAGTTCGGTAGAGGAGAGTAAGGATCTACTTCTTCTTCGTCTCGAAAAAGAGAAATCAATGATAGGCCTAGAGACATGAATGATTAGCACTATAATATCATTCTATGCAACCAAGCATGATAAAACCTGGAGATCCAGTAGTCGTGTAGACTTAAATAGTCAAGAGCCTTCTGAAAAACAGGTTCGTTTTCTTATAGCTCATACATGAAACCAATGTAATCGTGCAAACAAAGTGACGATGCATTTAAGAGAAGCCAACAGTTAATACAATCCAAAGACAGATAAAATAGATACTGATGAAATCTACAGCCAGCCTGCTTTTGCTCATCCGACAATAAGAAACCACCACATGATTCAAGTTTTACTCATCTATCTCTCTTTCTCAAACTGGGACCCCGAGTTCAAAATGATCTAAAGCTCTAAAGTGTGATTGGGAACCACTGATTCATGCTAAAATTATCTAAACCAAAAGGCAGACATCACATACAGTTTATAACACATGGTCTCTTGTTAACATCAAGGTCTCGATTATTTAGGAACACTGATACGTAAAACAGATCGATTATGATCCAATAGTACTTAAAAATCACCTAACCTTGGAAAATTGGTCAATAATCTTCAAACCATACCTCAGAATTACTAAGAAAAAGGATTCTTAAAGCCTTCAAGGATTCATCAAATCTTATCCTAGCAAGAGAAATAACTTAGCTGAAAACCTAGCTAATGATCGAGACATGAACCCTAAACCCCCAAAAATAAGATCACAACCAAAATTTTCGATTAAATGGACATCTAATTCACTAGTATCATAAGCAACCTGAAGGAATCTTCAAAACCAAAAAGCATTTCACCATCATAATCGATTTCACTGACAATCGCGATGAATAATTAAACCGCGAAAATCAAACTGCAGAATCTAATGAAAGGGAAAAAAGGAATCAAATCACCTTTGAGGAAGAAAATTGTTTTGGAAAGACAGGCTTGGATGTTGTTTTTTGTTTGGACACAATCGATGATGGTGGCGAGAAAGAGAAATAGATTGAGGATGCCTTAAAAATAATTTGATTAATTGGGACTTTGTTTCTAACTAATATTTCTAATCGAACCAGAGAAGAGAATGTGCGTCAACTTTGTCTTCGTTTTACGGAGGGGCATAACTGTCTTTTTTGTCTCCAAAAACAAGATGAAGTGCCTCATGTTTCTAAAGTGTCTAAAGTGTAAGAAGTTTCATCAAAAGTGCCTTAACATGTAAATCACCCTAGATTAAATTCAACTTTTATGTAAAAAATGCAAAAAAGTTATGTGTTAAATTGGATTCTCCTCTCTGTTAAATCGTTTTTTTGTCTCAATAAAGAAAAAAATCCTATTGGTTGGAGTGAGAGAAGCAAATGTCATTAGTTTTGTGTTCAAACAAAATTGGTCGTCTCTCCACTCATTGAGTAATCAATCAATCTCCCACACATTTTTCTGCAATAGCAAAAGATCTTTACTTTGAGATTGTCCCCATGAATTGCGCAATCACAGAAGATGATTTGATCTCTCCTTACCTCATCATCTTCAAATCTCTCTTACTCATCCCAATCTCTCACTATCTCATCTTCTTCTTCCTGACAATCCTAGTGTTTCTCTACTTCTTCCTCGAGATTCATATCCCTAAAGCAGATCCTATCTCTCTCACTTTCAATCCAAACTCTGAGTTCTGTCAGTTTATTGTCTCCAAGTGTCGTCTCCTTCATGGACGGTAATGGGTTCCTTCCTTCTCTTGATCCATCATCGCAAAATACGATCTTTGTTATGTAAAGATTTGCAATTTTCAATTTTTGCAGATACTTTCCTACGTTTTGGCTTTCAAGCCCTCATCTTCAAACAGCTTTCCTTAGCCTTTTTGGAAAGTCACCTCCTTTTTCCTATAAAAGGTAATTTCAAAAACCACATCTTTTTTTGCTTGTCTCAGATCTTTTAGGCGCCAGAGTTATGTGTTTCTCTTAGGTTGTTTTGGTTTTTTCTTAAAGACTTGATCTTTGAGATTTATGAATAGTTTTGTATCTCTATCTGTGTGTCAGAATTCTCTATCAGGCAACAGATGGTGGCACAATTGCTTTGGACTGGTTAATGCATTCTGATGGTTTGTATTAAGAACAATAACATATTTGATGTTTTCAGTTTTTGATTCATGGACTTATAACTTTTTCTTGTTCTCTATAGTTGTGGAAGGCATATCTCAGGTGGTCAATGACTCAACTTCAGGAACTGATAGGACTCCAATTGCTATTGTAGTTCCAGGGCTCACTAGTGACTCTTCTGCTGCAGTAAATTTCACCACTCCTATGGACTTTCTTCCTCCGTTTCCGTTGGGATAGCCTCATTTGTCTCTTGCTTTTGCTTACTCAAACTCTTGTTTTATTCTTTTTCACAGTATATTAAACATATTGCCTTCAGGCTGGCAAAGGAAGGATGGAATGTTGTTGTGCAAAACCACCGTGGACTTGGAGGGATATCTTTAACTGTGAGTATATCTATTTTGTGTTCTTGATTTGGTTTCATTTTTTTTTTTTTGTATCTAGGTGATATTTTGGATCACAAGTGCGTGACTGTGTTGGTATTTTGAATTAAACGAGTTCCTAGAATAATATGCCTGATCTTAATTTGGTATTTTCGATATGTGACCTTCATCAATCAAGTTAACATTGAACGTGTTGGAAGAAGCATGACATAGGCTTGACATTATCAAACTGATTAAGTAGATTTGCAATCTTCAATTTTTTCACAAGTTTATCATTTGTGAGGTTGATTCATTGAATGTGGAAAATATATGATTTATCGACTGACTGGCTCTTCAAATCATTAATCAGTCTGACTGCGTCTACACTGCTGGGTGGACAGAAGATCTTCGGAAAGTAATTGATCACATCCATTCTCAGTTCCCAGAGGCTCCTTTGTTTGCTGTTGGAACAAGCATTGGTGCTAACGTTCTGGTATATATTGCCTCTTTTTTACCTTTGATTCCCTTAGTCTTGCATCAAAAGGTTGAATTATTGTGGCGACCATTGTTTGTTCTATAGGCATAACGTTTCACACAATTAGTCTGATAGCCCACATTTTATTGCTACAATAAGGGGCTTTCATGTGGTTTATCTTACTTTCATAATTTACTTTCATAATCTAAACCTCATCCAGGTAAAATATCTTGGGGAGGATGGGCCAAATACACCTCTTATTGGAGCTACTGCTGTGTGTTCTCCTTGGGATCTATTGGTCAGTATACCCTCATGTCCACTCTAACTTAAATTCTGTGATATTAGTTAAACTTAATAGTGAAACAATGTCTCTCTTCATCTTCCTTGAGATACTTATAGTATATTTTTGGTTCAAAGAATCTAGAAAAGAAAAACAATCATGCCTTACTGTTTCAAATGATATTCTTTGCAGATATGTGATCGATTTATCAACCGCAAACTCGTGCAGAAATTGTATGACAGAATGCTTACTATTGGTCTACAAGGTTATGCACAATTGTATGTCTAAATTCTTGTCTTGTATTGTTAACTTTGTATCCTCACCTAATTTTGCCTGCTTTATTTATGTCTTTCTTGTTCCCTTACACATGGTTGTATCTACAGGCACCATTCCATCATTTCTCGTATAGCCGACTGGGAAGGCATTAAGAAGGTGGCTTCTGATTTTCTATCTATTTGCCAAATAAAGTAAATTGACTTAAAAGATTCACCATTCATCTTGTGTCTTGTTTTAGTCACGTTCAGTTCGAGAGTTTGACAACTACGCCACCAGACTTGTTGCCAAATTCGAGGTGCAGTTTATTTCCTTTCCTCTTTACCCTTTGTTTATATATCCCCTCTTTCCATTTAAATAGTAGGAAATCCAATCTTTAATGCTGCAGACGACTGATACATACTATAGACGTTCAAGCAGTTCGCAATATGTGGCAAATGTCGCTGTTCCGCTGCTTTGCATCAGTGCTTTGGATGACCCAGTTTGTACTAGGGAAGCTATTCCTTGGGATGAATGTAGGTAAGAATCCATATGCTCTTAGTCTTACCCTTTCATCATGATTTCCTCCAGTATTCAACTCTAGAGCTGATGGACTAGATCAGTTTGACCCAGTTTTACATCGGTTCTCCTATGTTGTAGCCTTGTAGGGCCACTGATAAGTCTTCAGATGGAATTATTTAGCGGTTAAGTAATGCCACGTCACCTCACTAACGTTCAGAAGTTAGATAGAGGGAACAATAGTCTGACTAAGGGATTTAACAGGATCCTGAGTATTTGGGAAATTGGTTTTGATATGAGAGAGTAGGAGATGATCTAGAAAGTCATTCTTATCTTGTTTTGTTCTTGGGTGCTCTAGAAGTTTTCGCAAGATTACCTTTGCTAATTGAGTTGGTAATTTCTCTGTTATATAGAGTTTCTATGTGTGGCTAAATCAGGAAGTGAACGGCTTTAGGCATCATTGGCGAAAAAATTGATGAGATTCTTGGTTGTATCTTTCTGTATTGCATAGTGATGGGGCTCCCTGTTTTATGAAACTGATGTTCCAATGTGTCAAATTTTTGCAGGGCAAACAAAAACATAGTTCTGGCAACCACAACACATGGTGGTCATCTTGCTTACTATGAAGGGTTGACAGCAACAAGCATGTGGTAATCAATCTGCTATACCCACGCTCTTAGATAAATATCTCACATTTCTATCCAAAAGGACTTTCTTAGTAGTGGAACTGAAATATGTGAAACCGTAATGTATAGGTGGGCAAGGGCTGTGCAAGAATATTTTGAAGTGCTACTCTCTAGCCCCTTTGCAGACAGAAGACAGAAGGTATGAGGAAAATGAGTTTTAGTCCATTTCCATGACTTCATCCACTCTTAGTGTCTTCTAAGACATACATCATATTATTCTTTCAGATGCAGATCATCTCCGAACCATTGGGATCTTCGATTGATCAGGGACCATTCGTGGATGCTGGAGAAGACGGGATGGTTGCTGCTGCAAGTGAAGTTGACACAACAAGAGCTGATGCAGAACCAGAGGATAGTGCTCAAATTGATGAAAAGACAAGTAGTCATCCACACAAGGACAATACTCAAGTTTATAACAGTTTACTCGGTCCTTTGAAGAAGAGAGTGGATCAGCTTTCAAGATACAGCCGGAAATCGATTTGGCTATTGGCATACATTGCTATAGTCACGACTTGGCCACTTGTAGGACCTGCACTTTTGTTTTCAATCAAGAGAAGATTCAGAAAGCTCGTAGAAAAATAGAAATCATATTCGAATATTGCAAAGTAACTATATATACAGATGACTTATGCCATTCATACTTTTTTCTTTACTGTAACCTACTTAAGACAAGCCTGCAAGAAGCTCTTTACCGTCAATATTATACAAAACTCTCATTCATTTTTCTAAACAAGTTATCTTCCATCAATTTCTCTTTAACTAATTGTAGATGCTAACGGAGTCGATCGGTTTGGCAATGATTTTTCAGTATAGGATGACATGAGAAGATAGACTCTCTGCTGCTTGTCGTGCCTACAAGTAGACATTGAAGGCGTCCAAAATCTGCTTAACGGAGAAATCGATGTCAATCTCGATGGCTGAACTAGTCTCCATATTGCCGCCTTCGAAACCACATCAACGCCGTGAAGCTGAATCTTCTGCTTACCAGAAAGATCAACAAAGCAACACCTAATTCCGTTATCATATGAAAAACACGTCAATGTGATTTTTCATATCTCACATAGAACTTAATTACATTTTCATATTGGATTTTAGAGAACCACCAAAGCACCAATGGTCTTGACAATATCGTCATGAACTTGATCTCAAAGCCTGATGTTATATTAAAGACCTTCGCTTTTGTTATCAATCAAGAAAAGATCTAGAAGGCTCATCGAAAAAAGAAATCATACTCTACTTCAATGTCAACTCGCTAGACGACTGTTGCCATTAATAACTTTCGATTGTTACTTGCTTGAGATAAGACTACAATTAGCCGTTTGCCATCAATACTATACAAAGCTCTCACAGGACTTTCCACCACAACAACAAAACCTCCATTATAACTCAAAGTGGTACTTTAAGGGAGATAGTATTATGAAGCAAAAGCAGTCATCCACTGTTAAAAACACGTGCCAATGTTTTCTATGCTTTTTGAGTTTGGAGAGTGATTTTAACGAATAAATTTTGGATGGCTCTCTTTGATAAACTTTTAGCTAGTGATTACGGCTCATCTTCATTTTTGGTACCGCCTTTTTCACCTGCCTTGCTCTTTCTTTTGCCTCTTTCTTCCTTATCACTTCCGCGCTCAGCTTTGCTTCTGCTTCCTCCATCATTTTCTTCTTTTCTGCTTTCTTCTTCTGCAATGCCTCTTGCCTCGCGTTCTGAAGTTCCTTGTATGCTTCCTCTGCTGCCTTTTGCCTACCACTCTCAGTTTTGTTCCGCGCCTTCATTAAATCAAGACACTTAAACTCAGCCTTTCAACACTTTTAACCAGGCTATAACTAATCATAAGTTTGCACTTTACCTGGGAGCTGAGTCTGTATCGACCTACTAAGTCGATGTAATATGGAATTAGCGCCACCAAGCGGACAATATCATCCATATGTTTAGCATCGGGTAACGAAAACTTGAAAAGCATCATCTTCTTGTGCTTGCCAGGGTGTTGGTCAGATATATGCATCGACATGAAATTCTTCCCATACTTATCCACAGCCTTGTCACCAAAAACCTACAGAGTTCCATTGCATGCCCGAATTTGGTTAGTGATAGTATCATAGAGATAAATAATGTGAAACGTTAAGCCAAATCTAAAATAGCAAATTATTGGAGGTGATTGATTTCCCAATTTAACCACACAGAGATACAAACAGAGACACAGCCATGGAGTTCAAGCCAGCTGATCATAGAGGATTAATTACCATATCCTCACTAACTCCAATATTAATTATTAAGGTAACATTACTTAAAAGACTCTAAAGTTTCCTTCCAACAATAAGACCCATTCAAGTACACTCCAAAAGTCTGCAAATCAGATTGAACTCCGTATGAGCTCTGATATGGACCTGCCAAATTCTGATTCCCATTTCTCACTCTGGTAAAAATTGATTCTTACTCAACTAAATCATCAGCCAATACACAGACACGGTTCTACTATAGGTATCATCAATCATCAAACAAATGGAGAATCTGAGAGAAAAAAAAAGAAATCTTTTCTCACCTGATCAAGAACAGTGTCAGTGATCATATCTGCAGCAACTTCCTTAGATTCAGAAATCACAGCTAACTCCTCCGACACCCATTTCCTCCCAGCAGGAGAAGACACAATCCCAGCGAATCTCTGCAAATCCCTCATCTCCTTTTGCATAGTTTTCGCCGCCTTTTTCCTCGCCATAGCAAACACAACATGATCCATAGTATCTTCATTCATATAAACCTCAAAAGTGATCTCATCTTTACAAGGAACCACCAAATTAAACATCCTTGAGATCAAATCATGTCTACTCTTAAGCTCCATAGTAGCTAACAATCCATGGCAATACCTACGACCACTCGCATAGAATTTGAACACATTTAACGCTTCTTTCAACAATAATGGTGAATCCTCTCCTTCACTAACTCCAAGCAAACTAAAATTCTTCTGGAATATAGTATCCTTGGAAGCGAATTTAGCCGCCCAAGCTAAAGCGAGACTCTCGTTCTCACGTTTACCAACAAAGTAGTTGACTGCGAGAGCGATTAAGAAAACGACGCAAGCTATCTCCACTGCGTACGACTTCTTCTTCTTCATCTGATCAGTAGTACCTTCTTGAGTTTCCGATGAAGTCTTGAGATCAAGCGTCTTTGGATCAGAAGGAGTGGTGTTTTCTGCAATCAATGGAGATTCAAGTGTCTCTATCTCCATCGGTAGTCCTTCGAACTCGTCTTCATCCCAGTACTCAAATGGCGTAGACGAGGGAGTTGTCGAATCGGATTCATGCTCGGGATCTGATTCAGAGATGAGATCGGAGTTAGATTCGGCGGAAGAAGATTCCGGTTCCGGTTCCAGATCGGAGAGTGATGAGTGAGACTGAGTGAGAAGAGGCGGAGGGAGGGAGTGGTGAAGGTGAGAGGAATCGTCGGAAACATCGTCTTCTTCACCATCAAATCCTTCGAATTGTGAAGCTACGATAATACGATAATGGAGGAAGAGGTAGAAAATGAGAGCGAAGGAGAAAGATCGGCACATTGTGAAGGAGAAGGAAGAATCAAATAAGTCTCTGCTCTGAAGTATATAAGTTTCGACGATTTCAAAAGGATTTTTTTTTCTAAGTATAACAAAAATGTTCAAAACTTATTTGGAGACAAATAACATATGTCAACAAACACAGAGTCTATGCACAACAATACTATACAAGGGGAGCTAATACAAAGAACGAGGGATACAAGAAGAGTGGTTTCTATATAAGTTGAACAGCTGCGATTGACGGGATTTTCTCTCTTAGTTTCTGAGTGACTGCTACTCGAACTGTCATCACTCCAGCTGCAGGTCCTGTGATTCTTATCTTCACGATTGGATCTTCTATCTCCACTAGATCAAGCGACCCATCTGCTGTTCCGATCAAGTATGGCCTGATTTCTTCCAGCACCTACACGATATATATTGCACACATAGTGATTTAACATCTCACATGAACTCTAAAAGGATTAAGATATGATGATCTACTTATCCATGATTCACAATTCTCATAGCAGTATCGCTTTTTTCTATTCGCAAGGAACCTTATTCATAGTCCCGGTTTCATACCTTTAGCATTTGCAAGAAATACCAGACATCTGTACTTAAGCAACCTAGAGCTTATACTAGAACTAACCTTCTCGATGTTTTCCTCATTCAGTTCAAGGCGCAAAAACAGTATTCAAAATTTCAAACCAGCAATATGGATTTGAGCTAGCGATAACAGCAAAACCACATATGTAGAGAACTTCAGCTAGATGCTATGCCAAAATCTAACCTTTTCAATGTTTTCCTCATTCAGTTCAAGGCCAGTCTCTTCATCTGCAACTGCTTCCACAGCTACTATTTCAGGGATCTTTTCCATTAGACGACGTTCAATACCCATCTTCATTGTCATGGTAGAACTTGGGCATGATCCGCATGCTCCCTGCAGCTTAACTCGCACAATATTTCCATCGATCTCATGTAATGCCACATTACCACCATCAGACATAAGGTATGGTCGGATTTCGTCCAAAACGCTTTCTACATTTTCCTCAGTTAAAGGAACTTCCAAGATTGGGTCTGGGGTTGCTACTGCCTTGACAACTGCAAAAATCCAGAAATCAATCATAAGCCTAAATACATATTCTTCGAGGAGAATGGATATCAAAGTGGAAGGAGAACTTTTTCCTCTAAATTTTAGAGAAACGTTGTAACTTTATAATGTCTGATAGAGGTGGGACCAGAAACCATTCGTTCACAAACTACAATTGAAATTACATATCCCTAAAGCAACCCAAATAAAAACTGATGATAGCTATAGGAAACAAAATTTGTCATGTCGTCATGTCAAAGGGCAATGCAATCACAACACCAAAATCTCTTCCCAAGTTTCAAGGAGACTAGTAAGACAAGAAAAGCAACTGATTTTAAAGTAGAACAGTTGATTTTTTTAATCTGTGAAAGTTCTGCTAAGTACTAACCAAGTATATACATCAAACTCTCTGATAGTTCATTACAAATGCAAGATTCAAACCATTTTTGTTCAGAAACTAGAGTTGAAACTATATATCCCTAATGCAACCCAAATAAAAACAGAAGACAGCCATAGGAAAATGAAGAAATTGTCATGTCAGAGCCCTTCTGAGTAAAACAATTCAATCACAACATCTACCTACATCAAACTCTCGATGAATTCATTACAAGTCCAAGATTCAACGATAATTATTGAACTATTTGATCTTTTGGTCATAGAATTTACCCTTGTGCTCAGAAGGATACAATAACGACGGCAAAATAGAATCAACATGGAGACATCTTTCTAAACGGAGATAGAGAGAGATATTCGTAGTCTGACCTTTGGATCGTCGGAAAAGTTGTCGACTTGATAAAGACCTAGATAATCCTCGTCGAAGTGGATTACAAGGCCTAGCTAAAAGACCAAGAGCGCGTTGGGAGCTCGAAATCTGCTAAAAGAATTCGGAGCAGAGACATCGATACAATGAGTAACATAAAACAATTAAGCGTGAGAAGAAAAAAGAACGGATTAAAAAATCAAAATCACCTGAGGAAAAGGAAGAAGAAGACTCGAGGAAGAGGAAGGGTCTAGGGCTTGCGACGGCGTCCTGGAAATGGCCGGCGGGTTTAGAGTCAGCAATTGCATATCTCCTCCACTCGAAAATCTTTAATTACGAGTTTTTGATTCGGAGATGATGATACGATCGTGAGATTTCCTTTTATCGGCGGCGTTCTGTGTTACAAGGCCCACCCAAATGTTTTTTTTTTCTTTTTTTTTTTGGGTGAACACTTTTTGACAAATTAATTTATAAAGTTTTATAAATATTTGCAAATTTCCTTTTTTTTTTTTTTCTGTCAGAATGTATTTAAATCTATAGATTCTCCATGGCATATAACATTTTTATTGTAGTTTATTTCTTATTGAGTGAAGGTTGTAGCTACGAGATTTACAAGCATTCCTAACATGGTTTTTTAACTTTGGGTTAGGAAAATGGAAATTACTAGTAGAAACAATAAAATTGGGATATGTTATAAAAATGGATAATTATCAATTATTGTGATTATCCATTTCTAACTTGAACCCCAAGCAATTTGTGTTTATCCTATTTATAACTTATCTATTTACTTTAGCTTAGGGTGCAAGTTTCCTTCTCTATATAAATATGCTCCACGTTGTAATGTGAGAGATGAGAGAAGTAGAGGAGTGAGTTGAGAGAGAGAGACTAGTTATTAATTGGAGAATCTTGTGTCTTTGTTTTCATACGTCTACTCCTTCTCTCTCAATTATATCTTGGCAAGATCATGAACATATACATAAAGTAATATTATTTATGTTTGCGTTATATTTTATAATACGTTATCAGCACGATGTCTTTACCGCTAGAGCGTTTACGAGGTAAGTAAAATTTATATTATTTAAATTTTATTTATGTTTATAGAACATAATTATTTTAGACATCGTGAAACTATGCCTTTTTCCGGTTTGATCGTTATAAATGGTAGGCTCTGCCTTCTTTACGATCAAATAAAAAGCTATGTCTTTTCCGGATAGATCGTTATATATGGTAGGCTATGCCTCCTTTACGATCAAATAAATGGCTATGCTTTTTCCGGATCGATCGTCATATGGTAGGTTTTACCTTCCAAACGATCAAATAAAAATTTATATTTTTTCCGGATTGATCGATATATATGGTAGGCTCTGCCTCCTTCTCTACGATCAAATAAAAGCTATGCTTATTGAATTCTTAATGGAAGGCGATGCCTCCTGAATTCTTGTATGAAAAGGCTATAGATTATAAATAATTATTTTTGTGAATTTATATGTTTAGTTATTTTTATTTATTTTATTCGTAAATAATAAATATATGTGTTATATGAGATTTAAAGACTTTGAAATATGTCTTTAAAATCAAAAATATATTTCTCTTATGAGAATATATGAAGCACGGGTCAATATATTTTTAGACAGTGCAAATTAATTAGAAGGTCTAGATGAGCTAGTCTCTCGACTTCTAAATGCATCAGATTCATAATAATCGATGCTTCGTGTTCTCCAAAGTCTCAAAGAAACTCGTGTAGTTTCAAAGACATTTATTTTTATAAATAAATGTGGTATTGAATGTCCAACCACAAATGGAGACACACATATGTATGATTATATCATACAAAAATAAAGATGGCAAAATATTTATGATAGCAAACATAGGTTTGCTAATTGCTATAACATAGCATAACCGGTCAAGTCATCCCGGTAGAAAAATGCAATATATAATGATGATCCAGATCCAGGGTCTATATTAGTGCCAACAAGGGCCTGATTGGGAGAAATAGAAAATTGCAATGCAAATTGACTTGCTCTCCCTTAATAAAAGAGATGCATTTGGATCTCTTGTCACTACATCTAAAGATTAAAACCTGTTATGTGCAAGTGAGTCTTCGTGCGAAAAAGTTGAAATCACACGATATAAAGCCCGACTTGTTGCACAAGGTTTTTCTCAGAGACTTGGAGTTGATTATGAAGAAACATATTCTCCATTCATAGATGAAATTACATTCAGGTACACAACGAGCCTAACGGTCTCTTATCATTTAGAATTGTACCTTATGGATGTAGTGACAACATGTTTATATGGATTTTTGGATTATGATATATACATGAAAATCCCAAAAGGATTTAAAGTTCCAGCGGCATTAGACTCAAAGTCTAATGAAATATGTGCGGTCAAATTACAGCGATCACTTTACGGATTAAAACAATCCAGACGCATATAATCGTTTAAGCGATTATTTGTTAAAGAAAGGGTATATCTGTTAAAAACGATATATGCCCTTTGCGTATTTATTAAGAAATCTCTATCGAGATTTGTGATCATTGCTGTAAATATTAATGACCTAAATAATTGGAACTTAAAAGGAGTGATTAAATATCACTAAAATTTTATGTAAAGAAAGAAAAGCCTATTCAAGCACTGCATGCTTCCGTCCACATTTATGAGGTAACATTTAATTTCTATTGAATTTATTTAAATTCATTTAAATTTATTTGAATTTTTTAATATTATATCGAGTCGAAGGTTGCATACCTTCTCCTTAACTCTGTAGTAGGCTACGCCTCCAGAATTATATGATTTTCGGCCAAATCACCATTTTTTTATTTATTTAATAAGCTCATTGTATATGCTGGTTGATTTCCTAATAATCCCCAAATTAAGCCCCGAATATAACCGATCTAAAAATAAGATTCGGTCCAAGATAAATAGGCTTGAAAAGCCATCATCTTGGGAGGGGTTATTACAAGTCTCACATTTTTATAAGGATCTAAGAATAAATACATGATCTGTATCGGATATGTTATTGATCCTAAAGTGGGATTCAATTCGAGATGAATGAACTCGAAGAGTTATCATCTCGAGGGGGAGAATTAAAGGAATCCCACATCAATAATAAGTCGATAAACTTTGGTGACTTTGACACCCAGAACGAGAAAACTCTGGTGAAGTCATATCCTAAAATTTATTGACTTATTGATAAAGTGGAACATCTAAAACTGATGTTCACTCTCAAAATGAGCTTTAACCGAATCGTTTATAATGCAAATCCAAGAGATTGCAAAACGATTCAAGGTGATTTAATCTCCATGTTTTTACATGGAACATGCACTTTCGCATGTATTAATATTATATATAAGGCCAACGATTTATGAGAAATATTTCTCCCATGTTATATATACATGATTGGAGATCAAATATTTCTCATTTTGAATTTTATGGGTGTGAGATATATGTTATAAATGTTCCTTTGCACCGCATAAAAATATCATCCAAAAAAAGGATGAAATATATAGATGCAGGAGATGAGTCTCTGCTCTACAAATACTGAGCCATCTTATGAGAGATGTGCCTATTGCAAGATTTGCAAATCATCATGTTGATGATAAAATTCTCCATCATGGGAGAATCATTGAATAGTTTAGATCTTTGAACAAATGAATATAATAAATATGAAGTTTAGAGTTCAAAAGTTCAAAAGAATCACTATTCAGAATATATTGCAAATCAAATGCAAAAAGCTGATGGACGAGATTTCATGAAATTATTGATCCTCGTATAAATGCATATGAACTTAAATTTCATAAGAAATCTCTTGTCCCAGCTAAAAATGCTCTACAAAAATATGTCTTTGGCGGATGACATATTATTGTCTATAAAACGTAAAAAAAAAAACGTGATAGACAACTTTGGTTCCAAATATAAAGAAAATCCTCGAAAAAAAGAGAGAGCATATTATTACTAAAAAGAGGATTAAACTCTTAAAAGAGGAGCATATAAACTCCTAAAGAGGAGCAAACAGACTTCTCAAGAGAAGTAAAGAGACAGATTGGCATGGTTAAAGACGAAATCAAGTACCTGAATAAAATCATTTATAATGATTAAGAGATCTCGATTAACCATGTCATTACGGTAAATATAGAACCAAAGACAATACAATGTCGACAAGAAAAATGATCTAGCGCGCAAATAAAATTAATGAGGATCATAAATCTCCGCTCTGTCAGCGTAAAGAGATATATATTGGCCAATAAACAAAGACGCAGCCAAGGCTATATTAATCTCGTATAAGAAACGAGTACTTCCTGGACACATGGTCCAAGCATCAAAAGAGTATTATGATACTTAAGACAAGACGGTGTGTCGCGCCGTGTTTTGTCAAAATCACTCGATATTGAGTTGATGAATAAATGACTTGAATTGCGTTTTATGGGATGTCTGTAGGACTAATCCCTGAAAGATATATAATATCATAATTCTATTCCCGGGAACTTATAAGCATGATGTTTTTGAACATCATCAAAACTCTTAAAGAGTTATTTGTAATAAAAGATCTTGGAAAGACAAAAGTGTCTCCAGATATTCCAACTAAACATCTAAAGAAAGAGATGTTATATTATTCACTTCTAAAGGAAGTCGACTCTATATAGTTTGATCATGAAGCACTATATATAAATGCTGACGAGTATTTATATATTTTGTGAATTGTAGCTAGCATATATAAATGCTGACGAGCATTTATATATCTAGTGAATATATTGTACCTAGCAGTTGCTACTGATCTACTTGCAGGATTAATTGATCTTCTCCGACTAGACCTTGAATGAGTTCAAATGTGTCTTCCACTATCTGCAAGGTACGATTGACTTGGGCTTATTTTATTCTCGAAACCCCGAGTTTGGTTTTGTTGGTTTCGCAGATGGAGGATCTATATCAGATCTATAGAAATATATATCGCAAATCAACAACTTCGTGGCGTTTCCAACAATGAATTTTGGTCGTCGCTTGTTCAAGTCATACCAAAACTGTTGAGAATCTGTATGGCTCAGATTGATGCTTTCAACATATACAAGTAACAAGAAATATATGCACCAGTGAAGAGCCAACAACAAGACGTTACATATGTTTCCCAACTCAAAGAAAGATATGTCAAAAGCGAGATGACAAGACATATTTCCCCAATATTCTTCTCATGCACTCAAGAATCTGAGAAGAAGCAAGAAGTTGATGTCCAGTACATCCAGCCAAGTAACAATGTAGCAGATTTACAAAGGCGGTTCCAGCTACAACATTCAAAGCATCTTCGCAGATCAAAAGATCTCTTTTGAAGATGATGCTTCCAGGGGGAAACATATGATGATGA